CCCCCGGCAACTGGAAAACGGAGCTTCAAGCTTCATGCTAACCGAGAGGCAGAAGATAAGACAAGATGCGGCCCACCTCACTTCTACTCGCCGCCGCCGTGCTTGTGGTTGGCAATCCTTTCCCGGGTGCAGATACTTCCCTAGAAGCAGCTGATATGGGAACTCTTTGCACTACAAACCCGTGCAAGAATAAGGACAACAATCACAGCAAGAAGAACCTCTGGGCGGTCAGTTTTTTTGACCAGGGCCAGTGCTGGGGCGACTCCGATGCTACGCTGAGCAGCCACAAGCCCAACTCCAAGTGCTTCAAGTACAACGACGGCATCGGCCATGAGCTCAAGTCCATTACCTTCAAGCACCCCCGTGGAGATCCAGACTGCTTGGTGAGTTCTTCTCACACTGCCTCCTAAAGCGTTCAATAGGGTTCAACAGCTAATAAGTAACTGGTGAAATGTACAGTGGGGTTGCGATAATTGCAAGATCAACGTGAGTAGCAACATTGCCTCCCTCCATGAAGAAGAAGAGGGACGCCTATACTAACATGGATCCGCAGGTCTACTACCCTCCTAAAGGCGAGAAAGCAGACTGCTGCGACGAGCACAAAGTCAAGCGGGACTGGACCCAGAAGGATGTTGGAAAGTGCATTGACATCGAACCTCCCAAGGATGCTCGTGTCAGGTACAAGATCGACTGCTCGTAAAAGGGGACTTTTTTGGCACCGCACGTTGGATTTGAGGAGTGGCTTGATCTCACCAGTCTTTGCTCGTCAAGGGGCAATATGTTTACTGAGATCCCTAACTCAGGACTCACATATACGTGCATTTCCATTTATATGAATCAAAGTAGCCAGCGAGAAGCTCTTTGTGCTCAATACGCGCTCTTTGCCCACACATAATGCTGGGTCTGCCCTTCCTAGAGCGTTTGTGGTCTATTGCAACCAGATGGTGTTCCTACACTAGAGCTATGGACTCCTTGTCTGCTATGAATTTCTTGGATATTGGAAGGATAGCCTATGTCAAATAGTCTGGTAAAAATGACTTTTTCCTCACTCAGTCAATTCAAGAAATCAACTTCAGGGGCAATTCAACTTTTAGAGCCACCCCTCCCGTTTCGCTATGGCAGGCGGTCTTTCACTACTCTATACAGCTTTGTGTTGATCATTGCGCCGCCTTTACGCGTCTTCAGGAGGTTCGCTGCCAACGTGGCGACATCATGTCATCGCTGGCGAATTTATACGAGTCGAATCTCAGCTCCAATGAGGCGCAGCAGAAGTAGTGCGTATCTCTGCCAATAGCATTTCGACAAAGGAGCCTCACGACTGCGTGATCATCATGAACACCTCATGGATACGCAGCTTGATCACGACTGTTATCGTCGTCTGGTTGACGTACGAGGTTGGGCGCGCAGCCTTCATGAGCCCCCAACCTAGCTATGCGAGTTCATCTGCGGTGCTACACGCCATCACGCTAGAGAGTCGATGTTTTCGTGTGTCTTTCACAGGCTATTACCCCGACATTAGAATCATGGGGTCGTAATCCGGATCATACGTGGCCGTATGATAATTCGGTTGTATCGTTGCCGAGGTTGCTCGTGATTGTTGTTGTTGCTTGGGGGCCACTGCAGGAATCCTAATTCAGCCGAAGCTGCATCGCCAACGTGCGTTAAAGGCGACTTAGAGATTGGCACACACTCACACCTCCACAGTTCGGAAGGTGGATGGGATATCGGGCTGCAATACTTTTGCTGTTCCTTAATGAAAGTGTGGGTTGGGCCGTAGTTGTGAAGTGGTGTGAAAAGTACCCCCAGCCTCGCTTTGTTGAGCAGCCACTAGCGGTAGTAATACACATGTCTCGAAACACATGGTTCCATATCATGTGCCGATACAGCCTTCCTTTCTGCTATTGGCCGCGGTGTCCTATTATTGTCCAGTTAGAACTTTCAGTCAACGTAATGTGTTCTGGTGGTACAGCCTTGGCTCCAATTGTGAACTTCAGCCCTTGGACGATCCGAAGCCCATGAGAGTACAAAGTGCACCACCTAACACAAAGATTCCACCGATTTCGGACACATGTTCAGATTCCATGGTGCTGACGGAAGAGTAGATCATAGAATATCACTCGTTCCGGCCGTAGTAGTGCTTACGGTGTCTGTGGCTGGCTGAGTTTCCGATACCAGCCAGTCCGCTACACCGACGAACAAGAAGCGTGCAATGCCTCGTCTTCAGGCATCGAGTTATGATGATCTCAGATTGGCTTAGTGATCTTCCACTTCCATTGACCGATGTATTCCGCGGGTGGGCTCCGCGGTTCGTTGTTAACGAGCAATTACATCATTGACGACGAAATCTTACCAGGAATGGTTCCTCTAGGCAGACCTCTCAGGGCGGCTTCACTACCTTCCAAGCTGTGAATAATTGCTTTGGAAGCATCGACGAGGAAGAGTCCTGTGTCTTTCTTGCAACGAACCCCACGTTAGTCTCGTTCATGGTGATAACCTCAATGCCAGATTGTATACAAAACTCGGTATGATTTATCAATAATGAAAGCTCTAGCCGTGGGCCACTCACCACAGTATACCGGGGAAAAGGTTATGAGACTCCTTTGGAGAGAATGGGAAGGAGTGATTCCCCGACCAAACGAGCACGGAACTTGTCGAAGGCTTGTAATGATTTATGCGAAGAAAGGAAAGCTAGCAAACACTTTGGTGGCACACCATATCTTACCGATTGATCAACCCTGCTTACTGAGAAGACGCTGCCAAGACAGAGGGGAGCCCAGGGCCTGACGTAGGTTGAGACAGGTTCTGTGTAGCGTCGTCACCTACATGAGACGAGCATATCAATTAAGGTCATGTGACGCAACTAACCCAATAGAAAGACAGGTTTCACGGAGCCTCTGCATGTCTCAGAGAGATCGGGCACCGCATCTAATAGTGGCGCGTTCAACGAGGCTTCAGTAAGTTACATGAGTCTCATGGGGCTCGCTCTTTGATAATCACACCACTCCTGCTTGGCATGAATAATCAAGATCTTTCGTGATCGTGAAACATGATGCTATTAAGTTTCAACCGAAGGTGCAGTTCAGGGCGTCCAGTTTGCGGTTGTCTTGCCAGCTGAGTTCAAGAACTGTGCAATCAAGAAAAGGGACCCAGGAGGGCAGTCCAAGTTGACAGGGATATTGTCTCCCCCAACTTCTTTCGAACCCAACGTATCTTTTCCGAATGTCCCGACCAATTGATTATACATTTGATTCGACAAATTGAGTGCATGATTGCAAGGGATAGACGCAAGTCGATGTCTTAGGTAGGGGGTGCGCCAACTCAACGCGCTTGGATCAGCCTGCCTCGCTTCTAGGTCGGTCGCAGACTTGTAGAAGTGTTGGAGCCTTCTGTGCATGATTGGTGATTGGAGCCCGAGAAGCTAACATCTCATCAAGGCTGGGGACTTTCCCGGCGTTTTTCCCGCCGACAATGTACGTTGAAGGACCACGGGCTTGCATATAGCAGACAAGGGATTGAGCTCATAGCACGAGGCTCTGACCAGCTCGTGAGGGGTAGAGACAAAAACAGGATTAGTCTTGCATCAGTACTCGACCATGGAAGAAAACCAACCCTGTCGGGATTCACCCGCCGTCACCCGGACTGATAACGCAGCCGAGAAGGATCGAGTGACGAAGCCGTCTCACAGCAGAGCCGCACAAGTACTAGGTACTGGAAGGGTTCATCTTCGAGTCAGGATCGCTGTCAAGCGACAAATTGGATGTCACCCTGCGGGATCCCTGCGGAATTCAGAATAAGGATGGCTGCAAAGTCTACCTACTTGGAACACATAGACCTTGCGAGCTGAAGGAGGACTGACCCCACCCGGAGCCTCAGCTCATTCCTGGTTTGGTCTAAGACTGCAGAATTGACAGGGTAACTATGCTAATGATTGGCCAATTCATTAGCGGGCTACTTTAGATACTTAATCAAGGAGCTAGCTACATGTAAGAGCCGCCCGGGGAAGTAGCCAGACCAGGGAGCTCTTGGACAGAACCAAGCCAAGAGACTCACGATTCGATTTTTGTAATCTCTCTTTAACTTCATTTTCAGTCATGTAACTTCCCAGTACGAAATGATTGCACCACCTTTGCCTGATACCTTCGGGTGGAGTGTTCATTAGTGCCACATGTACGATAAGGTGGTCGAACCTACTCTGAATGCTTGTTAGCAACGAGGCTCCATGAGTTAGTAGCCTGCAGTTGCCCACGGATGGCCCCCTGGGCTGGCTTGTGCAAGGCTCTGCGATTTCTAAGTACTCTAGCTACTTCAGTAGGTAAGGGAGTCCGTTTAAAAGACTGACCGATTCTAGGTACTTAAAACGCATCTGCTCCGCACTTTCAATGTGCCAGTGGCATTCAAAGCATCGGTTCCGGATAACCATCCAAGCCCCCTTTTCTCCTAGGTCCCAAGTACGACAGATGTGTCCCTAGCAAGTCGACGTTTGCCCTTTTGGCAAATGTCGCCACCAACTCATCGCGGCAGTAGCTCGCAGAGTATTAGTGCCTTCAGTATCATCCATGGGGACAATCATCGCGAGAGTAGCATTGTCACAGGAGAGTCCGTTGATGGCACTGCCAAAAGCAAGGAGTTTTCTTCCCAACCCTCCACGGTCCAGCCAAGCTTATCGAGCAGAAAAACTGCGGTGTTGAGTTCGGGGCTTCAACGCTTGCCGTATGAGATCATGACCTACATCGTGCGCGGTCTCACGTTGGAAGAGATCTACGACCTGTCACGCAGCTGCCGCCACTTTCAATACCTTATCCGCGAGGAGAATCTCTGCAAGATGCTCCTGCGAGTAAGTGGTAGCATGAGCTGACGCCGCTGTCTGATGGTGAGAATTTAGAGAGCTGACCATTCTGAATTTAGGACAAAGCCGCGTATTCGGTGGAGGCTGAGGACGCGCTGCAGACCGGAGAGTACGCTAGAGGCTTCAGAAGGCTGGTCAAGCGGCGCAGAGCAACAGCTTCAGCTACCCCGTATGTAGCCGCAGTCGTTGCGGTTGCGGACTCCTTCGCCTTTTACAATGGCTGGCTGTGCTATCTTGTTGAGGATCGTGCGAATGCGAGAAGGGATCTGCGGATCCTCGACGTACAGAAGGCAACAAATCACGAGCTTGTGGTGGATGTGCCGACGCTGGTGTCGCTTGCAGTTCCGGAATCGGCAGGTTGTCGAAAATACACTTTTCGAGTCCTGTACCATGCTGCAGGGATTACGTCCTGCTTGTATTCGTTTGCGAGACCCAACACCCAGCACTGGCTTTTGATTTTCAATGCAGAGAGGCAACAGTTGTTGGGGGCTGTTCAGCTGGAGTCTGCAATGAGACTCTTTGTACGCAACAACCGAGATCACCTCATCTTCGGAACCCATTCCGAGCGCCAAGCCAACGGCATCAGGAAGTGGGCACTTCGTCACTTCGACCTTCGAACAGGCCAATTGGCTACTGAGAGTATGCATTTAACTAATGTGGTTGGTTACGAAATCGGATCTACAGTCTGCTTCGAGATCATCGGTGATCATTTCTACGGTTGTTCGAACTCCACTGCGTTCGAACTCGAGGAGATCGATTGGACCTCGTACTACTACTGTTTTCGTTTTGCAGTCGACGACTTTGACCCCGAGAGGACTCAAATAATGAAGAAGCGAGATGCATGGCGACGCCAGCATGCTGAAGGACCAATTGATGACCGGTGGACCTTTCTCAATTTCGAACAAGACGAACAGACCGGAAGCGTCAGGATCATAGAGAGCCGCAAAGAATGGCTCAATGGTCGCAGTGGAAGTAAAAGAACTTACTATATTACCAACGCTCACTTTCCAGACGGGGGCAGTACGGATGGAGACGGTGCCGACGACAATGACCCGCTTCCGAATGAACCAATAGCTCGTCTACTCACAAGCAGCAACCAGCCTAACTACATGGTTGCACCACAGCGTGACGCTCATGCGTTTCACCGGGGCGATGATGGATCAATGATGTTCAGCAAAGGCAAAACCTACTTATCGACATACCACCATGTATGTAGTACATATCTTGACCTTGTCGACGATCCCTTGCCTGGCGACGTATGCACGCAACGCTTGCGTATACGGACTGGGACCAGGGTGTTTAGCAACGTATCAAGCGTTGCTGCGACACCGCAAAACGGCCCCAGCGGAGACTACTGGGTTGGAAATCCTTATATTGAGGAGTCTGAAAGAAACACCATACATTTCTGGCCGCCTGAAGCATGTTGCGAAAATTCCAGCGATCACGACGATAAACTCCAGCGACTGGACCAGGTCATGAACCCCCGGGGACTGACCGGTAATATTGTCGCTACCGGCGACGGGAGATCAATAATATTCTCCACGACGAGTGGAAAATCAAGTGATTTGAAAGTGCTGGTATATCTTACCTTCGACCCCTCTGTCCGGCTTGCAGGAACCGTACAGATGGGCCGACTGGATGCAGAAGACATCAACAGCAAATGTCACCTTGGGCAAAACAGGGATGTTGCAGGTTGCCCCCGTTCCGAAGAAAAAGAAAGTGACCATGCAGCAGAGAGTTGCCATCAGGGGCGCCATGAGAAACAGGACAGTGCTGCATCTCCTGCAATCTCGGGCGTTCCATCTTCCCCTTGGCAAGATTATCCAGTGGACACGTTACCTGCTCCGAAAATGGGGCCATCTTGGGCTACCCTACAAGACGCTATGCATCTTAGTTTCTCTCGGAAACTGGGTTTTGCGTTCAATAGAAACGACGGTTCCAGGACCAACTCCCAGTATTCGAGTTAGCAACTTGCCCCTCCTCATTTCGATACCAGAGTCCGAGATGCCACCTGATCGAGGCCACAGATCACCATTGCATACTTCACTACCCGTGGGGGCAAGACCACAGGAGGGAACAGGAGTGTCAATGCTGCACGTGGAGCGCATGGGACTCGGCGATGTGCAATAGGAAACGAGGAGGAACCTGCCAAATGAAGATCTCACGAAAGACTGCCGTTTGGCTACCTGGATGCGCGAGAGCCTGGTTCCACCGCCGTTTCGTGACAGTGTAGAGATGCATTCATGGACGTGGCACGCAAAGCAGGGCTGACGGGCTGCAGGTATCCCTGCTTAGTTCGCCCGGCTGGAGTGCAGAATCTGTTATGCACTGCTTAATGGTCTAGCACACTGCTGCAGGCAATATCTTCCGCAAATATTCTAAGGCACTCTTGTGCTCAGACCGCGGCAAGTCGAGTTCACATGCATCGGTTGCTCCACAGAATCAAGCCATGTGATCTTCATTATTCCGACAATGATCAGGTTCCTGCACTTCGAGCATGGGGGCATTATGCGTGGATTTCTTCACCGAAAAAGCTCAAGGCTCTGGGTCTCTTCGATGCCCCATTGCAATCTGCCCAATTTGTCCAACAAGTTTGCAAGCTGGTGACTTCGACCGAATTACAATTTCATCGTTCCCAAGATATATCTAGTCAAGCATGTCTCTGCTCCGTTCGGACTCGTTGAAACCATACAAGCCCATATCAACTTATTTACCTTGCGCCTTGAGATCTGGAGATGTCTGTCACGCTATCCATCGAAGACCCGATATCGCAGGCTCCCTTGCGTTTGCCATTGCCGAGATACATAGTATTTTCTTAATTTAAGATATCAAATTTCTCATATATTGTGATAGCAACGAACAACTGATCAGTTTCTTAAGGACAATCGAGAGTATTATGTCCTTCGCGTGTGTGCTCAATGCCAATGAAAGCACTATTCTCCGAGTTGCGTTGCGCGTCTTGTATTCATGCTGTATTTCCATTGGAAATATCCCGCAGCATGAGCTCAGGATTGGCATGTGCTTTCCAAGAGCAACAATCTGTGAGTTTTTACCAGAAGGAATTGTTTCATTCTGAAACAATCTTCCATTCCCGGTCCCGTTGCGATATGGTATCAAAAGTGTGAAGAGGCGAGGCTACGGGCATCATAATACATGGAATGTGTCCCTTTTTGGATTTCCATGGCGTCAATAACAGGGGACTAGTTCAAAATGTCCTTAAAAGTGCCTCTAGCCTTACTGCATACAAATATCAGACGGCAAAACCCTTTGGTAATCAGGGACCCACGTAGGGGTTATGTCGCTCTATCCCAACTTTTCTCGCATATGCGTTTCCTTGATATGTATATACTACACGTCACTCATTCGATAGGCTTAAGAAAAGCAAGTACAGACAACGTGGCTGCGTATCTCTAGCCGTAGTGTGGAGTATCTTTTCTCAGATGAAATTGCACTTGGCATCTACGAATTAGAGGGCTAAATCCCGAGGCCTGATGTTCAAAAGTGCAAGACTTATTCCCCAAGGATCAATAAAGCTACACCCTCATTATATAGGAGATCACATGATCATCGGATATTGTCATGCTTATGTAAGGCTCACGAATCCACGGAGTTCCATTGCCATAACCGGCGCGGGTTGTCGACGAATAGACGCTGAATCTGTTGGTCGGTGGCAGCCCAGTTCTTGAACTCCTCGACGATGGCGGCGTCATTGATGCTGCGATATGCCTGCGGCACCAGCCTTCCCCCGGCAACAGCGTTCCCTTCCGCGTTTGCTGTGTGCGGCCAGTCGGACCCGTATACCACCATCTCCGGTCCATTCACCATGATTGTCTCGGCAACAACGCGCATATCCTCGTAGAGTGGCCCTTTCAGGGAGTTCAGGTACGGCGCCGAGATCTTGACGAAGAGAAGCCTGCGTCGTAGGAGGTCGACCATCTCGGTGAACCCCTCTATCTGATACGGGTCGACAGTATCCGCGGTGTTGTTCGTCCTGGATCCTACCATGGCGTGCCCGAAGTGGTCGGTCACGACGCGAACGCCCAGCCCTGGTATCACATCGTGAAGAGCGACAAATGCCTTCAAAGGTATGTAGAGCTGGAGGACCCAGTTTTGGGCTCTTGCGACTTCGGCGTTCTTCCTGACGGCTTCGACAATCTCGTCGTTGGTCCCGTCGTCGCCAAAATTGACTCGCACGCCTCGTACGCCCTTTTCATGGTATAAGGAGAGCGTCTCGTTACTTACGCTGCCAGGGTCGACGACGCAGACGCCCCGGTACGTTCCCTTGAAATAGTCTAGGGCGTCTAGGAGGATTGAGTTATTGATACCATATACACTCGGCAGCACGATGACAGCATGCGCTATGCCACGCGACACCTCGAAATCGCTAGCATTGTATCTGGTCGCGGCCTTTGGGGTGTAGGCTGGAACAATGATCAGACAAGAGAGCTGAACTTGTTGTTGTCATACTCACGCCTATCAGGGTCTAAAGGAAAGTTATCCGGCTCTATCACATGGATATGGGAGTCCCTGTTTCAGTTTGAGCATATGCTTGTCTGAACCCGACAGGAACTCATTTACCATGCATATTGAGGAAAGGTAGAGCTCAACGCAAATGTCAACGATTCCCACACTAAAGTCGAATATAGCAATAGCTTCATAATTCTCCTGTAAACTAATAGAATGACTCAATTATAGTGTATGGGACGAACATTGGTGTCAGGAGTTGAATGGAGTTTGATGGCGCCTGCTGTGGGCTTTATGAGAGTCCACTCTCTTGTTCTCCCACTGGGTATGTTATCCATCCCCGCACGCACTTGCCACCTGCGGCAGATAGCATCGCAAGTTTTGCTGCGATGATGTACAGTGATCATGGAACAGTACGATCGTAGGCCACATCATCCCGGTGTGTCCCCGCTTTCGGCGAAATGCCGACATGAAGCCTGGCGGGCCTGTGGCCGGCAGTGCCAGCGTCATCGGTGATGTGGAAATGACAATATCTCGTCACTGTCCTCATGAAAAATTCTGCGACACCTGAGTCGAATGAAATCACCGTTACCTGAAAATTGATTGGCTTACAGTCAGTCTCTTGAACAGCACGCCCAATATGACGACAGAGACGTTCCCTAGCAACAACCTCACGTGGCAGATTCTAGCAGCAGCGCAAAAGGGGGGATATGCTGTGGGAGCTTACAACTGGTATTTTAAACACCAATATGAGATTTACTATATGCTTCGCGATTCGCTAACATGGCCAACGGTGCTCAGTTATAACAACGATGGTGTAATGGCAGTTATCCGTGCTGCAGAGCGTAAGAGGTCGCCTGCCATTATCCAGGTCTTCCCGTGGACACTTCACTTTCAAGGACGCCACTTCATTGATTACATTGTTGCCGCGGCACATGCAGCAAGTGTACCAATTGCGGTACACCTGGACCACTGCATTAAGGAGTCAGATGTGGAACTTGCCTTAACCCTGCCCTTCGACTCCATCATGGTGGATGCGTCGACTTCAGACCCAGACCGAAATATCAAGGTGTGCGCAGACTATGCGGCGCGTGCCACTCAGCGAGGTATCACGGTTGAGGCTGAGTTGGGCAGGATTGAAGGCGGAGAAGACGGTCTGGCTATGGTAGACATGGAAACCTTGCTCACCGAGCCATCGGACGCAGCCGCGTTCTCGCAGAAGACCGGTGTGCACTTCTTAGCCCCATCGTTCGGCAACGTGCATGGCCCTTACCCGGAAGGTGGTGCAGAGAAATTTTGGCAGTTGGACCGGTGATTGAAACCTGACCTTTCACAACTGTCCACAAGTTAAGCTAACCCATGCTCACAGATTAGAAACTATCGGGAAAGCTACGGGCCTCCCTCTTGTCTTACACGGTACTCATCCAGTATCTGACGGGCTGTTTAGGAAAGCCATATCTCGTGGTGTCGTCAAGATCAATCTCAACCGGGCCGTAAGAGACGAGTACACGAAGTTTGTGGCATCTCATGCGGGTTCACTTGAGTTAACTGAACTCAAAGAGGAATCGGTTGAGATATATGCCCGATCCATCGAACGAATGATGGATGAAGTCCTTGGCTCCTCTGGGCGAGCTTGAAACACCTCGATAAGCAGGCTTTGGTATATTACTTGATAATAATCGTCTATATGACTCGCAGGCTTCAAGAGTCACCTTGCCTCGACAAGTACGTAGATTACAGTACAAATTGTGGATAGACCAAACGATACATGTGATTGCATCTTACCATCAACCTACTGGAACACCAATACATTATTCGAATTGAATAGTGCAGTGCACATCTGGTCAGTTCGGGTGGCCGCCGGCACTAGCGGTAGTGACTCGGTACTTGACCGACTGGTGAGGAGCCACCAGAGACCATTGAGTATTGCCTTCTCCGCAATGAGAGACTTACCGTTTCTTCATCGCTTGCTTCATGACTTCTAATGACTAGCAATTGCTCATTTTTGAACTGTCTTTTCCTAAAGGTCGCTTTCGCTTTGTATATAACGGCGATAGAACCTTACTTATCTTGTACTCCAACCCCCGCCCAAAGTAGTCCACCATGACGCTTATACACGTGGGTAAGAACTCCGTGGTTTCACTTCCTCAAGACGTATAATTACTGAGAAAGATCAGTCCTCTTCAAGTTCCGCTCCGATGTATCCTTAGAGCACAAGGCAGAATTTGTTACGGAGCTCAAAAAACTCAAGAGTCTCCCCTGCGTCAAAGATGGCCGACTCATCATCGGTGGCCCCTCTGTCACAGACCCCATCGAACGGAGTAAAGGATTTGAATTCTGCTTGATCAGCTATCACGAGAATCTGAAGGCGCTGGAGGAATACCAAGCGAGCAAAGAGCACCACTGGTAAACCGTTCCTTATCAAGTCGCAAAACGTGAGCTAGAGACTGACGGGCCCAAAGGGTAACGAGCACTTACATGTTCCCCTTCAAGGAGGACTTGTGTCGATTTGATTTTGAAGTCGCACCGGAAGATGAATACATGTGTGATTTCACGGCATTAGCAAGGTCTCTCGGCAAATCTGGGTCGTCATGTTAAGGCAGCCATGAGTTAAGAGAAGATGGACACATGAACCATAGACGCCACGTGGGATATTATTGGCTTAGTTTGAACTAAACTTATAATTCGAATTGATAATATATATAAATAGGTGTCACTCGGCAAATCTGTGCGTGTGAGAACATGCAATGAGCAGGCAAAACCCAGTTGCTACCGAGCAGCTCTGAATACACTGGTATGTGATGAACCAATGTAGCTGCGCAATCCACGGAGGCATATTCATACTCTTGACTTCGCCTTCACGCCCACATGTACATTGCGGAGGCTGATGCTCTTTGCAACATCAAGGCGAGCTATTATGCTGGCTGAATGTTATGGGGAGCTGGGTCTCATTCAAGGAGGATTCTCGGTGTGGACTAGTGTTCACAACTTCAAGATGAGTTCCAGACAGTGCCCGGCGTAATCGGCTGGTCAAGAATCGGGTACATGATTTAGCTTGACCCTGACACGGCAAAGATCAATCGATAATTCAATCTCGAATGGGCGTTCGGCAAGAGAATTGTACCATTCTATGCCGCTCGTGTAATGTGTTTGCTGAGAACTTAAGCAAGTCAACTCACAAACACAACGAAGCGAAGCAGAGCCATTATTGCAATGACTAGTAGATACATATGTCAAATAAACACGATTGTCTTCTTGCCGAACAAGACCCCAAGATGCAACGTCTAACATAGAAATTTTCGATGACACTTTTGTTACCCATATTCTAGCAAACCTTCGGTGGAGAGGTGTACCCTAACTAAGGCGGCAATTGCCGCGCATAGCGGACTTTTGGCCCCCAAATTTTATCCTGATCCGGCGATAGGCGTGCGGCGTTTGGCCGAGCTGACTCAGTCTCGGCCTCTGGCCGGTTTTTATCGACCTCAATTCATCGTGGACCGTATACTTTTGAGTCCGTTTCGTCGGGTTCTGTTTCATATTGAACAAGTGTGTTGCAGTCTGGGCCAATGCATCGATGGATCTCGAATTCGGTCAACGGCCGGTGGCCAATAAATCGCGCCGCCGCATCCCGGCATGTCTGAGGTTAGTATTCCCCCAGGTGTGGAGATATCGGTTTAGACCTGGGTGATGTTACTGCAGCTGATATGCATACGATGGTAGATGCCGTGCTCGAAAGGTCAAGTGCGATAACAAACTGCCGGTATGCTCCAACTGCGAGAAGGCCGCTGCCGAGTGTGACCAAGCAGCCAGCTCGGACAAGCTGTAAGTGTAATCCCGCCCACCTCTCCGCAGCTTGGACGTCGTGCACTGACCATTCTATATAGACTTGTCAAGCAATTAGAAGACCGAATCAGGGTGCTTGAAACCCTTGTGAAAAAGCATGCTCCTCAAGTGTCTCTCGACGAGGAGTTGAGCGAAGTTGATTTCTCCAGCCTGGGCTCCGGGGATGATCATAGCCAGGTAGCTGCCCTGGGATCAATACAGGGGCATCATACCTATTCTACCGATTCTCGGGTTTTTGAGAAGGCCCCTCAAGAGCCTCCTCCAACCACCGCAGCTAGACGGTCAGCTGGCGCCACCGCGGATAAACACAACACGCCGAGTCCATCTGTTCACAGCAGCCAGATTGGTCCAGAGCAGCCTCTAGCTCATGAGGTCGGCTTACTTTCACTTGGTAATACGACGAGCGAGCCAAAGTACCTCGGTCCATCATCAGGATTCACCTTGGCCCGATTGACCTATGCAGCAGTGCCCCAGAGCCAGGGTCTGCCAAGTATTGCTCATCCTTCTTCTAGGAATGAAGACGACGGCCAGGTTCGGGAGCAACCCAAGTGTGCTTCTTTGCCGTCATTGGCTGAGATGCGCAGATTCGTTGGTGCCTACGTCGATGCGTTCCATTCGCAGTACCCCTTTCTCCAAGACGGCAAGATCGAGGAGATTTTAGAGGTACAACTACGATGCTCCGAGGAGGGGTCGAATAAAGTATCCCTAAATAAGGCGATGCTATTCCTAGTTGCAGCTTTAGGCGCCAAGATATTGGAGCAAGGCCGAAATGTTGACTTGAGAAGCTCTAACTACTTGGCTTCGGCTATGGTCCAAGTAGCCGCGCTCCAACTGCACGACTCTGTCCAGGGGGTTCAGGTCATGCTTCTCTTGGTGTTGGTGAGTTTCGTCTTTCTTGAGAGTCTCAACGCATGGTTTCTCTCGTCGGCAATAATCGCCAGCTGCGTAGATCTTGGATTACAACGAAGGAATGTTCCATGTGAGTCGTCGGCCATTGTATAGCGGAGCTTTTTATGAAAACTAACAAGTTGCTTCCAGTCCGTCGAGACGGGCATGATCCTGCCTCGGAAGCTCGTGAGAACGTCCGGTGTGGAATATTCTGGTCGGCGTACTCGATAGATCGGACCCTTTGCACGATACTCGGCCGGCCATTGAACCTCCGTGATGAGGCTTTGGATGTCGATTTCCCTGGTGAGGTGGGGAGCGGCTCCTCTAGTGTTAACGCCGTAATGTCTGCTTCTCATAGCGAGCCAGGGGCGCACATGGCTGAAGAAGCGAGATCTCAAGATGCTGAACGCTATCTCAAGCGGCGGCGACTAGATCAGCCCACAGGATCCGACTACACGGCATCGACGTTCTTTTTCCGCTTCGACCGGATCACGGCGGAGATCAAACTCATGCTGTACAGAGTAGCACAAGCGCCGTGGAGGTTTCCCTGGCCATCCAACCATGCACAGTGGCAGGACGAAGCGCTCGCCAGCTGTGATGATCTTCTGTCCCTTGCACGTGAGACACTGTCGTCGCGAGTTCTGGTACCAAGTCATTATCGGCGCTTGCTGCCATGCCTGGAGATCAAGTACCACCAATGCGTTCTTCTTCTTTTCCGACCGACCCCTGCAATACCTCAACCATTGCAGGAGGGATACAGGCGGTGCTACGAGTCTGCGAGGGAAGTACTGCGCATCCACGCGGAGCAACTCCGGTTTGGAGAGCTCCTCGAGAGCTGGCTCACCGCGCATCTAGTGTTTGTCAGCGGGATCACGATGATATATAGCATTCTTAAGCTGCCGGAAGTTGCCAAACATGCATTTGGCAGCACGGGGTCAACGGAATTTGATCAGAGCATCAGCGATTGCTCTGAAGTATTGTCGCGCCTCGGGACCACATGGCCGGTAGCTAGAGACGCGAAGGACAAATTTGAGAGACTCGCAACTCGGTCAAAAGAGACGGTAGCCAACGTCTCGCGTGTGGCAAACTCCCAGACCGAGGTGTCCCTACAAGCCGCGGAGATGGACATGTCCAGATCAAGCGATGGGCAGAGCCTTGCGCAGGAAACACAAGCCAGCGATGCTTTTCTCAACGCGATACCGGGGAGCGACAACAACATGGGGAGTATGTTCAGCAGCTCCGAGTTTCTGTGGGATGAGCTGGGTGACATGTCAACGTGGTTCGATCTGAACTGGATCGGCGACCAGGGCAGTAGTTACGATGTCGCGCCGTTTGCTCCTTGATATAGATAGCAGGGCACAGGCAGAGCCGAACACGGCTCCCCAGTATTCCGCATTACGCAAAGTAATTCAACAGTTCATGCAAATGAAGCTGGGAAAGACAGGACTGTGCGGGCTCGTTCGAGCAGGCCTGACGAGACAACAATATAGCTTGATACGTCAGGTCAACGACTTATATGGAGAAATCAGACTAAAGGAGTGGGTAGAGAGATATAGTGTATGTGCTACCGCTCGTAGGTATCCACCGTCCGCGACGCAGGACAGGCAGTCCAAGCGGAACCATGCCATCCGATGAGCATAATTGAGACTGCACGAGGTCGTCCCAGACAAGCCGACGGCAAGAGTGTCGAGTTTGCAGTTGTCAATCAAAGATATAGCAAAAAGATAGGGCAGGGGGGGAAAAGGAAGAAGAAGAATTGCTCCCCAGCCTGCAACGATGGGCCATATCTTCAGGGGCGCACAGGCTATCATGGCAGCATGGCTATGGCAGTCTTTGCGTCGTGGGGTCCAGGCCCAGGGGCCCGGCTTTAGCTGGGACCCCTGAAAGCAACATGGGCCAAACATGGGCCAAGGGTCTGTCTTGATTGGGCCAGAAAACCCAATTGAGTGAATCTCCCTAGAAACATCCCACATCGAACGAAACCAGTCCCCACCCCCAATCGCCACTGCCAGACGACTGTCTTCTAGTCGGTCTGCTTCCTGTCGAGGTCCGTCTTCTCACACCGCAGGAGAGAGATTCGAGGTGCCAACCTCCTTCACACTCGTTTTCCTTCATCAACACCGTACTGCGAAGCGAGAGGCATGCGACCGTGAGCTCTTCTGCCCCCCCCGAACCCAACAACTCGACCGAATACTTCTCCAACGGTCGGCTGGCCATCAGCCCCAGGCCTACACTCGCCATGGCTCCCTCCAAGACGTCCTCGACCGTCACCGCCGCCTCCACGGCCGGCGAGGCACCGCCCGCGGTCCTCAAGCTGAACGCCAAGGGCAGCAAGCGCCAGGACCCGGACACGGACGGCGGCGCTGACCAGCTGCCGCGGGACCCCCTCGAGACCAAGTACCGCGACTTCTTCTGGACCTACACCGAGGAGCCGCACCGGACGCGGCGGCTGGCCATCATCAAGGCGCACCCGGAGGTGACCAAGCTGTGCGGGCCCGAGCCGCTGACCAAGTACGTGGTGCTGGCCGTGGTGGCGCTGCAGGTCGCGTGCGCCTACGCCATGCGCGACCGGCCTTTCTTCTCGCTGCCCTTCTGGGCCCTGGCCTACGTCGTCGGCGCCACGGCCAACCAGAACCTGTTCCTGGCCATCCACGAGATCTCGCACAACCTGGCCTTCCGCTCGCCCACGGCCAACCGCCTGTTCGCCATCGTCGCCAACCTGCCCATCGGCATCCCCTACAGCGCCTCCTTCCGCCCCTACCACCTGACCCACCACAAGTCGCTCGGCGTCGACGGCCTCGACACGGACCTGCCCACCGCCCTCGAGGCCGCCTTCCTCGACTCCATCCTCGGCAAGGCCTTCTTCTGCACCTTCCAGATCTTCTTCTACGCCGTGCGGCCCATGGCCGTCTACCGCGTGCCCTTCACCTGGGTGTCGCTGGCCAACGTCGTGGCCCAGGTGGCCTTCGACGCCGCCGTCCTGCAGACGCTGGGCTCGCGCGCCCTGCTGTACTTCCTGCTGTCGAGCTTCCTGGCCGGGTCGCTGCACCCGCTGGCGGGCCACTTCATCGCCGAGCACTACGTGTACAGCACCGTGACGCCGACGCAGCGGGACCCGGGCAACCAGGTGCCGATCCCGGAGACGTACAGCTACTACGGCATCGGCAACCTGTTCACGTACAACGTCGGCCTGCACAACGAGCACCACGACTTCCCGGCCGTGCCGTGGACCCGCCTGCCCAAGCTGTACGAGATCGCCCGCGAGTTCTACGAGGACCTGCCCCAGCACCGCAGCTGGAGCTACGTGCTGTGGCAGTTCATCTTCGACGAGAACGTCGGCATCCGCTGCCGTGTCAAGCGCAAGGAGGGCGGCCGCCTCGTCGGCGTCGACCCCCGCAAGGCCGTCAGCAGCGGCGCCGCCAAGGCCGCCGACTGGGAGGAGAGCGAGATCCAGGCCTAGAGAGCATTAGAAAATGTGTGTCTGGGGCGGTCTTGTTCCTGTTCCGCTCTTGACCAAGAGAGAGTATAGACGGCGCTCATTGTATGTGTATATATGGGGCAAACAAAATAGACGTGGACCTTTTTGGCATTTGAGAGTATTTGAGTGTAAAAAGGCCTCTCGACAACACCATGTGTTCATGTGATGTCCCGCTTGGTTATAACCGCTTTATAATGAACGATTTCAATCTTGATGAAAGATACGATAACAGCCAGATCGGAGGCGGTAGATAGACCTCCACGCAAGACCTACACGATGGGTCTTCTTTACTTCACAGATTTGCTTTCAAAAACTCATGATGCTTTCGTAGAATGTCCAAAATCCATTTCATCAAGACGAACAAATGAAAAGAGTACAGGCTAGAGTACAACGACGGGTTTCTCTTCCTAAATCGGAGCATCTCAAAAGACTGCCCCCTAGCGATCGCCCCGTTCACACGAAACACTCCTCTCGCTCTCTCCACTCTCCCACACCACCAGTCACTCAACACCTAGAAGTGCTTCTTCTCTGGGGAGTTTCAGTCGGCTAGCGGACTGCCGCCCGACCCCCTTTCCAAAGAAGGCACGAGGTGGTATGATAGGCCACCCTCCTTCGTGCAGGCTTCCCCAGGGTATGCCGACACCTTGCACACTGGCATACGTCGGACTCACGGGCTTGTTACAGCCAGCATCGGAGATACCACCATCGGTAGGGAGACCGGCTTGGGATGAACCAGGGCCAATAGTCTCTCATCGTGTAGCTCCTCACTCTAGTCCTATTAAAAAGATGGAAAAATAAAAAAAGAAGAAGCCCTGCTCGGCGGTGGTATCATATGGAATGGACAACCTTGGTCCACTAGAAGAAAAGGTAGGCCAGCAAGAAGCTCACCAGGCACAGGACGGCCGTGATCTTGACCGGCACGCCCTCGGTCCCTTGGCGCACTTGCTGGGCGAGCGGTGCACCGGACTGCGCCGACGAGGACTTGTCCTCGGCCGGCTTCCGCTGCCTCAAGCCGCCCTGGTCGTTCTTCAGCTGCACGATCGTCTGCTGAGCCTGTGAGAGTTGTGCCTTCAGCTCCTCGTACGTCTCGGAGGCCTTTGTGGATACAGTGGCTGCGACACCGCCCAGTGCAGACGTAGAAGGCGAGTTGTCGGCATCGCTCGTAGGCTCGTCCTTGGGGGAGGACTTGACGTAGTCGGAAGGCGACTGGTATGCGGGTGGTGCGACGTCAGGGGTACCCTCGTGCTGCAGAAGGATTCTTGTGAGAAACGGGGGGGAACGGTCGGAGATCAGGGGGTTTGTGTGTACTTACGCCATTTGCGAGCGTAGACTTGTTCGGGGTGGCCAACACATCGGCTTGGTTGCTGGCAGCGCCGCCAGAAGACAGGAAAACGACTCGGATCTTCTTCTCCTGGATCTGGGACTTATCAATGCCATCCCACTATTGGCCGGTTAGCTGTGTTTCTCGCTCCGGGCGAGTCCGACTGTGGACGTCGATTGTGGTGGTGCTTACAATGGAAGCCAAGTTGCTGAACTCCTTGTCGCCCGAGATGGGCACCGACTGGACGAGGAACTTGTCACGGCACTTTGTGTCGAGCGGCGGTTCTTGCTTCATGGCCTGGAGGATGACTATGAAGAGAGAAACACATTAGACGCGGCCATCAGGCGATCGGGACCGGGTCTGCTGCCCACCTTGAACCTCCACCTCCTTGCCGGGCTCGATGCGCCCCGAGTTCGGGCGCACACAGTACCTGTAGAGACAAATGAGACCTTGCGCACTGATGGGGGGGACTCTTCAGTCCGTGGCATCTATCGCTGGAACGTACTGCTTGGGTGCGGTGGTTTTGACCTGGAAATCTGTTAGCTAGACTGTCCCACGTGTTCGCGCACACGGCCGGGGAGCATGGGGAGCATGGGATGCGACGGGGGCGAGTCGTACCTTGAAGGCCACGGGAGAGGAATTGGGGTTCCTAATCTTCAAGACCTCGGAGACCTCAACGGTGAAGGGACCTGCAGCAACTTGTGAGCCAATGCATCCTCTGCGTCTATCTGGCGGGCAGGCGGCGATGACGTACGGTGGAAGCCGAGCTCCTGGGGATCGATCTCGACAGACATGGCGGCGGTTGTCGTAGGGTCGCTGGGCTTGGTAGAAGGTTACAGAGGTGCAAGGTCGCCGTCTGGAGAGCCTGATCGCGCGAGGTCCAGTACACCGCTTCTATGGCTGGCGGCTGGAGGGGAAGAGTCGCAGGATCGGGAGGGAATGTCGGCTTCGGGTGTTTGTCAGCTGCTTGTGGTCAGGAGGCAGCCGAGGCGTATGTACGGGTGTATGGCGTATGGTGTATGTATGTGTATGTGGGCGTACTGCAGGACAGGACGGTCTATGGACAGATGTGTCTCTGAAAAGATAAGGAGATGTCTGAGAACAGAGCAGAACGGAACTGGATGCGAGCCGGGAGTCACGGTGAAATACAGAACCTGGTGGAATGGTGCGATCGGGAGGCCAGCAAAGAGCCAGAGAGCCAGTTTTCGCTGTGGTGGTGAATGGCTACGACATAGGCCAAGTAATTTGTTGCATCAGAAGGGGGCCCCCCTGGCCGCATCAGTGACCAGTGCTTTTCCCGTCCAGTCCCTTGGCCCCCAGTGGTCGCCCGTCCTCTTTTTTTGCGCCTGGGCTCTGGATTTCGGGGGGAGGGGAGCCCGCTGGCGTGGGAAACTGGGCACCTCTGCAGCCAGCCGCCAGCACATCACTGAGCCCGCTGAGATCATCTCCCCGGCGAACCGGTTACCAGCCAGGCGCTACCAGGGCACGCTAGATACGCTAGATGCGCTAGGCCTGATCAGCCCAAGCCCCTGGAGGGCCACAGATACCCAGAGACCCAGAGACCCAGAGGCCCAGAGCCAGGGCCAGCTGTCCCGCAGCCCGCTGGAGGCAGCTGCAGCCATGACGCAGGCCAGACGGGGGGGGACCAAACCTAAGCCAGCTTTCCGTTCCATCGAGCCTCGGGCTGGGTGAACAAGTTGAGGTAGCTATTCACTCCGGCCCTGGCATAGTCAAACACCGGATTCACCCACCGGCACTTCCTTCAGCGTCTGCCGTCTTTGGATTGTTCTACCAGGTTGCGACTAAACACGACGGCCTAGTTCTTCCGGCCTGACCATCCAATCATTGAACCAACTGCACAGCAGCAAGCCGCCCCGCCGTCGCCATCATGTCGTCGGACCTCGATACGCTGCTGGAGATGGGCTTCGACAAGTCACGTGCCGAGCTGGCCGTCAAGAAGAGCGGCGGATGTGAGTATTATACCAAACCTCGGTGCCACTCCTCCCGTCATTGCCCACATGCTAACAATCACACAGTGGAGGGTGCCATGAACTGGCTGGAAAAGACCCAGGACACCCCCATCGACGAGCTGCTGGAGGAGGAGAAGGCAGGACCCACGGCCGCCGAGCTGGGCGACGGCCAGGTCGCCAACTCCATCGTCTGCAACGACTGCGGCAAGAAGTTCCGGAGCCAGGAGCTCGCCGGCTTCCACGCCGAGAAGACGTACGTTCAATCTTGACGCTTGCTGTCCTGCCGAATGTACGGCTTATACAAAGTCGGCATTGCTTACACTCCACCCCACCTCACAGCGGCCACGATGACTTTGCCGAGTCAACCGACGAGATCGCCCCTCTGACCGAAGAGGAGAGGCAAGCCAGGCTGGCCGAGATGCGCGCCCGCCTCGCCGAGAAGAGGGCCAAGCAGTCCATCCAGGACAAGGAAGAGGCCAGAGCGAACGAGGTATACCACTCTCTCTTATCTACTTCTACCACGTGACCTCTGTTGTTATTTACACGGCGACCTCTTGTCCACTCTCGCCATCTTCCAGACAGACTGACAGGCCCTCCTCTTTTGCAGAAAATCCGCCAAAAGGCGACCCGTGAGACCCAGGACGTCAAGGAGGAGCTGCAGAGGAAGGAGCAGATCAAGGAGGCGGCCCGCAAGCGCCAGGAGAAGCTGGACGACCTCGAGGCCAAGCGCCGCATCAAGGCCAAGATCGAGGCCGACAAGGAGGAGCGCCGCCTCAAGGCCGAGGCGGCCAAGGCAGCCCGCGAGGGCCGGCCGGGTCCCGGCGCCGAGGCATCCGCTGCGCCTGCCGCCGCCGCCGCTCCCGCCGCTGCTCGCCCGACGGCCAACCACACCGAGGCACGCCTGCGGCTGCAGCTCCCGAGCGGCAACGTCATGAAGACGCTGCCGGCCGAGACGACGCTGTTCGAGGTCGCCCAGATGCTGCAGTCCGAGAGCGGCGTGACGGTCAACAAGTTCAGCATGAACTTCCCCCGCAAGGTGTTCGAGGGCGTCGACTTTGGCAAGACGCTGAAGGAGGCCGGTCTCGTGCCCAGCGCGGCCCTGATTGTGCAGTAAATGGACCCCATGCCTCTCTGGAGAGCGGCAGCGCACCCGCTTGCGGAAAGGGGGTGAGGGGGGATCGATGAACAGGAATGAGTGCATGGAAATGGCGTTTGGCAATGGTTGGCATCCCATGGGGGGAAAGAATGCGTTTCTAGTTACGAAGCAATGTCGTCCTGGATGATGGGTTGTAGGTGAATGAGCACCCGAGACCGGCAGTTGCGCCAATGCTTTCTTCTTACTCGAGAGCGAGGGCTTCCGTGGATATATCCTTCAATCAAAAGTGAAAAACAATAGCAGACGCTAAAGAGTTGTTTTCAGCCATCGGGGTGGTACTTGTAGCAATCATGGGGAAAAGGCTGAGAAAATGCTACCGGTCCACGAAACAGCAGTACATTCAACGCAGGGGCCCGGGATCCCCTGGGGTTCAGATATGGGGGGGCTAGGAATGATGGTTGGTCATCTCTCAAGAGCGCATCGTCATATTACTCTATATGCTGAGCGATCTCATGTAATTCCCAAGGCATCCGGATTCTTTTGCCATAGCCTCCTTCACGCCACACCATATGCGGTGTTCAAGTAAACCCCAAAGCCCATGCAGTGCGAGTACAAAGGGAAAAGTGTGCGGATAGATGGAGAGAGGTCGTCGTTGGTATTCCTGGTCGTGAATTCGGGGAGAGAAAGAAGCGCTTCATCATACGAGGAAGGCCGCTTAGTCGAAAAGACCGAAACCCATGTCCTCGTCCGACTCCTCCTTCTCCTCTTCCTTCTCCTCCTCCTTGGCGGCCTCGGCAGCACCACCGGCAGCGGCGGCACCACCAGCAGCAGGGCCGGCACCAGCGGCGGCACCGCCGGAGCCAACGTTCGACAGAAGGTCCTTGACGTCCTTGCCCTCAAGAGCCTAGATTGAGTCAATCGCGTTAGTCTCGGCTATGGGAATCCAAGTCTCATTTCGTTGGTTCCGTGGTGGGGGTTCTTTTTCTTGCTATTGCAGCGGGCTATGGTCGTACCTTGGCGAACAGAGAGGTCCAGATGGGCTCGATGTCGGCGACCTTGGCGGCCTTGATCAGGGTCTGGAGCTTGTCGGCCTGTGCGATTGCGAAACTTGGTCAGCATGTCCAGTGAACGTGTATAGCATTGAATTGGACGGGTAGTCCGCCGCCTGCGTTCCCCCCAGCTCGACTCTCCTCCTCTCCTCGCCTCCCCGCCTCCTCGCCCTGCCTCGAGGGGATCCGTCTCTTTATGCATTGCTGGCGGGGAGAAGGGCCCGTGAACATAAAAAGTATGAACATGAACATACAGTGATCTCAACACCGTCATCGGCGAGGATGAGCGCCGCGTACGACGAAGCCAGCTCAGCGGTCGACATTGTGAAATGTGTGTTGTTGGGTGAGCAGAAGGGAATTGGGCGTTGTGGTGCGTTCTGCTGTTGCGAGGTCGACTTGTCGTTGGTGACTGAAATTACCTGCTGGCGATTTTACTGGAGTCGATGCCGGACCAGAGCCCACCAAGCCAGAAATGAAATTTCGAGGGTTTTAGGACCCTAAGCGGTTTGGGCCGGAATTTTGTTTGGCCGCCTTGGATCGGGCTTTTTTGTGGGTGTGGGTTAAGGCTGTATTCACTGTGCCGGGCGTGCCAGAGCACCAACAGTAGTCAGTCAGCTTTGTGGCCAATGGGAGCGAGGCAGAGCGAGGCAGGCAAGAGAGAGCCTGGACCATCCAAATCGCACCACTGTAGGTAGCGGGGCTTTTCTTCAAGCCCAGTGCCACAGTGCCACAAACAGCATTGCCCCGCGGCAGCACCACGGCCGCCAACGGTGATTGCCGCTCAGAGGGCCCCTTATCGCTGTTTCTTATCGAGCTCGACTACCCCCATCGAGAATCGTCATTGCCCCACCTCCGACACCGTCCCGAGCTGCCTGCGACCTCTCTGTCTGCCCTTGCCACCCTCGACGCCCTCGACGCCCTCGACGCCCTCGACGCCCTCGACGCCCTCGACGCCCTTGAGGCCCTTGATGCCCTTGCTTGCACTGCTGCACTTGCCGGCTTCTGTAAATGAACAGAACCAAAACACTACTGACTTGCAGTTGACTTGCCTGGAGCCAAGTAGAGTTGCCATCAAGAGCCTAAAAATCCGAACATCCCCCCCCATCTGATTATCAAGCGCCTCCCACAAGCACCCCAAGTGTCGGGCTGCATCGAGGATAGTCCCTGCACCCGCTTGCACGAAGGCCGCCCTCCAAGCTTGCCGTCTGGCCTCGACAGCCCTCCTGCGCTCTGGACGCATCTATCTATCTGCAAATCAGCCTTGGCTATTGGCCTGCCCTTAACCCCGACGACCAGACTGGACCACCTCCAAATACACCTGCAGCAACCCATACCTGTACAGGACCTAGGTACATTAAGGTAGCACCGTCCCCCATCCCTCATCCAGACGTCATTGGACCTCCCACGCGTCTTCTAGGGGGGTGCTTGCATATACTGTTGCCGCCTCATTGGACCGCCCGGCCCCCGTCAAGCAACCCGAGCCTACCCTAGCCTTGCCTCGTCCCCATAACCCCAGAGCCGGACAAAGCGCTGTGCTGTGCTGTGCTGTGCTGCGCTGCGTTGTGTGCATGAGGGGTCTGAAACTATCTTTTCTTTGAAGATCATTCCATCCTCCAGTCCGCCATTATCTTTCTTGTCCCCTACGGCAGCGCTCCGGCGAACGAGATGGATACACCCAAGATCCCGCCGCCCCGGGACGAGGGCGAGAAGCAGGTGCTCAAGGAGCTCGAGCTCGTCCTCTCGGAGCTGCAGATCCTCAGGGCGGACCGCGCAAACTATGTCCGCTCCCAGGATGTCATGGTCCTCCACGACAGGACCATTGAGCAGGTCCGCCGGCTCAACGAGATCAGGCAGGGCAAGAAGACCGAGGAAAACAGAGGTGCGCCACCTGCTGATTCCCCCGTGCCCGTGATGCGCGCTCGCTCCCGGCACAGAGATGCTGACATGCAGCTTAGTCGACCGAGTAGTGGACAGCTGCTTCCAGCTCCTGTCCTTGTTCTTCATGACGATCGGACGCAATAAGGAAGCACCGGCCGCCTACGCCCTTACATCGACCATCAAGCGTCTCCTCGACCATCTTACCGAAGCCGACCTATTCTCCGAGAAGGATCTTGCCAGCATGTCACACACACTGAAGCGCCTGTCGGGCATCCTGGAGAAGGCACAGCTGGAGGACGACTCGACGCCTTTCCTCCTGACTCTCCTTTCTAACAGAATCGAGCGATGCCAGGATACCCTGAAAGCCCTTAAGAAGAGACTGGAAGACTATGCAAAGCCCATCCTTGCTACTCACGAGAAGCTTGTGTCCATCCTGCGACAGATGGCTGCCATCAATACCAAATCCAAGGTACATCCATCCCTCCGTGACACCCCTGTCTTACTTCTGACGCCCCGAACTAGTTCAAACCTGAAGACATCCACAAAGCCCAGGCACATCTGAAAGATATCGACGAGAGGAGGGTCAACGGTCAGTTTGTTGACGAGGATGGCAATGTGCTGGCTGGGAGTGACCAGGTATCATCCCTCTTGGATCGATGCCAAAGATATACCCATGTCGTATTGGAGAGGTTGGTCATCATTATTCTTAACCCACCCCGGTCACTGTTTTCTGATCACTTCAAACAGGGCTGGGAATATCCCCGAACAGTGGAAACCGCTGTACAGCGTTCTCGTTGGCATTCGGAACGAACTTGATAAGCTCTCGTTGACTCAGGCTTGGTCTCTTCGCGAGACCGATCTCTACGATTTCCAACGCCAACTGGACAAGATCGACGAAAGCCGAGTCGACGGAAACTGGCTGGACGAACACGGCCGCCCAGCTGAGTTATATGTGCAACGGGTGTGTAGCATGCACCGTAACAAGAGCCTAGTACCAGTTCACTGACGGCCAATCCAGACACTCCTGTATCTTATCAGGCGTAGCTACGGTTACATCTACCATCTGATGATATCGTCCGAGCCGGTGTCCGAAGCGTTGCTGCCAGTTTACAACCAACTCCAGACCCTGAAGCGCTGCCTGATTGAAGTTGAGTCGAATGGCGGGGTTTCGTCCGCCAGGGAGCTGTTTCCGTACAGCATGAAGGCGAGTCACTTGAACCCACGATGAGACTACATGACTAACGGGGTATGCAGCTCACCTCCATCGACAACCTTCAGAAAGACGGAAAGTTCATGGTTGGTGACGATATTCCCGAAGGCCAGGGCGCCGTTCTGGACTTGCTGAATGAATGCTTCGACCGATGTTATAAATTGCGATTGGTTGCCACAGAAGCGGAGGAGGCAGCTGCGGAGCAGGCCTAGAGAGCAATTGTGCCTAAGGAATGAGGATTTCTGGGAGTCAACACGCTACCCTACACCTGGCATAGAGTTCGACGCATCTCGCGTCTCGCGTCATCTACACTATCATCCGCGTAGGGGCAATATGCGACCCAACGTACGGGTCCCGGTACGGAACAACACGTGGTATTCGAGTATCGGTTTCTGGACACCAATCAAAGGGGACGTTTTACAGTTCAGAGGGCCTGGAAGCGGAGCCCAACACACTCATGAGTACTGGTTTCCTATGATGATTCTGCGCTGGCTACGCATTGCTCAGCCGGAATGACCTTACTACTCGAAATGTGGCCATAGGATACCTGAATGGACGGTTTCATCACTTGGGGGTATACTAGCATTGTGGGAACAGGACTGCATTTGGCTGGCGATGGACCTTGCATTGCAATAAGCGGAGTCGTGTTAATCGTCTTTAATTTAAGCAGCTATGGGTATCTGAACGCAAACTTGACCTATGATACCAATGTCAGTGTGATGTCCCCAAAGTAATTGACCTATTCAGTCACGACGGCTTCGCTTACAGGCCAGATTTGCGCATTGTCAACGTCCCACACGCCGCTCTTGCTGTAGATGTCCTTTCTCAGGATCTCACGGCACTCGTCGACGGACTCGGCTACCATGATCATGGTGCTGCCGTAGAAGTCCCACTTTGTAGCATCAGTGCCCTCGGGCCTGTCCTTGAGCGCCGCACCTGAAAATTGGTGCGATATTAGCGACGCTGTTCCTCGCTGCTGCATACGATAAAGCGAGCTCTAAGCAACAGCGATAACTCACCTCCCGCCTTGTAGAATCCCGAGTCGATGAACGGTTGTAGGCCCTCAAAGTGCTTGCTGTTTTATTTCGGAAAGGTCAGTTCCTCGACTTATTCCTAAGTGAAAATAGAATTTGAAAGGGGAGTGTCGGCGGCAGGGTGGTGGGGTGATTTATAGTAAACAGATGCCCAAGGCCTGTGGGGGAAACAAGATAGAGGAGAGGGCGCGCATCCAACTCACGCTCGCACCTCCAGCCGCTTCGGCTGCGACCCGGGCTTGTCGGGCACCACGGCCAGGAACTCGTACTTGCCCGCCGGCGGCGTGCTGATGGCGGGGCGGGCGGGATCCGAGGACGACGAAGACGACGAAGCCATGGCGCGGGCCTGGAGGAGTGGTCGTCTCGGCTGCGGGGGGGCCGGGCACGGTCTGGAGACAGGTGACAGGAGCGCCCTCGAGGCTGCTGCGGTCCGGGCAAGGGTTGTCCTGGATATCTGGCGAGACGACGAGAAGGGCACGAGGAGTCGAGGCGTCGCCATTGTGGAAGGGGGGGGTTAGAACGGGCAAAGGGTTGAGAAGTCGGAGCTTATAATACACACAGAACGGGGATCGCAGGTCCCAGATTAAGCCCCGATGTTAGGCGCGGCCAATTGGTGTTAACTATGTACGACTTACGTAGTTACAGGTTACGCGCGCCCTTGCTGAGACCGAAGGGAGCAAAGGATGGCAGACGGGCCCCCCGACACCCCCCCGCACCGACCCTGCAGGGCAATTATGGATTGCCGATGCGGGTTCCACGCTGGGGTGGGGTTTCCTTCCGGATAGGGGGCTCGTGGTTCTGCAGTATACAATTGCCCGGGTGAGCGGGGGCGAGTGGCGGCTGTTTCTTAGTATACTACTGGGGAGGCCCATTTCGCCGTGTTATGTTATAAATGTAGCTGTTGCACTCTGTCAAGTCGAACTTCTTCAAACCTTCCGAAACTGGTGGATGGACTGTATAAGCCTCCCCCTAGCCCTGTATACAAATCTCCACATGTGTTTCTGCATATAGGATGGCAGTATGATAGGTTCTCCGCGTGGCTCGCGAAAGAGAAATTTACTTATAGGAAGATGATCTGGGTAACAGATTCTTCTCGACCCTCCTTTTGGTTGGATTTTATTATCCACTTTCAAGAGATACTCCCGCATCAGAATCATGGCGGCCAATTCTAGGTCATACTCATTGGTTACCGATTTGTGTACACTATATCTTTGCCTAAGTTCTGCCCCCTTTTTCTACTAATAACGAGTTCACAATGTGTCTGAAACGATCCCATGAGACACTACTCCGCTGTGTGAGGTCGGCAAGCACACGAGCCGGCGGCCGCGGCCGTAAGGCTGCTGGGTGCGGAGAGAGGAAAGAGAAGGCGGCCGGGAGACGATGACGACGACGACGGTGGAGGCCGACATGGATGTCGGGGCCGGAGATACAGACGCCCTCACGGATGAGCCCTAAGAGCTGGGGGCCTTTGTCAGGGAGAGAGGTTAGACAGTTGGCTGGGTCCTTTCGAGAGGGGATGGAGCTCATGGGCGAGGGCGAGGAGTAGAAGCGCATTGTGGTAACCCGAAGACATCATGAACGTGTGCTTGTGTGCGTTGGTGGCAACAAATCACAATTAAGGTCTCGGGGGGACGCACATGATGTACATTTAACAAGCTTTATTTGTGGCCGTACCGGAGTATGTCTATACGTACAAAGAAGGGTATCGTATTTGGATCCGATCCATACCTTCCGCTGAATTGTCACCATTCAAATGCATGCAACCGGGACTTCCTGTCCAGGAGTCCTTTGCTAGATGTCTCCTCCTCCTCCTCCTCCGCCCCTGAAATACCGCGACCGCGCTCTAATCGTATGTGCGGTGCCCTCCTCATCACAGCTCATTCAAATGCCATGTACGCAATGATGGCGCGTGATCAATATCACAGCTGTGGCTCCGGGATTTCGTCAGCCTGCCCAAAGCCGGCCTTCTTTCGCAATGCTTCGCTCTTCTGATGATGCAATTGCTTCATGACGTATTCGTATGTCATCATGGTGACCGTCGCGGCCGGCACGGCGCGCATCATGTTGACGCCCATGCCGGCGTAGAACGCCCTCCAGCCTTCCTCCATTAGTATCGTGCGGAAGGTCATGGCCACTCCTCTGTACTTTGGTTGAGGGATGGGTTGGCTTGTAACGTTCCCGGGCTTGCCTGCATCCTCCTTTGGCGCAGAAATACCCAGCCCTTGCAGATATTCGACTCCCGGTGTCGGTCTCCTTTGTGTCTGTAACCTTGTGCGAATCACTTCGTGTGGGTAAGTGGCAGAACTCGCCATGATCTTGGATAGTATTGAGGCCGAAAGCACACCGATCCAGTGCCGGGAGGAGTTCTGGTCATCCATGTGTCCCATCTGTTGCCCCGTGAACTTGAGCCTCAGATATTCGTAGGCCGGAAACTGTACGGCTACGTGGGTCAACCCAAGCAGGGCTGGTGTGAGACCCGAGTAAAATGAAAGGATACCCTCGGAGGAGTACATCTTCCGCGCGGCATCCAGCGTGGAGTGGTAATGCCACGGGGAGTTGATGGTCGGCCTCGAGGTTGGCGTGTTGCCGGACCTCGGGAAGACAGACATCTCTCTGTTGTAGCCGTTCGATGACTGCGACATGAGACGGGTCTTGATGACCCATATTGGGTTGGTCACAACCGTACTGCTGGCGCCAGCAACGATGGAGGACCAAAAGTTAATAACAAACTGGCTCCGCACTGGGCAATCACCAAGTCAGCAGGGAGGCTCGTGGACAAAGCTGGAGGGAGGGCCGGCAGGGAGATGTCTTGTACTTACCGTTATGCTCAGCCATAACCTCCTTGCTCTTGGTGTAGACAGTAAACCACACAGCCCACGTGGGCAGGTACCCCAGAATGATGGGCCCCAATCCCCGATATAATCCACGGATGCCCTCCTCTTTCCATATCACCCTTGCTGTGCCCATCAAGCCCTCGTAAACCTTGTGATGACCCACGTGGCGGCCCTTGGCCACGGGCACGAAGCCGCCTTGGGCCTGCAACTTTGTCTTGATCACATCCAGGGGACAGGTGACAACGCCGGAGGTGAAGCCTCCTACGGCGCCGGATAACGCGTTAAACTGCGACTCGGATGCTCGCGCGGCCCATTTCTGGATGGGGGTGAGGGCCTCGGCGTTGTGCAGGGCCATGGTGGCTGCGACCGAAGTCGGCGAGGCGACGGCCCCCTGGTTGTGATGTTCGCCTGCGGAACCCTGGTGATTCGGCGGCGAGGATGTTCTCGAGGAGAACACCCCATAGCCCGAAGGAGTGTGTGGCGGCCGGGCGGTCGGATCACTCTGGGCTTGGTCGTGAGACATGACCTGGAGACAGGGCAGTATCACAGAATCCTCCGGCGGCAACGATGAGTTCGGAGCAGGTGGTGGAAGTTGGGGCCTCTGGCAGCGGTCCGAGGCCCCCGCGATGTCTCTGCTTTGAGGGCGAGAAACTCGACTCGCAGGTCAGACAGGCGCCGCTGGTTCGATGGCAGCGGGTGGCCTTCGCAAGGCAGGCGGCCGTGGACTGCCGCGTTTCGAGTGTCGTACGTCGGGGTTGTGGTTCGACGCCGGATGCAACGCCAGGCAAGGAGGCCGGTGCGAGAGTGCGCGTGCGTGTGCGGTGTGCGGTGTGCGGTTTGCGGGGAAGAGGCTCCCACGCAAGTCCACCGTCGACACTGTTGAGCTATGGGCTGTGACGGGCCATTGGCATCCAGCTGCGGGTGTGCAAAGTGGACAGAGGGCCGAATCCGTGGACGCAGCGGGTGGTGAGGGGTGACGAGGACAGGATGGATGCGGAGGTCGCAAGATCGGTTGCGAGCCAAGCAAGGCGGTGGTGAGTGAATGGGCCCGACCGACGGTTCCTCAAGCCAAGCCAAGCCAGAATCAGAATATCGGCTTCGGCCCTTGAGTCTTTGGCGCTCTCTCTCGCTTTCTCTCTCTCTCTCTCTCACTAACGTTGCAGCGGGTCTGCCCCCCCCTCTGGGACCCCCAAATTCCCAACGAGCCGCTGCTGACCTTGCCCGACCACTGGAAGCACCGCCGGCGAGCGCCGAGCTTTACCCTAACGTAACCTGGAAGCTAGCGTAGATGACGAGAGCCCGTAGACGACTCGGCTCACGCCCGGTTTAAAATAGGGGACGGCAACCCGTGGGAAGAAAGGTCCGCCGATGTAGCGTGTTGGAGAAGCGTTCAATATGTATCGTAAAACTGTGCAGAATTGGGCAGTCGCTGGCAGTGGATAGATAGACTTCAACTAATAAGAAAGGGGCCGCAATCGATGCCTTTTGTCGTTTTCGTTTCCTCGGCCTGGGATTCGCATAGGAAAGCCAGCAGTGACCTCATACCTGGGCTGACAAAGCTGATAACCGGCTGGGACTGCCCAGGACCAGCATCGGATGTGGATGGGCACTCCCACTGCGTTGGCGGACCCGAAAATATACCTAGGTAGGTCCCTAGGTATGTATGCACAGCAGTCACATCCCGAAAACCACCCGGCATCTGACGGCCACTATACAAATCAGACGCCCGTTTTGACGAAGAGCATCTGCGTGCCTGACATAGGCTGGCTGAGAGAAGTGGACGCCGTCTTGAGAAGCAGATAATCATGCAGGGTATGGCGATTGATTCAACCAATTCACCATACAAGTGTAACTACATGCCCACATGTGCGATCTATTTCTTTTTATTTCTTTTTTTTTATCTTCTCTGGTAGATAGCTATGGCGATCGGGTCAATTGTTCTGTATCGTATTGTATGTACGGGTGCTGTTCAAGGATTACTAGTAGCAAGTGATCGGAGAACAAGGCGAGAGAGTTGGATGCACCACCACCCGGACTCGGAAATCCTATGGCAATGTGAAGGAGATGGCCCTGTCTTGCATTAACTGATCTACCAACTGCGGGCATTCTTGAGAGCCATGGCTACATCTGCGCTGCCCTGTGTAACAGTCTGTTTACAGACAGCTTTGACAGCCATCTGCAGAAGACGACGACGAGAACCAGAACGGCCCACGGTGGAGCCACGTGACTTTGCCGGCGCCCCGGGCCAGCCAGTCAAGGTGCAGCAATTATCACTCACATCACGACTCCCGGCCCATCAGCAGCCTCTGACCGAAGCTCCTCCCTTCAGTCAACCACCCTTCCCACCCGCCGACAATCATGTCCGCCTACCCGTCTCTCGCCCCCTTCGTCGCCAAGCGGCCCTGGCTGCGCAGCTTCCTCAAGCCCGTCGCCAATTGGTACGCCAACGCCGCCGGCTACCGACAGCTGGGACTCCGGTACGTTTTTTTTTTCCCTCCTCTCCCTCTCGCCATCACGACACCCCCATGGGATCCGGTTGCGAACAGGAGACACGCCCGTGCTGACTCAGATTGCGAACCCCCACAGTGCCGATGACCTGATCACCGAGGAGTGCGAGGACACGCTCAAGGCCCTCAAGCGCCTCTCGCCCCAGGAGGCCTACGACCGCGTCTACCGCATCCGCCGCGCCATGCAGTGCTCCGTCTCACACCAGCTGCTGCCCCAGGAGCAGTGGACAAAGGCCGAGGAGGTTAGTTGCTCACCAATCACCCCCTACGCGCGCACCGTTTCTCCGTATCCCACGCCTGGGACCTCGGAGTGCGGCCTGGACATGGCGGTCCGGGTTGGCGCATGGGGAATATATAGCGGGAAAGGCCGGACGTCAAGGAGAAATCGCTAACGTGTGGCTACGAAACAGGACGTCCCCTACCTCGTCCCCCTCATCGAGCAGATCAAGGCCGAGGCCAAGGAGAAGGAGGACCTCGACGCCCTGACCATCGTCAAGAACCACTAAGCTGGAGTGCCTGGGCGAGATACTAGAAGGGCGGGATCGTTTGGAGTCCAACTCAACCCTCTCCAGGGCACCTGTACAAATAAAGAAAGCCGAATAGAAAGAGAGATGCATCATTGCCCCCCCCCTTTTTTTTGTATTGAGCAGACAGCAGCAGCAGCAGCAGCCTGTTAGCCGGGACCTTTGGGTCGAGGGATAAGCGGGTCCGAGGTGTATCAGGAGACTTTCATGTGTATAGATCGTGGGTGTTTGGTCTTTGCATATTCCCATTGCCTAAAGATGAGAAGTGCCATTCTCGTCGTCTGCTCATCCCGTTGGTGACGATATTGACGCTGTGTTGTGTCTGCGTAGACAAAGTAGCACCATCCCCAAGTCTCCCGCAAAACAGACATGCGAAAGTCTCCTAAATATAGAAGATAAAACTAACACAGGACATACACCTTGGACACGAACCATCCCTCCCATCCCCTGGTTCGCCCAGACGTGCTCGATGCGGCTGAGACGAAGTTGGATATTGGGGCTTATGGAACCTCCCATGTATGCCAGAGAATCCATGAGTACATGCCTGTGACACCCCAGGGCCGCGTCATATTTGCCCAAGCATTGTAGAAGGGAAGGAGTTTGGTCTCAGACCTGTCGGGCTAGGGACGGCCAGGATATACGGGTTCGGCTTGTACTATCTTCTTGCCATCAACTCTACAGACCAGATGACCAACCATGAGATTATTGACGTTAGTGTATGTATGTGCTTTTGTAGGCCCCAGTATCGACCTGACAGACCTTGACTTTGGATGTGCCTGACCTGGAATGTGTCCTTGTATCAGTACAGTTGCGATTGCGCAACATAGGGAGCAGGACTGCTCCACGTTTACACATAGGGGAGCACAGCTCTGACCCTCGGTTGAAACCACGATCATTGTGAATTAAGAGCAGCGATGTGGTTTTTAGGGCAATGCTGTCGCATTATGCTACACAAAACCTTCCAATACACAACCCTCCAGATGACCCCGCCGTCTGCTTCCACAGGACTTGACTCCGGGCGTCCCTCGGTCTCCTGCCCCTCATGCCGCTCTTCGACACCAGCCTCGAGGCGACTAGTTAGCCGCCTCTGCCATGCTTGATAGCCAAATTCTATTACATTGGGTGGGGGGAAATGCGCCCAGAAAAAAAGACACCATGCTACCCATGCAGAATAAACAATCGGCGCGCCCGGGGTTCGGCACGCAGTAACAAATAGTGAGACCTAACCACCGAGGCTCGGTCGATGAATAGGGGCAGATGGTGGGCAGCGGACATCAATGCCAGACAAGGAAGCCTAACCCCCTCGTGGCGTCGTGAAGGCCACCCCCGACGGGCCGAGGGAGGTTTGAGACCAGTCATAGCTATCCGGTCAATTTGTGATAGGGCTAGGACGAGTGAAGGTCGACGACCTGACCAAGATTCAAAAACAAAAAAACTGCAAAAACAAGAAAACTGTATCCGGTCCAAAACTCCTCTTGTCCCAGTCTGCGATGGAAATGAAACGCAGCAATCGGTGGGATGCTGGTTTGTGCGCATGTCATGATGTTCTTCATACAAGATTACGTTCCTCTGTTCGCGTGTGATGGTCGGATGCCTGAGACCGGTGGACATTATCGGTACACAGCAAGTATATGGCGTAAAGCAATATGGCGTTGGGTGAATCGCCAGTCTAAGCGTTACCGGGCTTCTCGTCGGTGTCGATATGCCAGACAACGTAGTTCGGCAGACCAATGACTTCGTATCCCGCCCGCTTGGCCATCTTTGCGAATCCTTCTGTTTCGGCCTGGTTTTCGAAAGGATAGCAAGGGAAATTGATACCTATCAAGGGGTAAGTTTACAGTGCCTTGACGCGGGTTTCGGTATAGGGTTGCGATACGTACCTGATCGGTGAACATCAGCCTTTACGAGAATGTTGACACCGCCGATGCCGTCCAGCTCTATTTCCTCGTCCTTGTCGTTCCGCCAGTCACCCATACGGGCCATGTGTTGACGTCCAGTGTCGTACTGCTTGTACCCTGTGTCACCACCCCACCATTAGTCACGGAACACCAGGCAGACCCAGAAATGGATAGCATTGCGAGTCTCACCTTCAGCAAGCACCGTGTCTTTGCTCAGGCTATTTGCGAGCTTCAGGCCCTTGTCAGATTCAACCCACGAGTTGTAGTCGACTAAACAAGACTAGGTTAGTTTCTGGCTGGTCGAAACGTGGTACGTATGTATTCCGTCACTCACATCGGCCTTCAATGTCACGCCCATCCTTGTAGCGGTGGAACCAGATGTCTGCACGCAAGTCAGTGATGCGAAATGAGAGGCGTCACTGCAGTTCAACATACTCGGCACAATAATATCGCGGTCATGAGCGATGAAGTCCTCTAAAATCTTCTTTGGGCTGTCGACGATGTCGACATCGCGCCAGAAGACCCACGAGTGCTCCGGCTTGAGGGCAGCCGATAGGAGGTAGTTTCGTGCGCGCCCCATGGCCTTGCGTCGCGGGCCCTGAGCTTCGAACCCGTGTCTGTCCTCGACGGACTGGCTGAGCTGGAAGTGGAAGTCCTTCTCGACAACCATGGCGCTTCGGAAGGGAATCTTATCCGGACGCTTCTGGATGCGCTCCAGCTCCATTGCCAGGACTCCCAGGGTATCGTCATTGGAGTCACCAACAAGGAAAGCGAGGTCGATCAAATGGTGGGGGTAGGTCAACTCAGCGATGAGTTCAAAGTACTTGCTCAGGTAGGGGGCGGCGTCTTTCAGGGGCGTCAGAATGAGGACTCGCTCGTCGTTCTTGACGGCTTGGCGAGTAGACTTGATGGGGTTCAGGTTGACGGAAACGATGGAGGACTCGTTGACTTCTATCGGGGTATGGTGGTTGAAGATTACTGGCGTCTGCAGGTGGGCATTCCATGCTTGCTGCTCATTGAGCGACATGTCCATCGGTGGTTTCGACGGGCCCCAGCAGTAGAAACTATAGAGTAGTAACGTGGGTCAGCTATGTCGCTCTCTGGGGTGCTTCCCTCGTCTGCCGGGAGGGGGGTCCCGCTGCGCTTTACAGTGAGATAGATGTCCATACCTTTGCATTTCATTCGCCGACGATCTGATGCCGCGCCATAGCAATAATATGATGCCGGCGATGGCAATGGACAGGAGAAACCGTGTTCTCGTCACGAAAAGCCATACCGCCCTGGTGGGAGGTAGTTGTGCCTTGGCGGACTTCCAGGTGATGCCGCCCTTGGGAAGAAGCATGATGAGCCCTTCGGGTGGCCCTTTTCACCACCCTTTGAACGTGCCGCGCGTGGAGGATTCAAGTCGGGTCGCAGTGCGACACGGTCCGAGTACGCAGCCCTGTCGAGCAGCCTCGTGTGTGATGTGGCGTGGCGCGTCGTGTCCGAGGGCCCAGCTGCGCGTGCAACCTCAACGCTAGAAGACGGCAGCGAAGCACTGAATTGACCACGGTGCCAGCCCCAAGAGTGGTGGGCTTCGACAAGCAGGTCTTAGTTAGGAACTGTCCCCTCTATGCGAACGAAAGACGGGAAGCTGCCGGACGGGCGAGGCCAAAGAGCACGCTGCGCAAAGCTGGTTTGTCGGTCTGGGCAAGTCGTCGTGGTCGTCGTCGGTTAGGGGGGTCGCTTCGTCGTGCCAAATGCTGACTGGCCCGAGCAGGAAGGAGTTGAAGAAAAGTGACAACGTTCGCAGCCGAGAAATCGCCAGAAGCTCAATTGACGCAAGCTAGCGAGACGGCTTGGATCCGGCGACGTGGGAAAAAAAAGCTGGAGACGGCGAGTCGAGCCTGCACGGGCGCTGGACAAACTCGGTGCTGGTGCTGGTGCTGGTGCTGGAGCTGCCAACTAACGCAACTGTGCTGTCACGGTCACTCTCACTGGCACTCGGGCTTTCCACGTCGTGTTGTCTGACTGTATGTTTGGTCCTGTGCAAAAGTCCACGGGACTGGCGAGTGTCAGCACGGAGGTGGAGAGCGAGGACCGAGATGGGCCAGTCCTGAGTCCGGACTGCAATTACAACAGTGGGAAGCCGAGAGAATCCCTGACGGATGACTGGATAATTCGGCAGGATGGGGAGCGATGCTGGCTAACTAGAGGCGACAGCAGGAGAAAGCTGATGCATGGGAAATACGAACGAGCGACCTGGGACTGGGACGTGGAACCTGGGGGCCTAACAGCCGCCGCAGCCAACGAGCACCACCCGGTACCAGCGGCACTGACGCGAGTCCCAGCGCCCCAGCGCCGAGTTCCAGGCCTTGCGGGGGCCAACCTGTTAGTGACGGCGGTATCCACCGTCCCCGTCTCGTCTTAAGCCCGCCTGTACCCTCGCTATACGGACTCTGCAATTTTTTAAGTATCGCCAAGACTGCTATCATAGATTTTCTCGCGGCTGCCATTTCCATGAGAGCACAGGCAAGCAGGGGGTTCCCCCCTTAGCAGAGCGACGCGACTCCTTTTTCGCATCCTGAGTTATCTGCCTGAACCACTTACTGTATGTAAGATGCAGCCCACACGTTACCTAAGGCACAGGACAAGATCGCGGCCCAGGCTTGCTTGCATGATGGGGGACCGTTGACTAGAGGTGCTACATTTCACCGGGCAATTCTGCACAAGCGTTGATTCTCCAGTGTTTCTATTCTAGGTTGTCATCGCCCCCGACCCTGCCGACGAACGCTCGCCTGCCCGTCGTCTGCCCGACTCGGACACAGTGGTCTCGAAGCTAGGGGGTGCACCCGCTCCACTATGGATTCTGGGTACTCATCACGGAGATCATCCCAGCCTCAACTAGTCTTGTGCTCCGGCTGCGACCCCAATATGTGAGGATCGTCAAGCCAGGCTGCATAGCGCACGATACAGCACAGCACGGCAGCTGCAGTCGCCAGCTGCCCCCGACTTATTAAGCTCGTACAGTAGGCCCGGTCGTATCTTGGAAATCAGAGATGAGATGGGTCAACAACTCTCTGCTGCAACCAAGGTCCACGGGGAAAGCCTCGCCAATGGCCCATCTCTCCCTTGTGACGGTCCCATATTCCTCCCCAAAGTTAGCCCTGTGATAAGTCGTTGTTGTTGCCACGCACATAAGCGGAAGTGGCAGTGTTGTCCAGCTAAGGCCGACCTCCAGGCAAAGATTGCTGAAGGATCGTCTTGGCACGCTGAGGCTGTTGGGACTGTGGAGGCTTTGCAACATATTCCAACAGAAACCCATCCCCCAGCCAGGTTAACCACCACTATGTAGCCGTAGCTAAAGAGACCTACGTATGTTCTTGGCAACAGTCTTTAGCTTGTTCAATTGACTTTGGTAAACGCCTGAGATTTCAGATGACATTCAGATGACAGCGTACGTGGAACTCCAAGCCTGGCGAATGGCTTTGAAGGCGCCAGCTGCCAGCCGGCTCGGCGAGTCAGCTTCAAGCCAAGGTGACAAGGCAAGGGCGCGTGCGTCTGAGCTGACTAAACGATGATGATGGAATTCCGTGTGCTATACACTGCAACTCCATTTCCGACATAGAATTGGTTTTCGATGCCAAAAGGTTTCATGGTCTAAAAAGTCCGTCTTGTGGCACAAAGGTCTACGTTTTGTTTGTCTATCGAAATATGGTCATCGCCCTATGCACGACTAACGCTGCACTCAGGTTCCCCAGGCATGCCCTTAGTTGTGGCTTGATCTCTCAATCTCACTTCGTTTCTTACGCAAGCGATAACACTGCATTTCGAATTGTACCAAATGCTGCTCTTGAACGGCTTGTAAGCTCACCGGTATCAAACTTGAAGCAATCGATCTGTGCGTCATCAACTCTGAAGCTGGCCGCACAATCGCAGCCATCAGCCTGCCAAAGCAAACCGACCCGGAGTCTTTGGAGAGACTTTCCAATAAGAAGCATGTCCACTCGGCGATCCGCCCGGCTCAGTGCCGCTGCTGAGGCACGGCTTTCGCCTGAAATTATGCCTCCTCCGCCAGTTGCAGCAAAAAGGTCGCGGAAGAGGAAAGCAGAAGCAGACTCCTCTGCGCCCCCAGAGCCGGCGGAGGAACAAGCACCATCGACCCCGAACAAGAGGCGAACGAAACCAAAAACTTCGATTCCGCCTCCGGCGACACCCACGCCGAGCAATGCAAAGCTCATGGGCGAACCTGTGCTCAGCAACGGTTTGGACCCCACGACGCCGAAGCCCAGGCCGGAGGCAGTGAACCGCCTCGCAGATCCGAGGACAAGCAATGCTACTCTTCTGTCCCCTGAAACATCCCGCATTGTTGCATCCAAGTCGTTGGATGCAGTATCGCCCTCCAAGGCTGTAGATGTGAAGACGACCACGGCAACTCTGCTCGCGGAGGCTTGCGAGCACTTGATCAAGGTCGATGCCCGGATGAAGCCTCTGATCGACGCTCATCACTGCAAGGTCTTCAGCCCCGAGGGGCTGGCTGAGAAGGTTGACCCGTTCGAGTCCATCTGCTCGGGCATCATCTCGCAGCAGGTCTCCGGAGCAGCCGCCAAGGCCATCAAGAAGCGCTTTGTCGAACTCTTCGAGTCCGGAGAGAATGTCAAGTTCCCACACCCGTCGCAGGTGGCGGCCGCGAGCATAGAGAAACTACGCACCGCCGGGCTCTCGCAGAGGAAGGCCGAGTACGTGCAGGGCCTGGCGGAGAAGTTCACCTCGGGCGAACTGACGGCGCAGCTGCTGCACGACGCCCCGTATGAGGACGTGCTCGAGAAGCTGATCGCGGTGCGCGGCCTGGGGCGGTGGAGTGTCGAGATGTTTGCATGCTTCGGGCTGAAACGCATGGATGTGTTTTCGTTGGGCGACCTGGGCGTGCAGAGAGGCATGGCGGCCTTCGTGGGGAGGGACGTGGCCAAGCTCAAGAACAAGGGCGGCAAGTGGAAGTACATGACCGAAAAGGAGATGGAGGAGCTGGCCGCACCATTTGCGCCGTATCGGAGCCTGTTCATGTGGTATATGTGGAGGGTTGAGGAGACAGATGTAAGCACCATGGAGTAACGGTGTTGTTCTCCAGGTAGATCTGCTTAAAGAACGCTGTATAATAAATGTACAATATACCACAGCTATCATTAAATGAGTTTTACCAGTCTCTGTTGAGGGGGGGAAAACAAGCGTCGCAAAGGAAAACCTCACGAAATGTGAGTGACTTATATCTAAGACCAGGACGTTGTGTCCGTCGTAGATGAGCAGAGATATAGTCTTGTCATGATATATGGCTTATATTGGTGCAAATTATATAGTTTGGACAGTCATCTCTTTTAGATGTACCCTTTTGATCATCTTTAATACCATCCGTCACAGTTTACATTGTTGTTCCAGCTCGAGGTCCATGGATTTCTTCATTTCCCCGCCAGCTCAAGCCAGCTAGAGCCAGACACCTCCGGCCAAGGTCTGGTTCTTAAGGTCTCATGCCATGCTGACTCAATAAGGGCGTAGGCTGTCCCTCTGAATGGTAGATCAGAGGGTCTAGTATACCATCATATCTGTGCCTTTTCAGCCGGCTAGGATAACCATGTATGTGGCCGCTATTATGGGCAATATCATTGCCATTGACGTATGAGGAGTGCTCTTGGAAAGACATGGTCGTGTACTATTTTCAGAGTATCCACGGTGTTTTTGGTAGTGAACCATCCTCGGCGGTGTGGCCTGGGTACTCAACGACGATGGGCTTTCTGTGTAATGCACTTCTTGTGGTATTAGATCCATGAGCAAAATCATCGTGTTGATCACCTGGAGGCGCATGTTAGATAATCTGAGATTGATATGCGGTGCTGTCATATAATGCATTCGATAGGCCACACCGCCAGCAGTGCTCCCTTTCCTAGAAATGAAACTCTCGCATCGAAGGTTGTCATGTTTCCCCTATAAGAGAGACGTAGTGCATATCCTTGTGATGCGTACGGATGATATGGCCGAACACGTCATAAATGGCTCGGCCAAATCTCAGGTCCCTAATACGACCTCCTCAGCCAAACAGAAATATGCCACATTCAGCCTCGGGCACCTTCGGTCTTTTGGTGAGCCAACCGTGGCTTGCCCAGGGTTTGCAGCCACTACTAATACAGCGCTAAAATCATACTGATTTAGTATTGCCAGCGTAATATCGGGACCACGTTCATAAGATTGGCGAAGCTGCCGTACCATGCATTCAAGCATGTTTGGAAGTACCATTTTACTGGGCAAACTACTCCAGCGGACTGCACCCGAAGCTATAGATCACGGCGGTCATTCAAGAAGCGACTAGACCGTCACGAGGGTGATGTCTCATACTGTGTTTCCGTCCTTGACTATAGCTCTACTGTAACTAGACGCCCGGTTTATATGGCGATTTGAGCGGGTGTCCTTCCAGAGGATCTCGAAGCGATGCCCAGGCTCCAAAGCCTAGGGTGTTCCCTACGCTTGCTCCGACCAGAATTACCATTCATAGACCATGTGGCTTTGGTTTCCGTCTCACGTAGTTTACAGGGGCGGCGCCTTAAACAATGCATGTATACACTGTATAGGGTCATCGAGACAGCTGTCATGGCCGAAATGTAGATACGGACACTCCTGTACTGATGTCATACATTTGAATCATTCTGTGAGTTCAAGTGGCACCGAAGCATGTAAATCCCCCTTTCTTTGATGCCAAAACTTTACTTGATGATTGAATGGGGACAGACTCTTCCTATGCCAGTCGAGATGATACAACAGAACAGCAGTGAGACAGGTTTAGCGTTCAGGGATAGGCATATAGGATAACATACACAGACCAGTACCTATGCTGTCATCGTAGTCCACTTTACATGTTTCTGGTGAGTTTAATTGGTGTTGCAGAATATGAGGGTTGCTGTCATCCCATACGTGCAGCTCTTGCAGAACCCCCCACGGCTGAAGTATTAGGAAACCATAGTCGCTGGAGTAGTTGGATAAGCTTTAGGTTCCGTGATTTCCGCAACCGTCAGCTTTGACATGTTGACCGAATGCACTTCGGTTCGTATTGATAAAGTCTCTCAAAGCCGAACCCCGCAATTCTATGGCAGTCAGTTGGGGAGGTTGGCAATGACAGCAGCAGAGGCGAGCAATATGCACATGAACGACAACCTGCAGTCTGCAAGCAGGGAGAAGCCGTCAGCTGACTGGCCAATGCTCTAGTTATCGACAATACTTGGGCATGGGTCGGCATATGTAGGGTGGTGCATGAAGGACGCAGGAATATCAGCCTCGTTTCTGGCAGCATCCCACCACATGGAATGCACACCGGCATGGGTAATGGGATAGGATATGGAGTCTGAAGGCTCCATTCGCCGCTACTATCGAGGCATTGCGATTGAAGCCGGAGTTCCGTTCTCCTCTACCGCTACCTGTGGTGACGAATCATCTTGCACAATACGATCGTAGTCGACGCTGGGAAAACTTGGTCCAGCCACTCGGTCCACTTCCACGTAGCGAGACGCGTGTACTACTTGACTACGCAGTGGCGGCCTGGCTGCGATGCGGCCTCTTCGACTGCTCGGTGTGGCTCAGCGAGACAATTGGGGAGCGGGCCAGGGCTAGATGCTAGCTAGTTGACCTCTTAGAAACGTGTACATTTAGGCTCTTCGCGGGAGAGTTTTAGGGGTTGGTCTCGTGTTGACAGCCGGAGTTAAGTTACAATTGCTGCAAGCTGGGGGAAGTGCGTCCCGGCCCGGGGTCATTCAATGCAATGACGTCGCTATTCCCGGGCGTGAAGGCAGCTTGAAACACTAAGAGGATGCTCAGCCGCGACGGAGCAGAGAGGATGCGTCTCTGGCATTCCAGAAGGGGATGCTATGAAGATCAGGATCCGAGAGCAATGAAACATTGGCACAACTTTGTTTGGGGCCCCGTGGGCGGTATGACGCATAGTTGCGACAAAAACAGGCAGATCATGGTAAATAAACAGCATGGTGGATGCCAAGGTTAAAGGGGCTGTTTTGAAGGTCCTGTCTGAAGCTGTGGAATTTGTGAGATGAGACACTGTTACAGAAAGAGACAGTCACGCCTGTGATGCTCACTGGCTGCTCCATGCAAGACACAGGCGGCTGCCAGTACGCACCCTGTACAGCAGCGTGTATTGAGAAACGCGAAGCCTTGCGAGCGTTCGTTGCCTTTGCAGATCTCGACACCATACTGAATCTAGGATAGGTTGATAGTCTAGTTACGGCAGCTGTTCAACGGATCGCACGCTGCTGTTTCGGCTGCATTGAACGAATTGATCGGATTGCGATGGCGAGGTTGCTATAGCTGGGACGAAATAAAGCTTTCAAAGGAGAGCCAGAGGTGGTGCGCCGACTGGTTCAACCTCTCCATATGGTAATGCATATGATGATCTCGCGGTTGCACATTCAACGGTGATTGTGTCATGTTGATAGCGGTTCTCCATCAAAATGAATTTGCGGTGGTTGACAAAGATGACAATTGGCGCCTATCTACGGTAGCCGGGGGCTCGAGGGGTAGACAAGCCATATCCAAGATGAAAGCCAAGATGAGGAACCACAATATCTCGACCTATGGCAATCGTGGACAATGCGGGCTCTCCCGGCTATTGCTGATCGGACTGTTTAGCTAACACGTCGGCCGGGCAGTGGTCAAATGGTGGACTCTGTACGTCTGATGATCCTGCGCATCCATATGTTGGAGACGCCCGCGTAGCTCCATTTATCTATTATCGTCACCCCATGAGTAGACAGCGAGGTGCTGAAAGCATCCCGGAATGGCCCCAAAATAGGTGAAGCACACTATGCAATTCAAGCCTTGGATAATGGCACTGGCAGCGACTACTACTATGTAGGAGCGGGTCCGAGGCGGAATGGAGAACCTGCTGCGTACAGAGACCGTCCTGAAAAATTATCCCAGTTGTGTCGTCATTATCGAGATGGTGTTCAATGCAAAGTGGAGGCCCGAAACGGCTACCGAGGAAAGCGAAAACTCTCTCGTGGCCGCCTCGCGATGCACGCACGACCAATTGACTATAGTCGCCAGGTTGCATATATAGATCTTGATAGCAACGACTAAAGGCAATAAGCGACGACTCTCTCGTGGCAGCTTTGTGCCCTCACAGGACATTGGACGCCAACGATCAAGAGCTGTTTGTTGACTGTCGCATGTGAAGAGCGAGCATACCATAGTACGCAGATGGAATAGGCAGTGGGCCCGTCATGGTTGTCCCCAAGCAAGGCCAAGGGCGCGAGGCGCAGCCCAGATGGCCATCGGCCGCTACCTTGGATACCTAGGTAGGGTTCTGACTGGTTCGTCGAGAAGCAGCCAATGCAACGGAGATTCGTACCGGCGGCGTATCTGCAGATGCGGCCAGGCACGCGGTGGATACGCCCCCGATTGATTCCCTCCCAGATGGCCCGTCGTCGGTAGAAGGCATTGAGTAGGTAATCAAAGGCATCTCCAGGATGAGCGAGGCCAAATGCTTGACTTCATGACCCCGTCGAGCGCGATGGTCGATTGATTTCTCCAGTGTGCTCGGACAAGGGGGGCCAAATGGCACCGGCTTGCGAATCAGAACGTGCAACGGCCAGATACGCGGCGAGTTCAACGCGCAATCTCGCCCACACCATCGAGGTTCGGGAAAGTATCGGCAGGGGGGGGCAGAGTGAATGCCCCGTAATGGTGCATGCGCTTGCAGGAGATTCCCTGCTTGCCGAACTAGGGACGGACAGGAGCAATCTCGCCAATTGAACGATCAATCTTGCTGTGAGAGACTGCGACACTACGCAAGAGTTGGATCGACTTTCCGTGGGAGGCCGTGGCGCCGTTTGGCCACCAGAGAGAGGGTGCCGAGCAGAGCGGGAGCTTAGGAGGGCTCCTCGATGGCCACTGACTGGTGGGTGCATTCAAGCTGGACGTGACTTGTCGCCTGTCTAGCCTCTGAGGGAAGCGGCGTGGGCTCTTCGTATGCATCCAACACAAACCTGGCCATCCGTACATATGTATGTACAGTAGCTCGTACATGTCATGTAGTGGTGTGGTGCCGAGAGATAACCCTTGACTTGGCCTGGACTGCGTGGATGGTCAGCCAGGCATGAGGGTGAAAAAGGGGATGGATATGTACATGCATGCCTCAACCCCGAAATGGTAACAGTTTGTGTGTGCACCAGAGCATGTGTGAGTGTAGTGTAGTTGTTATGTATGTGTGCTAGGCATGTGCGGTACCGTACGGTGTTCCTTGGACCCCCCATGTGCCGCCGCGTCGACGTGCACAAACTGGACTCATCATTGATTGCTTGAATTGAACTGAACTGATTGATTGGGATCTCTGATGCTGGCAGGGTATCATTTCACTCCCCCCTGGGCCATCCGTAGCAAGCGTAGCACTAACTTGGACAGACCCGTCAGTGCTCCTCTTGGCCGCGCTCCTTGCCCACTTCTCTGCCCAAAGGTGGTCTGGGATTTTCCCTTTTCTCGCGCACACCCCCCGGCACCAGGTACCGCGCCATTCTCCATCTCTGGATTCCAAAACGTTTCGGCTTTCCCTGGACGTCAACACTCTTCTTTCCCTCTTTTCCCATCTTCTTTCCCACTCTCCCCTTCGGATTCATTCGTTTGTCGATATTCCCATCTAACAGAGGAAGAGCCACTCGCTCTTACACCTTCCTCTACTTAATACCTCCCGACTTGTGAAAGGAGTGACCCGTTGCCCCAAGCAGTCCCCGACCGACCCGACGACATTTTCCGCTCGCGTCTATCAAAGGGAAAAAAACAAGACTCACCAGTTGGGTATTCGGCTGTGAGGACTAGAAGAGAGACTAGTTCCTAGAACACTATCTATCGGATTCTTTAGAAAAAGGTAAGTTGAGACGCGATCTCGGTCACTATTTTCTATTCCAACCTTGGCGTCGACAAAATCTGGCTCTGGAACGGATACATGGCACAGAGCCATCCCAACGGATGGGTGAAGCCGCCCGAGGATGGACCAATTGCCGGCCGGTCTCGAATCCAGGATGTTCTCGCACTCCCCCGTCGCCCTCTCCCCCCTCTTTTTGGTTGGAGATCCTTCGCCTCCCGGTACTTCAGGGGAACAACCGCGATGTCTCCGGGTCGGACCACCCACGGCAAAGACGGACAAGAGGGCCTCCAAGCTGTATCTGCACGCTACTGTAGTCTGAGACTAGCGCAACTGGCACAAAGCGTGGGCTGCTGCTCGACGTGGTGGTGGTGGCTGCCGCCCAACCGCCATGAACGAAGCTAGAGTCAATTGGAGAAACTGCACTGAGCAGCCCGGGACCGATTACCGTTGGAAATTGGCCTCCCTCCGAGATGGCCAGATGGCCATTGCCGCATGGCCTTGCATGACATGGCTTCATACTACAAGCGCTGCAAGCAGCTATTCAGCGTCAGGTAGCCGATGTCTCGCTCTGCACACAATCCCATCAGTCGCCAGTCGCTCTCGGTACCTCTCCAACCGGCCACATACGTCCAGCCATCCTGTCTGGCTCCCCAACCGCCCTTTCCCAAGTTGTGGATTGTCGGCTTTCCTCTCCTTTCGAGGCGTTGATCCATCTGACTTGGCTGTGACTACTTTCTGGTCGCCATTGTCTGGCAAGTCGGTCTTGGAGTATTCGCTGCTCTCGTCCCTCGCGAGCTCCCAATCATCCATTTCTGTCCCGTCACAACATCACTTTTTGGAACGTCCGACCCAATTCTTTCGCGATACAGATATCTACACATTTCCGGACGCACTGCCAACTGTTTAGAAGGACAACATCTGCGCCGTTCTCATTATTGTTTTCTACACGCTCTCAAAACGAGCTCTCATCAAGCATCCTTGACCCCTGCTGACTGATCCGACGAGCAGTAACCCTTCAAAATGTACAGCAAGACCTTTGTCTCCGCCGCCGCGGCGCTCGCCATGGTCTCTGGTGAGTCCACTGCTTCCACATGCTTTAACATGGCTTGCTTGCTAATCCCATTCCAATCCCAGGCGTTGCCGCTGTGAGCTGTGATGATCCCACCGCCACTATCGCCTCGGCTGCCGATGCCACCACCGTCGCCAGCTGCGACTCCATTGAGGGCTCCGTCGTCGTCGACTCCTCGTCCGGCAGCCAGATTGACTTCTCCGGCTCGCTGACCAAGATCGGAGGTGATCTTATCGTCCTGAACAACGGCGGCCTGATCTCCCTGTCGTCCACCTCGCTTGAGTCGATTGGTGGCGCGTTCCAGGTCAAGAATGTCACTCTTCTGTCGACCCTCAAGTTCACTGCGCTGTCATCTGTGGGTACCATTGACTGGTCCTCGCTGAACGCCCTTGAGCAACTCACCTTCGGCACCCCTGGTGTCGTCTCCGCCAAGGAGGTTACCATTGCCGATACCTTCCTGAACACCCTGGATGGTATCAACGTGCACAGTCTCGACAAGATGGACATCAACAACAACCACCGTCTCACTGATTTCACCACCGAGCTGAACAACCTGACCACTCTGCTCAACATCAACGCCAACGGTCCCAAGCTCAGCGTTAACATGCCCAACCTCATCTGGGCTGCCAACATGACCATCTCTAACGTCACCAAGTTCTCCGCCCAGTCTTTGGAGTCCATCAACGGATCCCTCCGTTTTGACTCCAACTTCTTCGACACCTTCAGCGCCCCCAACTTGACCGAGGTTCAGACCGGTGACCTGTCGTTCGTCAGCAACGCCAACGTCACTAACATCACCCTGCCCCTGCTGGAGAAGATCGGTGGTGGTTTCACCATTGCCAACAACACTGCCATGGAGGATCTGAACGGCTTCCCTAAGCTTTCCATGGTTGGTGGTGCCGTCAAGCTCCGAGGTTCCTTCTCGTCTGTCGAGCTTCCCGCTCTTGATGATGTTCGCGGTGCCTTCGATCTGTCCTCCACCGGCGATATCAAGACTTCGTGCGAGGCTTTCAGCTCAAAGGCCGGCAGTGAGATCCAGGGCGAGTACTCTTGCACCAGCAACAACGCCAACGCCAACAACGACACCGACTCCACTGGTGGCGACAGCACCACGGACGAGAGCGCTGCTGGTGCTCTCCAAGGCATGAGCATGTCATGGTTGGTCAGCTTGGTGTCGATTGCCGGTTTCGTCGTCGCTTTCTTGTAAGCTGGTATGATGGTTGCTGGGAATTCAGGAGGCGTTTTTCAGACTTTCCATTTCCGATTGTCATCAAAACTCTTGTCATTGTCATTTCACCCGTGCTGCATGATACCGCAGCGAGGGCTACGTACAAGGATCCGCTAGACTAATACTGACGCATTTTACTGAAACGGTCTTTTCTTGCGTGATACACTTGCCTGGGCCTTTCTAATTCTGGGACGCACACCAGTTGGCCATCGGAATGGTGATGCAATACTTTCGAGTACACACTGGCGTCGGGGAAACAAGTTGGGAGATTGTGGAAAGCCACGGGACGTGGCTGGCGGTACTTTGGCTTGGCGACTTGGTCTGCAGTTCTGTTGCTTGTCAAGCTCCCGTGTCAAATGGGAGTAGTGTGTTTTAGTGACGTTGGATTTATATAAATGGCCAACGATGGTGTAGTCTGATGATGGAAGTACACATAGGTTCCCTTTTCCTCTTAGTCGTAGTAAACCTATAACATGTCTTGTGCGTAATAATAGAGTCGACAAATTCAATTTGTACGATCTTCAGCTGCCGCTCTCACCAGATCTTGACAACCCATCCTGCGTCTCATCGTGAGGGTATACATCAACCTGATGGGACGTTTCCCAATGATGCCGCCAAGTTCCTTCCACACGTGTTGGTTAGTCGTGTGAATCTGGTCATTATTCCAGTCTTTCTGTACTACCTACAGACATAAGAGCAGGGGTCTCGATAGCTCTGGACCCCATCTTCCGCATCTGGTCGTCTGCTGACAGACAAATGGGATTATTCCCCGTCTTCTTGTTTGCTGATTCGCCCTGCTTGCTGTCCCCCCTGGTCCCCGTCTCACCACACGCTCTTCCCGTTAGACAAACAGCGGCCAGCCATGTCGTGCGTCAGGGTTTCCGACGGGCTCCCAGCGAAGTGCCGCCGTTGCTTGGCTAGATTGCCGAGATCTACGAGCTCTCCGAGTCTCAAGAGGCTGAGCATGTGAACACAGCTGGGGCAGTCACGTATGAACTCTAGCCTCGACTTTGTCGTGCATGTCACCCACACTGCCGTCCTCCTTGGACACTGGGGTCGCCTACAATGTGGGGTATCTTTTGACGTCTTTCAACACACTCGTTCTATGTACAGCTCTCCTGCTCGGCAGACTGCCTCGTAACCCTTGGCCGGTGTCAGAGCACAGACTCGATGACCAGCGATGCCCCTGTAGATGTAGCGCGCTCACTCTGCCACCCGGACCGTTACTCATATATCCCCTTCTCAAACATCTCCCCGTCGTAATACCGCGGCTCGATGCTGCTGCCCGCAAACACCCGCCCGTCCAGCGCGTTGACGGCCCGCAGCGCGCTGACCGTGTCGACGAACTTGATGTAGACGCTGCCCGTCCCACCGGCGACGTCGATGTACAGGCGCTCGACGCGGCCGTACTTGTCGCCGCACTCCTCGCCGATCTCCTGGCCGAGGCCGTCCTCCATCTCGGCGCGGAGGTCTGATATGTTGTCTAGCATATGCCGCAGTACGATCACGTTCGACACGGGACCGAACTTGCTGGCCGTCTCCGAGGAGCTCGACGAGCTGGCGGCGTTCGGGTTGGCCTTGGGCTCGATGATGCGGCCCCGTCCGCCTGGCTCGGCCCACCCGCCTCCCTCGGCGTCCGACCTTTTCTTGCGCTTTTCGACTTGGACTCGGATCGGCGCGATGATGCCCGTACCTTCGGCTCCGAGACCTTGGCCTTTACTCCAGCCGTATTTAGCCATCAGGCGGGCGGCAAACCCTCTCTGTCCTGGTCTGCTGGTGCGTGTAGCATCTGAGTCTGCCGGCTCGGCTGCGTCCTCATCCATAGCGTCCGGGCCGGGGTTATTGGGCTCAGCCGGTGGCGAGGCAGGCGGAGGCTGGGTATAGCGGACGGGCGCACGAGAGATGGTCGGTGCGTCTGGCTCGAGGGGCGGAGGCGGAGGCGGAGGTATGGCCATCGAGGACGCCGGAAGCTCGGCATGAGCTGCCTCCGGAGGTGGAGGAGGCGATGATGACCTTGGAGGCGGCGGAGGAGGTGCAACACCCTGTGACAGGGCAAGGCGGCGAGCGTAGGCATCGTCGCCTGTTTTGTCGTCAGGGATGGGAGCTCGAGGTGGTGACGCGGGCGGCGGCGCAAAGGAATAAGACGGCGGGGGAGCAAATTGATCTGAGTAGAAACACATGTTAGCAATGGTATGGAGAGCTGGAATGGATCGCAGAACGTACTCATCATCGGCCTGTCTTCTTCCTCGTCACTATCCCAACTCGACTGCCTCTTGGCGGGGCGCCGGTGCCTGTAGAGCATGGCCTTCCATTCCCTCACCTCCCTGATGCGCTCGTCACTGCGCAGGTACTCATCCACGTTGGTCGGCCTCGAGGGGTCGTAGATCTCGTCCCAGTCCGTCTCGGCGGGCGCATTGTTGTTCTTCTTTTTCTTGTTCTTCCTCGGTCGCGGCCGCTTCTCACCGGCGTACATCCACTCATCCTCCTCGGTGACGGCCCAGTCGGCCAGTGTGCTCTTGACTGGAGCCGCGGCTGCGGCTGCGGCGTTGCCCCCACTGGAAACAGGCGCACCAGGCGGCGCGGCCTTGGGGAAGGTGGCCTTGGGCTTCTGCGTCTTTGGCTGGGGCCGCCGAATGGGCTGGAAACGCAGAGACGGGTCAACGGGCTTCTTGGCCGCGGCGGCCTCCTGCTCTTTGACCGCGTCGAGCGCTTGCTGGGAGACCTGCGGCGCCCGCGATATCGAGGCTGCGGCGTCGGTGGGAGGGTCGAGCAGGTCGGCGTACAGCGACAAGCCGCCAGCGGGCTTTGGAGGGGGAGCGCCCGACATGGCTCAAGCGCAGTCGATGAGTCTTTGCGGCATGTGTAGCCAGGCTGCAGATGAAGACGGAGGCAGGTGTCGTCGGCCGCGGATGTCTCCAGTATCGCTATCGCAGCGGTGCCTCAGCCTCGTCCGTCTCTGGTAAGGCAGGTTGTCTGAGCTCCGACTTGGCTGGGTACCTAGGTAATCTTTGGTTACCCCCAGGTTCCCTAATGGATTCCAGGTTCCGGCTACGGGGACCTGGGGCCTGTGGGCGTTGAGCCACTGGGGGCCCCTAGGGGCCCCTACAGGGACCGGGGCTCGCTGGGAGCTCCCCGCCTGTGAGCTCCAGGGCTCTGTGTGGCGGCCGACAGCGCCAGGACGGGTGGACTGGTGGACGGGTCTGCGCTAAGTTGCCTAGGTACCTCGTCACGCACCTGCAATGAGCTACCTATCAGCCCGCGGACCTTTCTCAACTTACCACAACCCTTGTCCAGACTGCCGGAGGTGTGCTGATCTTACAAGCACGAGCTGCATGATCCGACCGTCTGGTTCCTTTAGCCTCCTCCAGAAGTGCGAGATTTCATGGTCCAGAGCATACTCAAGCAGGTCGGACTCTCCTTTTTCTGTCCCCGTAGATTTCTTCTTGTCCCTTAAAGTCGCAAGTTATAGATTCCCTTTCAATCTAGATACTCCTTCGTCTCTTCGCTCTCCAGATCGCTTCCCCGTTGCACACCGGCGCACTGCACATATCAGACAGAACCCCCCACCGCCAGAATGGCCACTCTACAAACCGCAGTCCGAGGCTCCCCGAGCTCTGTGGCCGTCATCGTCCCCTCGAAGCCCCATGCCCTCACAGTAACTTACGGCGACCTTGCCGCTGAGTGCACCTCCTTCCAGCGCAAGCTGGCCGCCATCGGAATCGGCCGCGGCTCGCCCGTCTCGATAGCCGTCGTCAACTCGTATGAGTTCATCGTGTCTTTCGAGGCTGCCTCCTGGCAACGCGGCATCTCCGCGCCCCTGAACCCGGCATACAAGCAGGACGAGTTCGAGTTCTACATCGAGGATATCAAATCGGAGCTTGTCTTGGTGCCCAGGGGGGCTTTCGCGGCGAACGCCCCGGCCGTCAGGGCTGCTAAGAAGTTCAATGCTGCTGTTGCCGAGTGTTACTGGGACGATGTTAAGAAGGAGGTCGCTCTAGATGTTAAGGATTTGGGTCAGTTGAAGGGGAAGAGCAAGCAGGAGCTGTTGAAGGCACAGAGTGATGATGTTGCATTGGTACTACACACCAGGTACGTACAAGATGCTATGAATGATTCATGCATGCATGCATGCAGCCAAGGCCGAATGCTGATGAATTGGGGTATAGCGGAACTACCTCGAGGCCCAAAGTTGTAGGTTCGCCCTCTATACGTGATTCTATATTCCGTTGACGTCTTTGTATAGGTGCCATTGACTCACCGCAACCTGGTACGGACGATGGGTATGCAATTCTTATCGGATATATTCACTCAAGACCACTCCACTAACTGCACGCCAGGCAACATCCAATCAACTTACAACCTCACAGCAGAGGATCGGACGATGCTTGTGATGCCCTTGTTCCATGTCCACGGCCTGCTGTGTGCCCTCCTTGCGCCTCTGTACTGCGGCGGCTCCATGGTGGTGCCCACCAAGTTCTCGGCCTCCGAGTTCTGGAGCGACTTCAAGACGCACAAGGCAAACTGGTACACGGCCGTACCGACGATTCACCAGATCCTGCTCAAGTCCCCTGTTCCCACCCCCCTCCCGCAGATTCGCTTCATCCGCTCCTGCTCATCTCCACTTTCACCGGCCGTCTTCGAGAAGCTTGAGGCCACCTTCAAGGCCCCTGTTCTCGAAGCCTATGCCATGACGGAAGCCGCCCATCAGATGTCTTCCAACCCGCTGCCTCCGGCGAAGCGCAAGCCGGGCACGGTCGGCCTTGGTCAGGGTGTCGAGATGAAGATTCTCAACGAGGCCGGCGACGAGCTGCCCCAAGGGTCCGAGGGGGAGATCTGCATCCGTGGCGAGAATGTCACCAAGGGCTACCTGAACAATCCCAAGGCGAACGCCGAGGCTTATACCAAGTCTGGCTTCTTCCGCACCGGCGATCAGGGAAAGAAGGACGAGGATGGATACATCATCATCACAGGCCGAATCAAGGAGCTCATCAACAAGGGAGGCGAGAAGATCAGTCCCATTGAGCTCGACAACGTGTTGACGAGGCACCCCGTGGTGAGCGAGGCGGTCAGCTTTGCTGTTCCGGATGAGATGTATGGACAGGATGTGGGGGTTGCTGTCGTTCTTAAACCCGGCGAGAAGCTATCCCAGGAGGAGTTGAGGGCCTGGATGGCGGAGAGGGTTGCAAAGTTCAAGGTACCCGTGAAGGTGAGTCTCCCAGCATGATTCAGTGGTTTGAACCCGACCAAGTAGCTAACCGTGCCCAAGATTTACTTCACGGAAATCATGCCCAAGACGGCGACTGGAAAAATCCAGAGACGCATTGTTGCTGAGACGATGCAGAAGCAGGACAATCCAAAGGCCAAGCTATAAGGGGATTCATATTTCGGAATAAGCGGTTGGATATTCAAAGTAGACGTCACTACAGGTAGAGCGAACCATAGAGAGCCACCGACACGCGTTAGAGGAGAAGCAAAGACATAAGACATAAGACGTAAGACGTAGACGTAAAGACTCAACGAAGATGCTCAAACCAGCATCGCAATTCAAATTTAGATTTTTCATCTCACACATCATGGGTATCTTGTACTTATAACTCCCCTTTTTCGCCAATGCAGGAGCGTATGAGCGCCAAGCCCCATATAACAGCTAGCCAGCAACGTAAACCGCAAATGCCAAACGCCGCCCACGCCGACTTGTTTCGAAAGAAGCGATCGCAAACCGCCACGCCAGTGCCCCCCCAAAAAACATAAACCCGCAGAAAGCGCCATGCAGCGTAAAACAATCAAGCTCTCAAAATCCATCATCTAGCCCATGGAGAAATAGGCATCCTCGTCCACGTCTTCACCGTCGCCGGTCTGCTCCGCTGCCGCCGCTTCGACTGGGCGGAAGCTTCCCGCCGCGGCTGCTGCTGTTGTTGTTGTTACTGTTGCCGTTGTTGCCGCCGCCTCGGCCAGGAACCCCGACCGCGACTGCTCCTGCCGCCGCCGCTCGGTCTCGACCCGCAGCAGGCTGTAGCGCACGGCCTGGTCCAGCGAGCTGTAGACGGTGATGAGCTCGCCCGAGGCGTCGGCCACGGTGGACGGCGCGGGCTCGTCTTCTGGCGCGCTGGACGCCGAGGACGGGCTCGACTCGGCCGCCGAGAACAGGGACGCGGCGTCCTCCTCCTCCTCCGCCGACATGCTGGAGCAGGCGCTGCCGCCGCCGCCGCCGCCGCCGCCGTAGTAGTAGGCTCTCTTGTGTGGCGACATGGCCGAGAGCGCCTCCAGGTTCAGGCGCGTGAGCGGTGCTGCTTGGGTCATGGTAGCACCGGACGCTTGGTTGTGTGAAAAGGTTGAGTGGTTGTTATAAGTAGGTTGGAGTGCTTAGTAGGTGCTGCCCTCTTGGAGGGGCTCGTTCCTGAGCGAGGTTGCTTATGTGTGTCTGTGTGCGTGTGTGTGTGTATGTGTAAGAGCACGCGTGTGTAGCTCAGTAATCGAGCGGTCAGGTTCTGTATGTAAGGTGAGGGAGGCTCTTTGTAGGGATTTATCTAGGACGATGGGATGGTGTTCTCGAAGGTCCTGGAGGGAAGAGCAGTAATGATTATGTATGTATGTACGTGTGGTTTGGCCCAGCAGCTTCGCACACCGCCAAGCGCGAAGCGGCCCTTTTCCTTGCCCAGGGCCTAAGACGTCGATGTTCCAGGGCCAAGGCCAATGACTATCTCGCGCCTCCCGCCCCGGTCTAACGGACGACTCATATTCACATGGGGCCTAGAATTCCAGGGTCCAGAGCGTTGAGGGGGGAGGTGGTGGTGCAGCATTGCCTCACTTCCCCCCAATGACGCACCTGTCATGTGAGCCGATGATCGCCGGCAATAGCCTGCAGGCCAAGGGCTCAGAGCCAAACCTCGGCCGCAGGTGCCGGGCAGGGTCGTGGGCTTGGCAATCTTGGCTGTCGCGCTTCTCCCTCAATTGGCCAATGGGCAGAGTCGCTGAGATAGCTGCGAGATTCGGACCTCGCGCTATCTCGCGACGAACGGGATGCGAGGCGCCCCGGATATCCCGGGGGCGGTGCTCGTGTCTTTTTTATCCATCTCTTCGTGTCTCTTGACCTTGATCTCAGGTAAGAGTTGCCATCAAGCACTCTGTCAGTCGGTCGGTCATCCGTCCAGGTCAGCAGGCCCCCCGCAGAGTTTGCGATAAGCTCCAGCGTCTCCCTACGGCTGACGCCGAGTGCATATGTACCCCACTGAATAGTGACAGCTTGGCCACGCACTATTCGGCGGTGATCCTCGACGATCTGCGCGCATCCATGATATAACACGCCCCGTTTCATAGCCAGACCGTGCCAGGCAGAGCAAATTATACTTATCTTAAACCAACCACAGATATAAAAAGACTCTTGGCTCAGCTGATAGGTTTCTGGCGCTGGGCGGTCGAGCTTGGCGCCCAGGGCCTTATAATAGGGGCACGCGGCCGACACCTGGGCGCTCTGGCACTCTTTGTTTCACAAACTTCGTCAAATCTCGTTTCAACCACGAAATTGAAGAGCCTTGGCTTCTGGGATTACTGACGATCACAGCTCGAGAAGATGAGTAAGTACCTGGCGTTGGAAGCTGAGCAGACGCAGACCCTGTGATGATCACTAGTTGGCGAGGAGACCATTCCGGTGTTCCACCTGATCTTGATACTGTTTAGCCACCAGGCCATGTTGAATCTCGGTGTCAGTAATCACTCCATAGATTGCATTGCACCCACAGTTGGTAAACAGAAACGCGGCATCGGACTGCTTGTATACGTACATAAGCAAGGTACAGTATTCTATTTTGTGTTCAAGTTGTGGTCCGCTCTTTACCTTCATCTTTTCCAGATCGGTTCCCAGAGTTTCTGGATCCACCTAGAACAGGCACCAAAACAATCCCTTCAGCCTAAGAAGACCTTAGCAAGTCTTTTCTTCATGCTATCCAACTTGATTCTTTAGGAACGATCGAAAAGACAAGCTGTCGACCATTCCTATAGACAATGTTTCAAATGGGTTTGGAATTTTTCTTACTGTGGAGTGAGAGACGTGTTTCGTAAACGCCATATCTCTTGGAGGGGCATATTTTCCCACAACGCGTTATGGTCGTGGAATGTTTATTGCACATTCGCCACATTCCCGAATATGTCCTGATCTTGTGATACTATTATGTTCAGACGGCTCCGATTTGGAGCCTTGATGACCGTCACATGTATCGATGATCGCCTGGGCTCCTTAGCCTACCCAGCGACCATTATCTGGGTATGCTACCAATATAACTAGCACAAAACCGGAGATGTTCCTGGAAACATATAAGTCACTGCTACCAAAGCTACCAAGCTTGGTGCCCAGACATTGCGAACTCATATAGTTACAAAATGGGTGGGTCAGGGCAAGTTGACCCACCATGGCTGTTTGCTGTCATAGCTCCACGCAGGCTCCAAATTACTTGGAAGTCAATAGGACGGTCTGGTGTAGCACTACCTCGTCACGTTTGGAGAGAAACGAAGCCAAGAAAAATGTAAGGGAACGTTTGTGTTTTGCCCAGCGCAAGCTGAGATCTTGTCGAACCTGCTCTATTTATAACCGTCCTCGTTTGCCAATCTCTCCCCATCAGTACATGGGCGCTTGATTGGCACACGGGTCAACCCCGTAGCCTACCGTGACCAGGTGGCCGAGTTGCTGTTGAATGGCTTTGTTAACCAGCTGGTTGCCCACGGTAGCAGGCAAAACGCCATTCCACTTGGTTTACCTGACCATAGGCAGCCGTGAGGATCCGATCGGTCACAAACCGCATGGCAGTACACTTCTCGACAAACTCCACGAGGAAGTCCCGATTTGCAAACCCATGGTGCCCCTAGATGACCAGCACGCGCGATTGTCCATGGTCTGCGACTGCTATATATTGATTCTCGTTCCTCCTGCCTTAATATCCCAAAGCAGTAGCCATTGCCCACATCGACTTTCTGGCACAAAAAAATAAGAATTGCTAAAGGCATCACTATTGAGTACTTCTATGCAATAACAATATCCGATGATTCCTAAAAAAAAAAAAAAAATTCTAATCTTATGACGATTGGAGCTTGATCCTTCCTCGCCCCTTCGTCATGCTGAGCTGTGTCAGAGAGGAGAAAGGAAGGGCGTGACAAAGGTTAAGACCCGCATGGGAAGCATATAGTTTCAGCGTAAATTTGTAAAAAGAACCACAAGTCTTGAGAATGGTGTGTGAACGTGGAGAGTGACTGTTCGGAATATCATTGAATTAAGGAAGTGAACCATCGCTCTCAGGTAGGCTCCTACGGGGCTGCGGTCGAAATTGACTGATCGAATTGGTTACATATGACACCATAAGCGCTAATGATGGTAGAAAATCTTGGTCGATCCTGTTTCCACGACCATCAAGTCCCCAGCCTTGACTGTACGTATACCTGTAAGTCACCTTGAGGAGAAGGGTACAGAGCTTTGAACCTGATTTCGACGGAGAAGCAAGGCTTTGCAACGCACCGTAGGAAATGTAGAAGTTTGTAGCCATGTATTAATGACTCAGGTGATAGACCTTCTTTTGTCATCACAATTACCTGAGTCTAACGTGTGATCTGCTTACCCGTCTCTTCATGATGGGATAGATTATGTGGCGCTAGCGGACTTAATGCTCACGACGAGCCAGCCGGAGATAACCAGGATATAACCCATTATACGGCATCTGCATCGACTTCGCCTTAATTCTATGACATGTCTCCTCCTTGTTTATTTATTAAAGTTACGTTCTGACCATGGCCGAGGACCTGTCTAGGCATCTAGTGTGAACAACTCCTGAATTGGGCGGACTTCCTGGAAGCCACAAAGCCAACCACTACCAGCAACGCGCTATGTCCATGGTTTCGAAGACCCCATTTCAGCTAACTGGCCGCTATGCTGAACACAATAAATGGGAAAACATCGATGGCCCTGGTGATTCTCGTGTCACCGGCTCTCGAGTCATTGCAGATGAGGGCCTTGTCGGAGCCTGGGTCGACAAGGTTATTCTGATTACTGGTGTCTCTTCTGGCATTGGCCTGGAAACAGTTCGTGCGCTCGCCTCGACCGGCGCAACTATCTTTGGCACAGCCCGCAACATCGAGAAGGCAGAAATAGCCTTGAAACCGCTGCTGAACTCTGCCAGAGTGCACCTGTTGTTCATGGACCAGACGGATTTATCTAGCGTTCGCGCCACTGCCGCCGAGTTTCAAAAAAGGAGTCACAGACTTCATGTTCTGATCAACAACGCAGGTGTAGGTGTGAAAAGGCGGACCATTATCAACACTACTGTGCTAACTTGCTGCAAGGTCATGAAGACACCAGAAGGGAGGACCAAGGATGGATATGAGCTGCAATTCGGCACCAACCACCTGGCGCACTTTCTGCTATTCAATCTGCTCAAGGATACATTGATAGCCAGCGCCACCGCCCAGTTTCACTCTAGGGTCATCAATGTATCTTCTTCTGGTCATCGATATGGCCCTTTGCGTCTCGACAACATCAACTTCGAAGGGGCATACGACGGTTGGGCTGCGTATGGTTCGAGCAAGACGGCCAATATACACATGGCAACTCAGATCGAGAGACTCTACGGGGGAAGCTGTCTGCATGGTTATAGTCTCAACCCCGGCAGCATGGTGAGCCCGAATCTGCAGAAATTCTGTCCAGATGAGATCGCTGCAATAAAAGGCAACGAGAGGATGGAGAAGTACTTTGTTAATATGGAGCAGGGCTGTGCGACAAGCGTATACGGCGCTGTGTCCAAGGACCTCGAGGCAAAGGGTGGGCTATACTTGGAAGGGGCATCGATTGCCGGGCCTTGCCCTGAGGATGGTGACCAGGTAGAGTATGGTTATGGAAGCTGGGCATTTGATAAGGAGAAGGAGGAGCAGTTGTGGGAACTGAGTAAGAAGATGGTGGGGATTGCATAAAGTCTGGGTATCTATAAGTAGACATACTCTTGGGGGAATGGAAAAATTTGAAATCTGCTGAACTAGGATATTCTGCCTAACCAAGGCCGCCTGTCCGATGTCAATATGCCCTCGAGGCTCCAGATGAAAACTCTTGCTTAGTACAGCTTTGGGAGCATTCGGGTTGGCCAGGGCAGGATGATATGAACCGCGAAACCCCATTATGGCAATTGCTCTACTTGGATTTGATGAAGTCTTTGACATGCATTATGTATACTCTTGAAATTGAACGCCTCAAGGGGACATTGATATTGGTTGATATTGATATACTTCTTAAGCTTCTTATGGCTTTTGAAGGGAAGTTGTGTCATCATTCGTTACGAAGGCAAAGAGTGGCGCGCCGTGCCAAAAACTGCCGACGATCTCTCACAAGAAAGAAGGCCATATTACAAACCATTTACACAACCAGTCTGACCATAACAGGACACAGACAACCCGTTGTCTTGTACGACAGGGATAGAAACACGCCGTTGGAACCAGCAAACCCTCTGCTCCGCGTTTTCGTCGGAAGTCTAGACGGCGAGCTTTCCCCCGTTCCGCGAGCCACCCAAGACATCATCGACCAAGCCTTTCCACAAGTCCTTGAGCATGCCTGGCTCTTGTTCCTTTGCTGGGGGGTCATGTGCAAACTTCAACTCGACGCCATCCAACGTCATGCCCTCGACTTCGGTGAAGGCCGAAACGGAAACTGCGTCCGGGTCTGCAGCCAGAACGTTGATCTCCGGCATGGGAAGCGGCTCGTCTGCGGCCTCTGGCACATGACGTGCGACGAAGTTATCGGGGAGCAGGGGCACGCGCAGCCGGCTGGCGGAATCCGCGCCCGGGGTCGCCAATGACTCGAACGAGGGCAGTACAGCGTAATCCATGTGGCTCTTCTCCTCTGCCTTTGCAGCCGGGGTGGAGGTGGTCGAGAACGTCTGCATTAGGCGCATGTGCTGTGGTGGGGGATGCGGGCGGTTGGCCGAGCGGGTGTAGATGTGTCGCGAGTGCTGGGATGGTGTTAGTCCCACAGCTCGGCCGATCTGCACGAGTTGCAAAGCGGGCGTGGACGTCTACGTACATCACCGTCTAGATTCCTCTCCTTGAGGAGGTCTGCATATTTACGCATCAGAGGCGCTGCCGCCTTTGATGATGTGAAAAGAGTCGAGGCCGCGGGGACGGCGCTCGCGGAGCTGGTCGTGCTGATGGAGCGGGCAAGCTTCGCAGCCGGAGCAGTCAGACGCGGGCCGGACATTTTGAGCACAGGTGGCCGGGGTTTGGTTTGGCGGGGAGGAAATAGGGAGGGAATAGGTATGTAGATGTCACGACTCAGTTATCAGATGGTGGGTGTTGGCTTTGCCTAGCAGAGCCGAGCAAACAGTACCACAAGCTGTGATGGATTTTGTATTCAGTCAGGCACTGATCTTGATGGGCAGGAAGGATAAAGGGGACAAAGGATGAGTGGTGGCCTCCGTGAGGGGATGGATAATTGGTTTCCTTATTAGTTTGTTGACGGATGTCCGGGATAGCAAGGTGAGTTACGGTGAAGCACCCTGCCGCTCATCATTCCCTCCCGCCAAAAGTTAATGCTGCATGATAGTGCATAGTGATCAGCCGTTTAGAACTTGGCTTATTTGCTGCTCTGATTGCATCGAAAACCCTACCAAGCCTACCTTCCAGGCCCCAACGGTCTCGTTCCGTTTTGCAAGCCAGCCGTGTCAGCTCAGTGCGCGCCACAGTCAGTCCGCCTACATGGATGGACGTGATTGTGTTCCCTGGTGTCTCGTCTCAGAGTCAAAACAGCACTTTCTTGGTTGCGGAAGCGTCAATGTCCCTTACTGCCAGCAGGCCGCCTCGTCCACGCCACGGCAGCAGGCAAAGACTCCACGATCTTGGTAGTGTTTCCACAATGCGGGGATGAACCGGCGACAATCGCATGACACACATGCCCGTCTGATCCATCTTGCATCTCGACTCTTGGTCCTCCCCTGAGTTGAGCTCCATCCTCACCGGTTGAGCTGGACGAGGGAGCTATGGCCACTGTTTGACCCCGCTGAATCCCCAGAGACCGCCCTGGAGTTCCCCTGGAATCCACTGGACGATTCGCTGGTAAGCTCCCCGGCCCCTGTGCCCAGCCAAAGCTTATCAGCCCTGCAACCCAAACCGGTTTGGTAGGCAAGCCAACAAATTGCAATGACTGACCGCCGGATCCACCCTTGCCTCCCTTCGCTGTCTTCTAGAAGGATACCACCATCTACTATTAGTTACTGTGTATTATCGAGGGACCCGCGTCCGGATGGACTTTGTAGGTATGCTCCATCCATTGATTGATGTTGTTATGCGCACGGGACAGGCTCGTACATGGTGCACGAGAGACGGTTTCGGCCCCGAAACCTCGTGTGCTTCACTCTACGCCTGCCCTCTTCGTGGTGGTGGTGAGGCTGAGCCTGTCTTGTGTCACCTACCTCTCGTCCGTTATGGTCCGTTTTCCCGCTGAGGCATGCACACCCTCCCGTCCGCTGGTCTCCTGACGAAACAACACCGCCAAGCTAGATTATATTCTTGGCACGCCATTGGCTGTCCTGTCTGCTACACATGGCAATGCAACACACTCATGCAGCTCTTATTGGGAGGTTGTGCTGGAGTTGACGCCTCTCATTAACTAATACACTTGGTCAAAGTTTAAACCCGAGCGGATGAGAAATCGAGTGCATTATCCGTAAAACCGGACGGGCATGTGGGCTGGCAAACCAGCCACTTCTCCGACCGCCAACCCGCGTCGTCAGCGTCTTCCCGTCGCATTCTCGTTGCCGAATGGCAGGCCCAGATGGGACTGGGCAAGACAGCTTCTTCCCTGCCAGCTTCCTGTCCGCACCGCCTTACCACGTCACTTGTCTATTTGCCTATCTATCCGTGCAACCATTGACTTGACCGCAAGCGTTTTTGGCTTATGTGTGTCGCAGTCTGCTTTGCTTGCTTGCGCCTTGGGTCTTTGATCAGCTTCTTAGCATGAAGCGGACCCTAGGACATGGCACGACCGATGGACGTCGCAAAGGAGAGCCCAAGAGAACACGTCATAGGCGGACCAACATCTAAGACATTGACCGTGGATGCTTCGATCGCAATGTTGGCCACACGCGCTCTGGCCAGGTATTGGCGCATCTCCCGCGCCCTTATCTCATCAAGACCATACTGTAGGAGTGGAGTATAGGATTGTCACCATGCATCCTGTTCCCTTACTTTACTTGCAAATGGCTAGACGGGGAGCGATACTGTTTGACAGATGGAGCCTTGGCTCATGATCGGGCCGTTATACTAGTCAAATAGCCAATGGTAAGCCGTAGACGCGTAAGTAATGTGATACTGCCATATCGGTCCACTCCTGCTGCTACATATGCTAAGTTGCTCGCACAATTAATAGCGATTCGGGCCATCTGGTGATTGAAGGAGATGGATCCATCAGTCTGCCGCTCTACAGGGTTTGCAGGCGCGGCCATTCTAGTAGCGCTGTTACACCCGGTGCCGAAAGATCGTTGATGCAAATAAAAGACCCTCAGGTAGACTGCTGTCGGCCCGAGTGCTCACGCCGATGCCGCTGCTATAACTGCGTTTTGGATCGACTGATGGCAATATTAGCATAAGTTCCAGTAGCTCTGCAGTGGACGGCTATGATATGAGCTATTACACTAACTTGACTGCCTAGAATATCTCAACTCTTAATTGAGAAGCTGCCGTATTATCTTGAGTCCAACTGTTTTGCAAACATCTCCAGCCATAACAGGTATAGTTACACCACCAATCAATATCAGGCTGATCAGAAAGGCCACATTTATTCAACATGATACAGATAAGAACTAGTTGCAATGAGACTCAGGCGCTTTACCGCTCACTGCAACACGCTATGTTGTATCTCGTCTTCGGTAAACGGAAACATCATTGCTCGGGATAACACGACAGCATCGACAGAAAACCTGCAGACTTGGTGGCATAGCACTGGAGAGATCAATTATCAGACTCCGGTAGGGGAGAACAACGTCCGCCAGTCCCATGTCTACTCTATGTGGGTCAAGGCTACAGGCGACCCAACAAACACCTAGTGAGGCGTATCTACTTCAGTGCGAACGACACAGATGCTAACACTCCAAGTTATGAGTCATTTGTGTACGAAACGATACCACGGAACGGACAAGGCCAGATTACTATCCCCGGAGACCCATCATCGACGACTACAGAGTATGACGATGTGACCATTGAGGCAGCAGTATGGGTCACCATGGGCTGGACGCAATTCCTCTACGGTGCAGATACCTGGCTAAAGGTCGCTCGGTATGGCAACAATCCCTCCGTGGCAGCCAACGTGGTGATCCGGCCCACAAACCTAAACCTGACGGTGACCGACGATGGAGCGGGTAATATTGACATATTAGTTCCTTACCGCAGTCAGGGCATAAAGTTCTCAGTGGAGTTTCAAGACAACCTGTACGATTATCATACCAGCTGCTCCTCACCTGCGTGCGATTTTATCCAAGACTGGAATCCAGATGGGCCATACTACGTCTCTAACTTCACCGACGATAACCCGGTGGTCGCCGTTGAGCCACACGATGCTTTGCTTATCTTTGCGAGCCCTTTTCCAACTTCAGACCTGGTTCCTGATCAAACCGCGCCGGAGACTTACGTGGTCTGGCCTGGTGCTGTTCCAGACCTAAGCTCTATCGTCAACAAGGTGGTTTTTTTCACCCCTGGAGTCCACTATATGTCCGGGAGTTGGCACGCTACACTGTCTAGCTCCGTCAGCTGGGTGTATCTTGCGCCAGGAGCCTATGTCAAAGGCGCATTCGAGTTCACAACGTCAGCTAGTATCATCAAGGCCACCGGTCTTGGCGTTCTCTCAGGCGAACAGTATGGTATGCGACTCTCAGGGTTCCACAGTTCCCCCTAGTTTGTTTCCGATGTTGTCTCTAGAAGCATTTTGTACCAAAACAATACTGACGTCTGATTATCACAAGTGTATCAGGCTAATGTTGCCTATAATTACACCGGCGTGAAGAGCAACGAAGACTCATTGCGCATGTGGTCTGGATACAGTACTCCTGGCAAGCAACAGAGCTTCCAGATCAACGGTCTCACGACAAACTCTCCACCTTTCAATAGTATAGACTTCACTGGGGATTTGGACACTATCTCAATTGTACAGCGAGATTACAAGCAGGTCGGTGCCTACTTCGGTCAGACTGACGGGACGACCTTGTACGCCGGTTCTTCTGTAGAAGATACATTTTACCATTCCGGAGACGATACCATCAAGACGTACGGTTCGGATGCGTCGGTCCGTGACGTAATTGTGTGGAAAGGCAAAACTGCTCCTGTCATTCAATTCGGTTGGGCGGCTCGCGAACTGAGGAACGTCACCGTGGACGGAGTAGATGTCATCCACATGAAATACAGCAGCAACGGGTCGCACCCGAGCATCATCGGCGCCAACCAGGTCTACAACGTTCCCGAGACCCAGACTGATACGGCGGACCTCTCTAAGTGGACGTCGGATATATACTTCGGAAACATCAGAGCCGAAGGCATTGGCGGAAATCTCCTAAGAATCTGCCCGCTCACGAACTACCGCAATGTCGTGGTGGAGAACGTCAGTCTCGAGGCTTTCAGTGTATCAAGCAACGGAATTTACGAAAGCCAACTGCCAGTTTTTACGGATGCAAATGGGAAGAGAGGCACTATGGACTTGTTGATTAAGGGTTTCACCGTTGGCGGCGCATATACTACTCATAGAGCTACTACCCGCGGGCCGGACGCTTACGGAGGCCTGAACATCGCACCCGAATTCCTCGAGAGCGGAGAGGTGGTCGTTTCCTTGAATTCTATTTGATTGGCTGCCTCTTTCAGCGAAGCCTTGAGCCTCCCCAGGGTCACAGTCGGAGTTTGGAAGGGACAGGAGGTCCTTGCCGTATTGGAGACCCGAGGAACAGGAACATTTCCCAGCGAACCGGAGGCTCCGCAAAACGCTGGCTTGGACCCGGAAACTAAGGTTTCGTACGAGCGGCTTACCCATGGAGGATAGATAGGCTGGGCTGGTCGTCGGACCAGTGTCTAGGCCGGTCCAAGATGTCTTTAGCGTCTGGCGCACAGCTCGCCCAGGCCACTGGCGCCGTGAGGTCGCAGAAGCACCAGATGCGGCCAGAGAAACAAACCCAGCTCAGGGCAGCTCCAGACGATCATGGTAGCGATCTGTGCTTGTCCGTGCGGAGCTGAGGTTTATGGCCTTTGTGTTCAGCTGCGCGCTTTGGCGCCTTCTGGGCACCCGGCAATGCTGTCATAGATAGCAGACTCGTAGACAGCAGGTACAGTAGAATATAGAGTTCGCACAAACAAGCTGTAACCCGCCGTTTTTCGCACGACTACCAATCACGCTGTTTATCTCCGGGATCTGCAGATCATGAACCGTTTGCGGACCTGAAGGGGTGTTCATGAGCCCTGGATCGTGACCGGGGTCTTGCAACCAGCACGTGGTGCCGCTAGCACCAGAGGAGTATAAACCCTGGCGGGCCCTATACTGATCGGGAACAGGAAGGATCCTAACCATCCCTGAATCCCTGATCACTTGCAGCAGTTCATTTCAGGTTGCCATCCAGAGTGGGAAGACCACAGTGAGCTAGTATCCATTCGAATCTGATTCCCATGTCTGACAGTCCGTAAAAAGCGATGGCGAATCCTCCATTCCTAAGAACGCCTCTGGATGCAACATGGTTCAACGCATCTCCCTCTACACACCGTCCGACGGGCGCAGCAAAGTTGTTCATTGCTGAATGACGTCCACTGCCCAGTTGAAGGGGAAAAAGAACGGGCTCTTCATGCTACTGATGAGCGCATCCACGGGCCGCACATAGGCTTTATCCCTCTTGCAAGGACGCGCCAGAGGCTCCCAGCGGGAAACGGCGCTAGATCATGTCGTTGAACAGCGGCAGGTTTGTCTACTCGACCATCAACTTGAACGACCCGGAGCCGCTCGCCAACAGAACGGCTACAATACTGGGCTGGGTTATCACATTTTTGGTGGGTCTCAAGGATACCCGGCGACCGTGTCTTCCATCTCCGCCCCGTTCCTAACACGAAACACCCAGATTATATCGTGGATATGTGTGCTGCTGAGGTTTTATGTGCGCTTCCGCGTCGTGCGGGCTCCCGGATGGGATGACCTTTGTGTCGGGCTGTATCTGGTGGGCACCTCTCCAAAATTGTTGGTCTCAGGACCTAGGCCGACCAGGACTGACTGGGCGTGTTCAGATATTGATGACGGTTGGCTGTGTTTCGGTCTGTATCGGTAAGCCATCCATCCCAATTGAAACATAATCGAGGCAATGGGCTTATGCGAAGAAAGCTACAAACTATGGCTTAGGAAAGCACACTCTTCTCCTTCCTACCTACCATATAGAATCATTTCTGAAGGTGAGCCACGCCTCTAAGCACCAACTAACGTCTCGATTACTCACTGTTCCCCAGACGTTCTACGTCGAGAATGCAACATATTGCAGCTCGGCGGCATTCATCAAGCTCGCGCTTTTGCTGCAATACTTACGAATCTTTGACCGTGGGACTTCCATGTACAAGATTACCCTAGGAGTCACCATCTTCACAGCCCTCTGGGGCATTGCATACTCAGTCATCGCCTGGGTTCCATGTGTTCCCGTGTCGGACTACTGGGATCTCTATAGTGACGGGAAACGGTGCTACGGGTATGGGTCTCATACACCGTACTCTTTTGTTGCTACGTACGAGAGCCACTCGGCCTTCAACATGGCGCTTGATACTATCGTGTTCATCATCCCGATACCGTTACTATTCAAAGACGGCGTCACCACTGCGGCTCGGTTACGCCTTGTCGCATTACTCTCAATGGGTTGCATGTGAGACTTCTCTGCCTCAGCGGACTTATCCAAGCGCAATGACTGATATCCGGCCAGTGTTTTAGCTCTTGCGGCATGGCGCCTGCAGACCATGATCGCGAACCAAGTAGCGACGTACCCGACACGAGATCCAACCTGGTACGGCCCGATCAGCATCATTCTTGCAGCACTGGAGCTCAACGCAGCATCCATCTGTGCCAGCGTCCCAATATTCTGGCCCGTGTTCACGCAGAATTGGAGCGGCATATTTGTGACCCAGGAGGTGAAGATCACGCGCGAGTCGCGGTACAACGAGGAGGATAGAGATTCCCTCACGCGGGGGTCATACCACAGCAGGGTTGGCAGTGATACCGAGCTGAGCATAGTAGAGAGCACCAGCGGTAAGAAGAACCAACACTACCGGGACTCGTATATCTTGAGGCAGGTCGACCCTTTAAGAATTCCAGATGACCGAGATCAACCGAGTGCGAGGGCCGGAGATCCTAAGGATCAGTCGAGGAAGTGGACGAAATTCTGATGACTGTAATATTGATGTGGGAAGGCCAGAATCCGGGCCGGCGTTTCTGATTTGAAAGATATATTGATACCTAGATTAAGCACAGGAGCTCAGATCAAACATGAGCTACAATGCTACACCTTCTTAAGAGCACAACCGTGGCCGAACTCCCATTCCTGAGTAGTAAAACACATGCCTTGACTTCTAATTTGATCCAATCAAACAATGCACAATCATGTAGGGAAGCTAGCCGAGAGCTGGCAGATTTCGGTCCTATGAAACTGGCCGGCCAAGTCTCTTGCTTTTGAGGCCGTATTGTTCCCATGGTCGAAAACTTTGTCAAATACTAAGCTCAAACGATGAGATCTTTGCTGAAAATCATCATCCCAACGACGGAGGTGGCCCTGAAAACCCTGTCTCTAAAGTAACGTAGGTAAAAACCGACAACGGGTCTTCCAATCTTGAAGGCCGCGGAACCCGAACTACGTCAACTACAAAGGATGGTCACTACTTCTCATGGCGGTACCCCCCTTCTCTCTCTCTTCCCATTCTGTCCGCTACTCTGAAGGCTTCAGGTTTGAATGGCAGGTAGATTGCTTTTAGATCACTAGGCACGTCTTCTGCGCCCTGCTATCTGGAAATGCTGACGTTGTGGTTATTGCGCCATAAATCCATCCACGAACTTGACAATCTGTGCTGCCAAGGCCTCAGGTTGGCTCACAAAAGGCATGTGTCCAGTCTTGAAGTTCACAACGTCCCACTCGACCTTGGACTTGGCTAGCCATATATCCTGTAGTGACGCGGGGTTGCAGCAATCGTCCAGCGTACGTACATATGCTCTCCTCCCATCAAACCCACGATCTGCCCAGGCAGGGGCTGTAGCATTCGTCTCAAAAGCTTTCAAGGCGTGGGGTCTCATGTACTGGTCTAGTTCAGGTGCAAGCGCGCGATTGCAGTCGTTGTACAGAATGTCCAATGCTGGCTCGATGACAGCAAGCCCCTTAGATGGCTAAGAGCATTACGCATTAGTACGACATAGCTATGGAACATGGTTTGAGGAGACTGTACATTGTCGATTTTGATAAAAGGTGGATATGCCCCTCCTACAGCCTTGAGGAGTGATTCACCATCCAGTGTGATGTTGCCTGCTATATATATAAGCCCAATGACACTTGTAGTCTGGCCTTGGGCCATTCTCATCTGCTTGTCAAGACCCTTTGCTGCACCGCCAGCAACAACACCTCCGTAAGAGTGCGCAATGATGACAACGTCTTCGTGTTTTTCGTTCAAAAGTGGAAGTAGCACATTGTCACGCAATGAGGCAGCATCAAGAGAAGAAGCCGCAGTGACAGGGTCCAGAGGGTCGCAGCTTGGGTATGGTCCCGGATGTGTCGCGTAACCGGCGTCTCTCAGGTGCGTTGCCAATGTTGCAAACCCGTCTGGTGTGCCGAAGGCGCCTGGGACGATGACAACCACCGGTCTGCTTGCTGAAAGCATACTGCAGGTGAAGGTCGAGGTGGCAAAGATATCACAACAAGGTCATGCATAGAAAGGTTTCTAGCATCGCATTCTTTGAGGAAAGAGAGTATCGAAGCACCAGGCGACAGGCAAAGAAGATATATCGTTGGATTTGGGACCAATCGAGCATCGATGGCTGAGCTTAATGTGTTCCTTTGTCTGGATTGGTGAGCCAACGTTGACAATCACAATCTGCTGTGCCTCAGGCTCCTCTTTTTTAATCGGATGCAGGCGTGGGTCACCAAGCTGACTCGGATCAACAAAATTCAATATGAAAGCGCCCAATTAACTTAAGGGTGCAACGAACGTTGCGATTGTCTTTCACCTATTCTATTAACCACCGCAACACAGCAATCATTGAGTCTTGAAAAAAACGTGCGAGAAGTATTATTCTGAACAGCCTATATTGAAAATTCCATTCGACGAGATGATGGAAAGCCATTGTTAGCTAATATGTATTTCATGAGATGTTTACAAACGATACAGAAAACATCTAAGTGCGGCAGATGACACAATCACGTGGCGTGTTTCATAACGGTCGGATGCGGCTTATTCCTGATGAATATCATTCGTCAATCCACCGGGGCTCTGGGCGGCTCTGCAGCTGAATGCGCAACCTCGCAAAATTCTCAGCATGGTATATAGGAACAGATAAGAATAAGCACTTGGGCAATGCCTTCCCAAGACGAATTTCATCATTTCTGAGTTTAGTCTTTCGAAGTTGCTGCCTTGTCGCAGTGATGGAACTCTTCCCGTCGCAGGCGCTTTCCACAACCGTAGCAAAGTACGACACACTTGCACCATTCCTGACAACAACTCGACAGGGAATGTGTGATTTTGAACGATTCCGGCAAGAATTTGAACATACACTTGTCCTAGTAGATAAACGAGATCCCCAGAACGAGAGATCATCACGATCAAAGAAGTCTCTTCCATTCGTCCAATGGCATCATCTGAAAGGGGAGATTGGCAGCTGTGAAGCATCAGAATGCGACGGTGACTCAATCATTGAGACCGACCAGGAAACCACATCATATTGGCAACACTGTGGTCACGGAGTAAAGAGACTCTCTGATGGGAAATTCGATTCCTGTTTTCCCCTTGATGAAGATACTACCACCTTAAACAAGATTCACCAGCATCAGCACACAGCCACAGTGAGCAACCACATCCACAAAGTCATCCAGTGGGTGAACCAGGTCATCGAACCCAAGACGAAAGGAGCGTCTGCCGCAGAGCCGAACTGTACTGCCTCGCCATTTCATGATCTCGGTACTTCCGACACAATAGATGCCACCGGCAATGTGGACAAAACCAATGGCAAAAGGCGTCTCCCACCACGAGGTTCTGGGAAAGATCTCGAGGGGAGTGATTCGAGTCAGGAAGAACAAATGCCCAAGCGACCGAAGGCTGCGAGCGGATCTCCCGAGAGATTCGCCTGTCCGTTCTTCAAGCGATATCCCGGCACATACAGGAATTCTCGTACGTGCACAGGGCCGGGCTGGACATCAGTTCACCGCGTAAAGTAAACACTCTTCGTCATACAGCTTAAGCATGAGGGTTCTCTTCTGATATACTAAATAGAGAACATGTGTATCGCCGTCACACACTGCCAAGGCACCAATGCTCTCGGTGTCGTGTCTCGTTTCTGACACACGAAGAACTATCTTCTCATCAAAGAACTGCTATCCCTTGCGCATGTCGCGACAGTGAACCGCATCAGGGAATTAATCCCGACCAGGTAGCCCAGCTCCGGCGAAGGCGAAAAGGGAGTACCACCAACGCTCAGAAATGGCTAGACATGTATCACATTATTTTCCCAGACGAGGAGCTCTCTGGTCTCCCTACACCATGTAAGTGGATCGCGTAAATACGAATCGTAAGTCTTGTACCGAGATTTGAACACTAGGCTGACATGCATTCAGACTATGAGTACCCGGAAGAGGCTGTCAAGGCGCCCACTGGGAAAGCATGTGATCAAGAGAGTGAATGGGCTCTCGAATATGAAGACTTCCTCTGTGGCGAACTTTCGGCCGCGCTTCGGGATGAGTTTCAACGATCAGTCCAAGCTCAGTTGAATATTTCTGATCCAGAACTTCAGCGACGTGCCCTTGACATGACCCTCAAGTTTCATCTTAGGCTATTTGGCGAATTTCAAGCCCAACGTCAATCCGAAAACACGCTTGAGAATGACGAGACTATCGAAGAGAGATTCCCAGATGTGTTTTTCGACCTTGATTTCGACGCTGACGAATCATGGAACTTAGACCCTACCTTTGATGTCTCCAACTTCGATGCAGGGAGTCATCTTGGGCAATCTGAGGCGCCAGCAACTGTACACCCAGAGGGTAATATCCAGAGGTGTGATGCCCTGCAGTATCAACCTTCAAGTACACAAATGGACAACCAAAATCAGGCGGCGACGTTTTTTTCCAATAATGGATTCAATTCGTCTGCTAGTTTCGGACCGCAGCTCGAGCCATTCTACACATCCGCTCAACAGACCACCCCTGGGGAGCTAGTGCACCTCAATGAGGCTGCATCCACGGGAAAGGAGGTCAACGTATTGTTGAATCCAGTGTCTCAAATCGAACTACAGGATACTTCCCTTCCCGATAAAGACACAGTTGAACTTGATAGTGGCGCTGCTTTCACTATCGAGAACCTGCCAAGTGGTGCAGACGAAGCGGTTAGTTGCTATCATTGCGACTTCTGGGATAATGTGCTAATGAAGATTTCCAGGCAGCTCATTCTAGTGGCTATTCTGCAACCGATGAAAGTCATCTGCCACCAAATCAGTCAAATACTGGGATCAATGAAGCCCTCACAATTGCGGATGGATTTGCCTCCACTATCAGTGCCAATCCATGGTCCTTTTCAGGACTCCTTGATACTGCTAAACCGAATCTGGAGGTCATGGAGAGAGAATTATCATCACTCAAAAGGGAAAGAGATGAACTAAAGGAGGAACTAAAGAGCCTACAGTTGGGCTCTAGATTAACGATTCCAGGGGAGCAATCAACCAAACAGATACCGGAAAATGTACCCGGGCAGTATTGCACAAAGACTTGGGAGCTCGAGCGGAGAATCCAGGAACTAGAAGCCGATCAACAACAGCGCCGTGGTTCGGCACAGTTGGAAAGTCGGTCTCCAATCAGTCTTGCATCAAGTTCACCTATCAATATTGCCGCCGGCGGTTACGGTCCAGCGTACATTTTCCCAACACCTCCACGCTGGCTTAGTCCAGTCCGTAGTCCAGGCGCGTCATATATGCCGCAACAGATTCGACCTGGCAGAGCAAGCGGGTATAACAGCAGCGCGAGCGGTTACGATAGTGGTGGGGGATATCCTGCATCCCCGTCATCTGGTCCCATCCCAAATACGTATAACTATCGCAGGGCCAATACCGGCGAACGGGCGCCTGTTGATTTGGCAACGAACCCGCAAACTGGTTCCTTCTGCTGCACATTTCCAAACTGCACGGCGCCACCGTTCCAAACACAGTACCTGCTCAACTCACATGCCAACGTACACTCTTCGAGTCGACCATACTTCTGTCCAGTCCCAGGCTGCCCTCGCTCGGAGGGCGGAAAGGGCTTCAAACGAAAGAACGAGATGATACGGCATGGCTTGGTACATGATAGTCCAGGCTACGTTTGCCCTTTCTGTGCTGACCGAGAGCATAAGTATCCAAGGGCAGATAATCTGCAAAGGTATACCCTAAAGCCCACTAGAGGACTTGTCTCGATTGCTGATACTTGGTAGGCACGTGAGAGTTCATCATCCCGATAAGGATGCCGAGGACCCAGAGCTTCGAGAAGTACTCAGTCAACGTGTATATGGCCCCAGTAGAGGGCGTAGACCAGGCTTTGTAGTATAAGCAATCACACGAATTCAAACTCAATCACTCCATGGCAATAGAACCTCAATCAAACAAGAACAGACGCTGGCACCTACGATTATAGAATGGGAGGGAATAAAATAGGCAAACATGTAAAAGTGGCGCCATCTCTACGGAACTAAGATAGGGTAAGCCATGAGCATCTGGACCCCTTCAAACAAATTACTCTGAGGGTGTCCCAGCAAGGGCGCAAGCATGGGGAAACAGGGTTGAGGCCACAACCAAACTAGATGCTTTGCGCAACAGTCATCATAGCCCAGAGGCGGATGAGACAACTAGAAGATCTATTTCTCTGTATCGCACACACGGGGCTCAATACAGTTATCTTCCCATGTATAGCCCGGCGACACAGCCCGTATCGCATGCGATTCTTAAGCCGACAATAATATACGAAGCCTATTACTTTCGTCTATTCAAATTAGACATATCCTCGCATATTGCTCAGCATGAACATGCCACCAGCCTTTATCTGTGACGATGCTTGTATCATCATTGAAGCTTTAGCATGGCACTGGGATATAGGTTACGCACAAAGGCTATTTGCAGGAGAGTTTTTCAGAGTAGCCGAGCCAGAGTACAACTAGGCCAAGCCTCGCAGTGCCGGCGATCCCTTGTGTTTCCCCGGGGTCACATATAGATCAACGCCGATCATCTCATCTATCTTCTGCCCGCCAAAGGGTTGGGTGGTGCAAAGTGCGACAAAGTGGTTCCCAACGTTTGGTCCGGCCGCGCTTGTGTTGCGGCCGGGTAAAGGGTGCACACTCCGCGATTGCCTATAAAGGGAGTCCTCGAACCAGGTATCCCACCCTATATGCAACTGTGCTAACTTGAGGTCTTGTCCACGTCTGCAATCAAAACGTCGCGAGCACACAGAAATTTCCCGAGCTGCGTTGAGTTTGTACACCCGAGACCGTTCCAACTTTACAAAGCACCGTTCAAGTTGACGTTCAAGTGAACCTAAAACCAGCAGGGCGCACTCAGCGTCCTGTATTTCGCCTTCTATGCTTTCATTGATAAACGCCGAGGCAGAAAACAACTCCTCATAATGAAGGAAAGAAGACCCAGTGCTAATGCTGTATCGATCGCGAGAGCCTCCAGACTAACATCCACACCCAGTTCGCCATCATCGCCAGGCTCATCGCAACGGCGGCGGCATTCGCCGACAACAACACGACCACGTTTAGCACCATCAAAACCACAGCGACCACAAACACGACAAGATCAAGCACGAGCACAAGCACGAGCTCATCTGCGGCTCCGGAGGCGACGCCTTGGCATCTGAGGTGCTCCACTGACTGCTCGCCATGGTGCACCTGTGGAGAGGGCCCTACGCCAAATTGTCATGGCAGCATGGGGTTCTGCATGTCTTGCCAGTGTGTTCAGGGGTGAAACTGCGTCAGGTTCAGTTCAAAAGCTCGCGTGCATAAGTCAATGTTCCGTGGCGAATGGCGTTGGTGGGAAATCACTTGAACGTTGCGCTTGAAGATTTGTTAGAGTATGATTGTAATTAGTGTATATAAGTCCTGATCCCTAAGTCTGATATTCGAAGCCAAGCCCTGCTTGATTGCTTGCTTTCTTGTTCTATGAGCATCTGCGCAGTGACCCCCTGGCCATGTTTCTTGATAATCATACATTCGTCCCGGAGATAGCCAGCAGTCCTGATGCTGCCTAGGTCGGGCCAACTCATTATTTGGTTATGTTTTAGTCATACACGTCTTACACGACCTCCATCATACACTGTCATTCCCCGCGCGTCTAGTGGGTGACGACGCGGACTGCCTGTAGCATGATGCCGAAAAATAGACCTCTAGCAACCTCTTCAATCTGTAAGCAGTCAAAAACACGCCCAAGCGCCTCGCTGGTGGCAGATTGCCCCATGATGCCCATCAATGCCGCGGGAACGCTGCTCTGAATAAACAGCTTCCGAGCTTTGACTCGTAGCTCTTCCTTCTCGTCTGCGGTCAACTCGGCCGGCCAAGCTTTCCGCTCTTCTTCTGTGGGAAGTGAATTCTCCCGCATTTTGCGTAGGTGGGATGCAATGCCCTCATCCGAGATGTTCGCATCTAGCACCGAGTCCTGAATAAGGGATTGGATAGATATCAAAGAAGGATTGCCCGGGCGTATAAGGAAGGACTTTGCGGCAGTGAGCAATGTTCGTCTGATGTTCCAAGCGGACGATAGAGTGTAGAGCTCGTTGATCACCGCGAACAGTAGTTCAACTGCCACTCGAGTCTCTTGCTCTGATAAGGGCGGATACTGTATCCTCCGACGCCTGCTCGAGCTTTCGCTTATAGATGGTTTCTCCTGGTGATGAGAGGCGTGTGATCGGGATGGAGACGAGAACGACGTCTGAGGAGATAACAAGCCGTTGTCAGCCCTAGAGTACGCATCGCTACTAGGGCGTGTATTCGTAGGAGAATCGTAATCATCTGGAATCTCGGTAGGAGGTGGTGGAAGCTTCATATTGAGCAAACTCATTTCCGACGGGGAGCGAAGAGGTGACCGCAACGCAGCCATACTAGAAGCACGGCTGTTACCTCTGCTGCTTGTCGCGCTTATGGATTTCCGCTCCCAGCGGTCAGATCTGTTAGGTTGGGACCCTTCTGGCTGCTCAAAGTCATTCTGATAGCTTGGCCTCCTTTCGATAGGACTTCTCTCCATAGGGGCAATAAGTCCAGGTTGCGTAAAGACAATCGACGACCTTTGGCTCTCAGTGCTGTCCCTAGATCTTGCAGAAGATCCGGTTTCCATTCGGGGAAGCGCAGATAGGGAGAGTGGTCGGCTGGCAGTTGATCCGTTTGTTTTCGCCATCTGGCTCTCCTGTACGGAGGAAATTGTTTGCTTGCGCTGTCCAAGCCCAATGTTGCCTAGGACACCGGTGACACCTCCGACGACCACCTTACTACCATCCAATACACCCTTTGGCGCATTGAGAACGCCATCGAGCATGCCTTTGCCCATCGATTCGAAGGAGAAACCTCTCTGGACTGGCATCCGAGCATCTTGACCCTTCTCCAAAAATCGCTTCATTGCTTCAGATTCGGCCAGAGTTTTCTCTGCACAGGCGGCCCGCAAGTACCTCTCAATTTCACCACGTAGGGATGATCTGGTGTGAACTTTCCAGCTTGCAAATGTGGCGTGAGCTTCGAGGAACGCGGTGGCACCGGATATAGCTGCGATACGTCGCAAACTCTCGTGCAGTGCTTCAAACTGCGGATAGGTTTTCATTATCATCCACCCAGGGTGCTGAGATGATGCCGGTTCTATCTGGAGTAGATACTCCCAACTGGGTTTTGCTCGCAGTCTGCCCTTATCAGTACCAATATCATCATGCACCGTGATGATAGCATTCTGCAGGGTGAGTGGCGCCGGCTTGCGTGCTCCTTCGTCCTCTTCTGGTTCATCTCTTGCAGGGGGAACAATCTGGTCAAAACTCGTGAAACGAGAAGTGTTTGCTGCTTCTTGGCTTCGAGGAGAGGAGGAAGTTTCGCTCGGGATGTCCACACTTGATTTGGGAGTGATGGGTGATTTGACAGGGGTTTCTTGACTGGCGGTCTTCTCGGGAACTGCCTCCAATTTGGCGCCTTGTCCTTCTGCGAGCGACGCCTCCTGGGCTCTCGCCGTCGCAGCGCCATTCATCGGCTTATCCAGGTTAAGATCAAGCTCCTTGTCGTTAGCTTTCAGAGCGTTGTCCAACCGATCGGAAGCATCAGACACCCGGTCATTCGTTGCAGGCTTGGTCTTTTCGGCCTGGGCAATCATCTCGTTCAGCTTCTTCATCTCTTCCATGGCCCGTTCCATTTCCTCGTCAGCTTTCGACAGCTTCTTCTTGTGAGTCAACTCCTTTTTCCGCGCACGGTCTATCTCATAGCTGTTCCGGTTCCCCTTGGACAAGCTGATGTTGCCGAAATTGCCGTCCACATCAGCGAACGCCCGATCTTGGATGGCTTCGTCAATGGCCTGGGAAAGGTCGGTTTCTCCGGACTCTAGAAGGTACACTATCCACCCGTTAATCCATTCGGCCTTGGAACATGTCTGCAGCGACCCTTCCAGTACGCTGGTAGCCAGAATCTCCCTCAGAAAGATCCTCGCTGGGTCGCAATCATAGGCAGAGCGCTCCAGGAAGGCGAGCAGGTCTTCTGCCACCATCTTGAATTTACTTGCCTGCTGCCTTTGGTTGAGCAAATTGGAGAGGGGCGAGTCTGTGTTGGATGACAGATAGCCGTATATTGCATCAGTAGCAGAAGGAGCGCCGTCTGCCTGGACAGACGCATAAGCAGCTGTCATCTCTGAGAAGAAGACAATGATTATGGAACACGTGTTGGTCAAGAAGTCGACGAAGGCATCGGCAGGTCGCTTGCGGCTCAGTCGGTTCGAGATGGACAGCAGGAAGGAGGTCAAGACTCTGCGACAGGACAGAGGGAAGGACTTGTCGGATGGCACGATCGGGCCATACCACCAATCCACGTAGTCTCGGACCACAGCGTCAACTAGACTGTTGAGGGCCTCCCGGGTCTCGGGCTGAAAGTCGTCGAAGCTCCGTGCAAGGGCCTGGGAGACGGCCTCGTCGTCGCCTTGGTCTGTTTTGATTGCGGATATGTGCGCCTTGGTCTCGAGTAGACGGTCCAAGACGTCGTAGCCCTTCTCCCCGCGAACAGCCCGCGACACCTCGGGATGCCGGGATTCCCATGATATGAAGAACGTCACGCCAGCGAATGCGCCAATCAAGAGAAGACCGACCTGGCCGAGTATGAAGTAAGTCACAGCTGCGAGGCCGACAGCGATGGCCCCCAGTGTTGCCGGTGTAGCTGTCGAGAGGAACTGGAGTGCCTTGGTCGCCAGATCCTCCTCCGGGCCCGCCGCAGCGGCGGGCGTGGCGGAGGTGGGCGAGGGCGCCGGCGAAGGGGAGGGAGACAGCGCATCACTCAGGTTCGACTTCTTGAGTCCAGTCGCATCTCCGGACTCCATGTTGACGGGGCCGGCGGTGGTTGCGCCGTGCTGCGCATCGTCTCCGGGGTTCATGGGGTTTGGGTGCGGGTGTGGTCGGCGGTGGTCAGGGGAGCAGGGAGAGCAGGAGTGCGAGCCGGCGTCATGCCCCAGACTCGCTCAGCATGCGGTGTCGAGGGTGGATGATGACGAGGCACCGTATGGGGCGTCGGACGATGACTTCAGGAGGACCACGGTAATGGATTGGATTGTGGGAGAGATGGTAGCTGGACTTAAAGAGGGGACAGTCGAGTCTAGAAGCAAGACAGACACAATCATCGGGACACGAACATGTGGAACTTGTTTGAGTCCCCCAGCGTTTCGAGGATGGCGATTGACATCTGTGCCCACACAGCCCACCATGGGGTCAAATTTGGCGCTCGATCTTGGGCGAGATGGCGCCCAGGTGCTATAATAAGCTAGGGACCGTTGCTCATTCCCCACAAGTCATCAGGAACAGCCGGCCATCAAAGGGCCATGTTGGACGGGCAATTTAAATTGCAAGATTAGTGGCCGCAGGGGGCTTGTCTCTGTCCGTCAGTGCGGGTGTCGACGCTTCACTCTGATGTCTATCACCATGGATGGGACCATGGATGGGACCATCGTTTTTGCCTCGTCTCTCCTTTGTTTCTGTTGTTCTCTCGATCCTGGTCTGGGAATGCCGAGTGCAGCAGGGCACCTAACCCCAACTTGAGTAGCTATGCGGCCCCGAGTATCTATTATTTATATCTACGGTGCAATAACCGCTTGATCGTAGAAGTCCCTCATCTCCAGGGGCACGAAGGCAAAGGTAAGGGGGAAGAAGATCCCCCAGAGTTGGTTAGGTACGTGTGAGCTAGCTGTGTACCATGTAGTATGTACTATGTAGTTGTGGGTGCATGGGTGGCTTGGGCTTGGCTTCTTGTCCCGTCGCTCTGGCATTCCGCATTCCGGATCCCAGCGCATCACCAATTAAAATGCTCATCCCTGCAAGACGCGGTTCTAGCTTCCTCTCCCAAAAGTCCAACGCGTCTCCCCCAAACCTCCCTCACCCCACCCCACCATCCGTTCCGTCGGGCCTGGCCACTACCTAGGCAACTGACGAGTTACGGCGCAGTCCCGAGACTCCAGACCAACGCCCACTGTCTCGAGCGGTTCATCTTGCCGGCGGGCGATCTTGAGCACGACAGACCCGGTGCACTCACCACTCGCTTCGCAGACATGGCCGGCCCCAAGAGCGCAAAGCGCGTCCGTGACAGCGATGACGAAAGCGATAACGATATCCAGACCAAGACTACCAAGGCCACCAAGAAGGCAAAGACAGGCTCTGCAGATGTTGAGACCGGCAACGATGGCGACGGAAACCCTTGGTGGAGTGTGCGTTCCTTCCCAATGTCCAATTTGGGTGCGCTGTGATATACTTGGGATCAATGTGACTGATTTTCCCCTTGCAGCTCTCGGGCAAGCGCCGTGTTGCCGTCTCCGAGTTCAACAAGAAGCCCTACGTCAACATCCGCGAATACTACGATGACAAAAGCAGTGGCGAGCTGAAGCCTGGCAAGAAGGTGAGCGGCTTTTCCGGTCTATTCATAGCTCGGAAGGAGACATGTCAGGCAGGCAACTAACCCGTCCAAGGGCATCTCTCTCCCCCTCGAGCAGTACAATGCTCTACTAAAGGCCATCCCCGCAATCAACGCCCATCTTGCCTCACAGGGGCTCGAGGTCGCCGATATCCCTTCCTCTGGCCCGTCCGCCTCTTCCTCCAGCGCCGTCGAGAAGGCTGCTCCCCGGGAGAAGAAGGCCAAGAGGGCCAACATCGAGGCCACTAGCGATGAAGACGAGGATGAGGATTAGGCATTCTTACGGCGTGGAAACAACATCTACATGTGGGAGCGTGGCGTCCTGTATATTATTCCGCTATGGGCAATCGCGCCATCAGCCTCGAATGTCGCCATACTCGATCCCCAGTCCGGAAATGCCCTCAGGAGGAGCCGCTGATTAGCGTGGAAACCAGGGGGGCGAACAATCAGAGGGATTTGCGTCTGATCAGTGTATACCGGACCACCACAGTCGAATTTGGGGCATACATTGCAGCTGGTTTGGCTTACCGAGTTTCCTTCTTAATGCTTGATACCCATTGCTCAAATGAACAAAAAGGATGTGCTCTTTTAGGAAGTTTCCCGGCATTGCACCGGAAAGATGGACAACCAAAACTTGTAAGTTGTACCGCATCAACCCCCAGGAAGCTGGGCCAGCCTCAGTTCAATGGACGATGTAAATGCATCATGCTTCTGGGTTCTAGCCCGCGTTAGTATAAGACCTGGCATTCGCCCATTGTGTCACCTATGTGGGCCGCCTAAAAAGCTCCAGCAATGCCTTCGCTACGGGCAGTTAGACAACACCGTGCACCCGTATGGGGCCTCTGTGGCCGTTCATCGAGGACAAGTCAGCCTATTGGCCTGTTCAGAACTGCCACCAAATTGGTTCCCCTTCACTCTGCGCAGGAGCGAGTCCAATGCGTGGTGAGTGAACTAGCAGAAGCCGCGCCGCTAGTGAGAGGCACGGCTCTATACTCGATCCCAGACGTGATTGGTGCTTGTTTCGACTCATAATAGCTCCTCCCCCAAATAAAAAGATCCTAGAGTAGCATGGAAGCTTTCCATGCAGACAAACCACGCGCACATTATCGGCGACCCAGGAATTTTTCGAGACTCAGGTCTAGGACTCGCGCGACGATAGCGGCGCCCTTCCCAAGTTTCTAGGGCGAAACGCTAGGGCTATGGGACCGTCAGGAACAGGAACATGTAATGAGGTTGAAAATCTGAAATATAAAGTAAACCGAGACTCGAAGTTCGGACGGCGATGGGATGCGGGCGAGGCAAAAGCCGCAAGACCCAGACACACACGTACGATTACCCGTGGCTCTTCATATGCAGGAGCTTGCATGACAGACGCTTCTCTCTTCAAGCGCAGACTGTAAAACGCCCTCCGGCTCGTGAACATGATACATCTAACACAAAGAAGGACAGGGCAGAAGCTATCGGGGGAAAGCTCATAAGTCAGTAACTGGTAAGTGACGGATCTGGCTAGTTATTCCCAGAACACGGGAATTTCACCGTCAGCTTTGGGCCGTGGAAGTCACATGTTACCTTTTTGAGTTGGAGAATGCAGTGCTCTGAACATGAAACAAATCAATTCTCTGATTCGATGGTATTCTGCCTGTCCCTTAACGCCAAGTGCTGTGCGGCCCAGTTTCCCAAAATCCTGCCTGCCCAAGCCTGCTGAAAGTGGTGAATGCAATGATGATTGCCAAAAGTCAAGAATATGTACGCGTCGATCGCTTGATGGCGTGAGAGCCATCTCCGTAGCCCTCCATGGTCCCCCCCATCCGATTACTGTTGACCATCCTGATCCCGTCCAGACTTCTACCCGCTATTCGGTCCTCACCACTTCTTTACTCTTGGCGAGCAGGTCTTCATCCCGTTCAGTCCGTCTTCCAATGACTAACCATACCGCTGTCGACGTCGTCGTTGCCAAGATATAGCTCGATGGCGTACAGACTCATGGTGATCACCACGTTGATCCACCGCCAGGCATTGCCGCCCGCGTCTCCATCACGCAGTGTCCAGCCTTCTTCGCCATTTGTCGAGAAATGTTGCAAGAGGAGACTGGTATATACGGCGATAAGAATCGAGGGCGAGAACCAGGAAAGGAAGCCCAAGATGCGGTTGGCGCTGTCCGATTCGTCCAGTGTAGGCTCCTCAAGTAGCGCGTTCGCCCCCGACTCCCTCACTGCGGGGATGATGCGTGTTGCGCAATAGAAGACGATGATGCGGTAGGTGAGCGAGATCATGACCGACGGCGCTATGGTCTGGAATGCAGCATGGAGGAAGCTGAGTGAAGAATATACCGCCGATGGCAAGGATCCCAATAGGTGCAGGAGAGTCGAGTAACTGGCCATGATGATCGGAGGCAGGGGTGGGAAGTCAGGTTGGCTCGCGGCTTGCTCTGCAGCTGCTGCCGCCGCCTCTGCGGACTGTACATAATCTGTGAAGATCTGGTACACACAGAGGACGACATATGCGAACAGCAGGGATGATTCCACAGGATTGCCCCTGCCGGAGACGATGCCTATCGCGCACAGGAAGACAGCTGATGTCACTGTTACTCCAATGAGTGTTGCATCCACATTGCTGATAGATGGGAACAGAGCCACGCGCCACAGGAAGTAGACGGCGCTGGCAATGACGGACGCAGAGAAAATCAGGAGCACGAGCTACAGCAGGTTAGCCATGTGAAAGTGCCGAGCACGAAAAGTTTCTGGGGAGTCTTACCACCCAAGTATCGCTGCGTCCTCTGTTCACGAGCCATTTGGTAATCTGGCCAGCTGCTTGGATGACCAGGAGCGTGCAGAAGCCCTCGAGGAGCTGGAAGACGGGGCTTGAGTATCGTAGAGTCTTGTCCCATCCTCCAATGGTCATGTTCTCCACCAAGCCGCCAGCCCCAAAGAAATACTCGGACCATGTATCATGCTTGCTTCCACTCAGGCCGCTGATGGTCCTCGACACCCAGTCGGTGCTGTTGGCATCAACGGCAAAGCGATGAAGCGACCAGATCAGGAGGGTGGGGATGACGACCCACTGGGCGGACTGGAGGAGCTTGTTGACGCCCCATCGCACGCGCGAGCTCTCGGGGGTGGCGAGCTTGAAGGCGCTGTAGAAGAGGTAGAAGGTGAAGAGGGCCAGGCTGTATGCCAGCCCGCTGTCGCGGCCTCCTACATCGAAGGAGATGGGGATCGAGAGGATGATCGTCAGCAGAAAGACCGAGCTGAAGACGATGCGGAAGAACCACCACATGGGCGCGTCGATGGTGGCCGCTGCCGCGCCGGACTAGCGAGGCGTCGGGCCAGCTTCGAGTCGAGGGGACGAGATGCGCGGGTTCGGCAGAGGCGTGCGGTATCCCCAAGCTGCAGAGAGGGAGAGGGCGGGCGGGTTTGCGTTGGTTGGCTGGACGGGGCGCGGTCTCAGCTGGCGAGGCAGGACACGGCGAGGCACTGCAAGGCAACCGAGGATGCGAGGAGCGCGTCAGGGGCAGCTGGCTCTCTCTAGTCGCAAGCGGCCGTCGAATAGTGCTCGAGTGGTGGTGTCGGTCGCTGAGGACAGTTCGCGTCTGGGTCTGGGGTCCTGGTGCTGGTCGTCGTGGAGGGGTCGACGAGCTGTCTGGGGGCGTAAGGGTGAATTATTCTCTTTTTTCTTTTTTCTTGTTTGGTTAGGCAGGCGGTGGGCTTGTCCTCGACCACAGCTTTCACCAACTTGGCAACTTTTTGTCGAAGTGGCCTCGGTGGCCCTGCAGCTTTTCTCGGCCTGGGCCTGGGCCTGGGGCCTGGGGTGACGGACCTCTGGCAGGGATGGCTTATCGCCTGGCTGGCTATCTGCACGTGGGCTGCAGATGCGAGATTAACGTCGCAGCGTGCTCCGTAGAGAGAGAGAGAGAGAGAGAGAGAAATAATGACAATGAACCGTCGATGATTTCTTCCAGACCAGGTCCAGGTTTTGCCCTCGAGGCAGGCTGTGGTCCCACGAGGGTCGGATGCACATGCGCATCAAGGTCGACGAAATGTCCTGTGATTTCGAGATTAGGGTATCTGGTCGCGCAAAGCATGTGCCAATGCCTGATGGGTTCATCCCTACTGTAGGTAGTCGCGTGCCTTTGCCCTGTTCCAGTAAGGTACGCCCTTTTGCGTGCATCCTAGCTCAAGCAATAGTTTCAGTCGTGCTGCTATTTCGTCATTGTCATGGCATGGCCTTCACCGTTTGTTTGAGCGGCCGTTCGATCTTACACCATGAGACTTTGTCGCTGGACCACCAGATAAGTTGAGGGTTCACGGCCTTCAGTTCTCTTCAACTTCCATTACACAACCAAGCTGTCGCCGGCACAGTTCCCCAGGGATCTCTTATGACCCAAGGTTGCCGAGAGCTGTTGCAGCTCCCCGCAGCTTTCACAGCCAAGGCAAATCGGCTCCTCGTCATTATTCCAACCGCCTTTTTGCGGGCTTCGATTTGACTGGGAGTCTCTGAGAGATGCGGAACACGTGCGGATGACGGTGGGCCACTTCTCCGAGTCGGACTCCGAGTCGGAGGCTCCCGATCGGATGGGGATTAGGCGCCGGCTCCGGTTCTTCAGAGCGGCCTTTACCGAAGCGGCTCTATACAAATCGGATGTGACATGGGAATCAAGGCCGTGCAAGCGAAATTTTGAATCTGTACGGGACATCGTCAATGATAGTCAACAGCAGCCCCGTGGCAAAGGGTGCTAAGCAGCAGAGTGCAGCCTGTTTCGCCCAATCGTCATACCTGCCAGATTATTCAGCTGAAACTTACCTGCAATAACGCTGCTGTCAGCTTTTCTCAGTGCACAACGCGGCCGAACTTCGTCGTCGTCATCTCTGCCGACTGTTGATCTCTACAAACCCCCTGGTTCCGTGTTCGCCCAAGACCGAGCCACCGCCACAGGCGCATCAGCAATGGCCCAGAGAGTGTGATCACATGGCGAACCAGCCCAGGGCATTCGCGCCCTCACCAAACAAGCGACTGTTGTCAACTCGTAGGCGGAGAAACAGCAGCACCAGATGTCACAAACAAGAACGAAGTCGTCTTGAGGGCCTCGCCTGACGTGTCCGCACTGCGGGGTCATGGCTCCATCTTCTCACGTCTGCAGTGCAGAATGGTGTATGAAGGCAAGCGTTTTAGTCGCTCGCTTCCTCAATGCCCGCTCAATACCACGACAGCATGCGTCTCGTTTCACCAGGTACAATGAGCTTCCAATCCAGCGTGTAGATTTGGGAGATATTGGAGACATACATGCACTGTTTCTTTCATGTCACGGCACAATCCCCCATTCCCGCATACAGATTCTGTACAAAATCGAGTGGCTGATCAACTGGCCCCTGTAACTTCTACCCTGTCAAAGCCCGCAGCTCCGCTCTCTCGCCTCTCGTGCTCTCACTTCACCGTGTCTTCCACAGCTGTGCGCACAAACTTGCGTAGGCTTGTGATTCGTATCAATTGGCGGAGACCGTGTTGAACCACTGCATTTCTCTATAGGCAACTTAGCCGATCTACACAGCCAGCCGCTGGTGTTGAAGGCCGCCTTGGGAGGTGTCAACTGCCACAACTGGGCTTGCCAGACGCGGGCCTATCAATTCAGCTCATGCGGAGCTAGGCCCACAGGCCGGCCCGGCCCCCAGCCGCTGATATACCCAGCCCGACGTCCTCGCAGCCTGCTGCTTCATGATTTTCTTCTTCTCTTGGGGCCAAGCGATTTCGAATTGGTGATTATGTTGCTGTCCTTCTTTCTTGCAGTGAAATTTTCAGTATGGTTCATCAACCGAAGCCCTTCTGGAGCCGGACGTTCTCGTACGCCCACCCAGCATGGACCCGGACCATGGGCCGAGAGTCTGGCGCTAGCGACATCATCAAGCCGGATCTCAATTCAATGCTGCCTCATACCAAGGAGGCCGGGTTCGATATATATTCCAATACTGAAGATGCTTATGCAGAGAATGTGCCTGCGGAAGACGAATGGTTTGTCGAGGATACGTAGGCAACTGTGATCTCAAACGTCAAGCGCTTCACTGACATTTCGATTAGCAAAAACCGTTATCCCTACATGCAACATGTCAAAGAGCTGTCAGGAGCTTGGCCACACCTTCGTTACCTAGCGCAATGGATGGAGGTGACCACCTCTCCAGTCAAGTGGAAACAGTTCAAACAGCTCGGCCCAAGGAAAGATTTCTATCGCAATGAGCGGGCAGCTCGTACCAAGGTAGCAGTGGTTGATTTCTCGCCGGATGGGACCGTCGAGGTCCTGCCTACTATTGAACGAAGTTCAAACCTGTGCGAGACCCTGCAAGAAGGACAGCCGTCAGGTGTTAATCGACTATACATTGTGGAAGACCTCTCTAGGGATATGATTGAACACCTAGGGAAAGAACTGGATATAGACCCACTCTTTTTCCGGGAACAAATCAATGACTATTGGTGGTATAACACGAGGGATCCTTGGGTCGAGCTCCCAGATCTGGACGTTGTGGCCCGAGAACGAAGTTTCTTCCGTTTGACCTACGTACAACCACGCTACTTCAAGGAAAAAGACAGCTTCCTCAAGGCCAAGCTCCAAGCCGGCAAGTTCAATGTCCTGCGCAGACTGGACGACGATAGCGAGCACAAGGCACTGTTTGACAACGACAATGCTATTGTGGCTCTAGTGCGCAGCAAGGCATCTCTCTGGATCAAGCCACGGATGAATGACGAAGAAGGAAACTTCACAGGTAACGCTTGTTTTAGGAGTTTTGGTTGACACTCCACAATCACTAACCCAGTCCTAGGTGTGCTTCTGGTAGATCCTTCCATAACGGAGGGTCACGCCCTTTGGAATGGATACCGTCCGTTTTGGAACTCACCATCCTACAGCGACCGCCGAGACGGTTACCCTAAGCGACAGAAGGAGACTCTCTTCGACGACCTCCTCTTCTGGATCAGACACATGTCGCCTCAGGACGTGGTGTCCATAAACACCAACCCCAAAGCCATGATGTATAGGATGACGCAGGTTATCTGCTCGGACTGGCTTCTTCTCAACCGCTACATTATGGCGCGCCTGGGCCAGATCGAATGGGAGCTTGAGCGGGCTGATCTACGGCCAGATGCCAATTCGATTGACGCCTCGCTTGCGAAGCTACACACATGGCGTCGCCGTTTGCCCCTTTACCGGAACATGGTGGACGATACGCAGCACAAACTTTTTGACGATATCAAGGACGGGCATGTGGACTGCATCTCCAAGATGCAAAAGGATTTCGAGATCGTTTCGAAGGGATTCGACGATCTCTACGGACGAACAGAGCGCATCGCTACTGTTGCTACTGCCGTGACAGCCATCGAAGAAAACCGACGTGCTGTGGATCAAAATCGCGCGGTCACGCGACTTACCTGTGAGTACACGACACAACCATTTTCAAGTCTTCACTTTCCATCAATCCAAAATGTGCCTTTCCGAACCCAGCAAATTAGGGGCTGACATCTCTTGGTTTCAGACCTGGCGGTCATTTTTGCACCATTGAGCTTCATCAGCAGCTTCTTCAGTATGACCGAGGATTTATCTTCGCTGACGAATACCATCTGGATCTATTTTTCCGTGGCCATTCCCGTAAGTATCGTGGCCTTCTTGCTTGTCGATCCTACGGTACTTTCTCTGTTAGGAGGGCTACTTCCAGGTAAAAGGGACAAAAAGAAGAAGATGTAACCATTCCTGGTACGGTTATTTCCAGTAGATGTCAGTCACGCCTCATAAGGCTCGCACTTGAGGCGTCGCGCATACCGAGGAAGTACGACATATAACGACTTTATTATGATCATGACATAACTTAGTGATGGAAACAAACCATCAGACGAAAGACATGGTAGCAGATACCGCTCAGCAGCATTGTGTATATCCAGAATTGGGCGAGTTCTGCAGTCTCGATCCCATGGTAAACCAAGTGGTGAGGGTGTGTAGTGCTTCCTCTAGAGTGGCGCCGAATAACGGAGTTGGACATTAGCTAGACCACGAATTAACGACACACCTGGGAGATGACCGTCTCATTCACCAGCATCTGGGCCGCCCCATTGTCTGCATTAGTGTGAAACGCATATATATAGCTGCGTCAAACAGACTCGGGGCTGAATTTGTTGTGCTATTAATACACCTCGCCCCTCGTTACACCAAAGCGCGATGCATCCATCCTCCCGAACTGCATGAGAGTGGTTCCTTCTAGCCTTGAGAACATAGCACACAGCCTGTCTTTAAGGAACATTATTCGGGCAACACAGGCTGCACCTGTAAAACAGTTATCAACTTACCTTACGATTGCCGAACCAAACCGTCTCTCCAGACATTACCGCCTCTCAGACATTACCACTCTTCAGACTTTACGTCTCTTTGCACATTACATCTCACGATGAGGGTGCTGAAACCATGGACGCTCGAAATATTATCTGTAACAAGTTCAGCACTTTTGTTGATCGTGCTTGTCTGCCTGCTGGTCGTATTTGATGGCAAACCAATTTTTGACTGGCGCGGAGTGACCCTTAACGCTATCGTTTCCGTCCTGTCCACAGCCAGTAAAGGCCTCTTGATGCTGGGCGTCGACGAAGCTGTGGGACAGTGGAAATGGATTTTATTCTGGCGCCAAGAGTGTGTCGTCCTAGACTTCCACACTGTTGACTCCGCCAGTCGAGGTCCGCTGGGGAGTATCAGGTTGCTGTGGAAGTTTCGCGGCCCGTGAGTATCGATATTGACTCTGAGGAGGTACCTTGTGAGCTATCAGGACTGCTAACAAGGCCGAAGCTCAATGGTGCGAATTGGTGCGGTTACGATTCTGCTCGCGCTCGCCCTTGACCCAATTTCACAACAACTTATTCAATTCCGGGATCACACTGTCTACGTCGCAGACGATAAAGTCTCCATTGGCGGCGCAAAGCGGTATTCCAACGGCAACTCCTTCGGAGTTCAACTGAGCCATGGAGGGTTTGCAGATGCCGACTTTGCAATGCAGGCAGCAGTCTTGTACGGACTATCCCATCCCATTCACGAGGTCATCCAGCAACTTTCATTTGATTGTCCTTCAGGAAACTGCACATGGGAGCGCCCTTTCGACTCCCTGGCAATATGCAGCAAATGTTACAATGTCAGTGCCAGCCTCGAGGAGCACACTGACGGAGGTGCTTTATGGACCTCTCTGATGCAGAACAATGGAGGGGCTATGGCAGAACGGGACTCGAGAGCCTATCGCCTTCCTAACGGTCTCATCATCGACAATCTGAACCAGTTCTTCTACTCGACGAACGATTCTCTGAGTTACATTGGAAGTACACTGATGACAGCATTCGGCACCAGTGATCCTAGCCAAACTAACATGATGCCGGACGTGGATACGCTGATATGGGCAATGAGCATACTCAAAGTACATGACGTTCGACTTTCTGATGAGCCCGTCGACTGGCCCAGTCTGCCAATAGAAGCCGTTGAATGCGGTCTGTATTACTGCGTGAACCAGTACCAGCCCTCGATCAGTGATGGAAAGCTCAGGGAAGATGTTCGCAGCCTCCCAGCGTTCCGTGATAACGAATCTTGGCAGCTCTTGGATCCCACTCTCAATTACACAACTCTGGATGTTACCCCTTCCCAAGTCAGTAGCCTTTCGTTCAACAACACCGTCGTTTACTTGGACCACAGCAACCTTCGTCTCTACGTTGCTGGTGAGAATGGGCAGAACATCTATTTTAACGTGTCGCAGAATGCCGTCAACTCGATATCCTCGTTTTTCCAAAACACTTTCGCCGGGGAAAAGAGAACTTTCAACCAAAGTGCAGACGGGAGCTTGGACATGGTCGTCCCTGGCCAGCTCAATGGCTTCTACATGACGAATGGCCAGACGCAGTATGAACCCAGCGTGATGCAGGTGCTATGGAACACCAGCGACATTCCTGCCCTCTTCGAGGCGGTGGCACGGAGCATGACCAACGTCGTCCGGGACGGCGCCGACCCGGGTCCCCCGTCTAGACATATGGGCCTGGTCGGCGTTCCGGTCACTTCCTACGAGGTCGAATGGGCGTGGATCACGTTGCACTTTGCCATCCTCCTGACCGGCCTCGTATTTATGGTTAGGACGATCATGGCGGGGATGAGAAAAGGCCCGCTACGAGATCCGGCGCCGGTGTGGAAGACCAGCGCGTTGGCTAATCTTGTGTTCGGCGCCCAGGTGGGTCGCCCGTTTGCTGACGTGAACACCTTGGATGAGATGAAGGAGATTGCGGCCCGGCAAAGGGCGAAGCTGCTTAAATCTGGTGGCGTCACGCCAGATCCTGGGTCGACTAGTGCGTCGATAATAAGGCAGTTGGACTGTTGATACACAATGAGCTGCGTATTTAGGCGTCAGACTTCGCCGGCGAAATTAAATCTTCCAGAATGTTTTATGGTCTGAGTATGTTCTTTTATGGGAATTGGATGGACATGAGAGTACCAAATTGATGAGAAGATTTCAACGATGAATACAATTAGGAAATGATTTATTGTCTCACATAGAGCCCGTGGTTTCTATTGTTCTACTAATTATCAAGACAGGCCTACGATACCGACTTGATAGGTTTTCTACTCACTACCTTGAGCAGCCCCCACTCAGAAGTACAAGTAAATTGATTACTGTGTAAGGTCAGGCCGGTAACCCTTGAGGTCAAACTGGTTTGACTATTACGTATTTGTACGTTGTGATTGCTGTCGACGACGTAGCGGGCTAGAACCCGATTAGGGTATCATAGGAGTTCTGATGGAAGAGATATCTACTAGTTAGATGCTGCACTATGAGAGGATCGCGGTCATATAAGGAGCAGCATGAGCATCATGTCATCTATTATACAGCTCCAAACCGAGAAAAATACCTTCACTACTTACCAGAGACTATCAGAAACTAAGTATAGGTACTGGACTATCGTATTATGGACTCAAAAGACAACCATGACATTTTGTATCCACAGAAAAGAGAGGTGTACTGAAAGGCCAGGGCATCTACTACTTTTTAGGTACGTTCGAATCACTCAGGAATTATTATACACAGAGTCATAGGGCTTCATTCTTGGCCCATACAAAGTTACATATGGTACATTGGTTGCCAATCAATCTAGACTTGGACAAAGCAGACGGTCTACTAAGAATCCTTTGGATCAAGCCAGCAGAGATTGTCATGAAGTTGTACATTTGGGCTAGTAAGTCATATCCCATGCAACTAGCAACTTCTCAATCTTGTCTTGAGATAATACGCGAAACTGTCTTGCTGTCAGGCACGCAGTATTCAAGTACGTGATCTATTGATTGATGGCCTGAATCGATAATAGGGCTCCAGAACTCCTTGAAAGTTTCATCTACCTGTCATCGCTCCTTTTCATTCCAACCATTACGTTGCCGACACATTCCCATCGTGACCATGTTGGAGAGGTCTGTGCCATTCGGCTGGCCGTCGGCCGAGAGAACCAATGATCATGATCTGGCGCCTGTGATAGACTTCGTAAAACTGGGGTTTAAGGCTCAGATAAACTCGCATTGCGTGCTGCATGGCACTATGGGATGTTTATTTCCGTCAAGACCGGCGTTGACGTACTGCAACCCTAAACCGACTGATTTAGCTTTTACACGCGAACAGTCGCTATCTTACTCTAGTGTCAAAGTCTAAAACCGTGAGGAGAATCTTACAGGGTGCGAAGGGAATTTCTACATGAGGAGAACATTTTATCTTGTTTTGTCAAATGTTGGGATTAGAGTCTATCCAAGTGGATCAAGAGTATGAATTTTGAACATGTTTCCAGAGAGATCTATCGAGGTACAGGAAGCGGGTCTAGAGTAATCAGGGAACCCCACGCCTCAGGCACGAAGTCTATACAAAAGCCGTGTCCGCAATAGAGTTTCTGGTGTTTGGGGTGCATACGGTGAGGCTAGAAGACGCGTCGAATAGACCGGTCCGAAGACGACATGCGTGTTTATCTGATCTTCTGGAGGTTCCTTGCATTTCCACCCGGGTAGAGCGGGCATCAGACTTTGTAGGGCACGCTATGAGTTGGCCGCTGTTGTCACGATCTGGCGATATTCGAACCTTGTTTCAAGCGCCAAGGCGACTTGCTGAAGTCAAGAAATGAGCGTTCAGGACCCGAGGGGCAGGGGGCATGACTCGTTTGCACCTTACAGGCGAGACATCTTCGCGCATATCTCTCTTTATGAATGAAAGTATACGCAACTTCAATAAACAACCATCGTGAGATGTGGATTCGTCGCGGTAGGTATACATGACTCGAAACAGGGTGCAGTGACTTAGAGTCGATGCAGAGACAGGGGGGCAGAAATGCTTTCACCCCTTTTACGAACTACGTAGTATGATAAGTTCGACCGAGTTCACACTGTTCCAATAATGCCGTTCCTAATTACGTGCAAGAAGTCTTTGAGGAGCGATGCATAGCAACCCTGATTCGAGTGACTGAACAGACTGCTCTAGGGAGAGCTGCTTGGTCGATTCACATCTAGCCTACCGAAATCACAAACGCCAGCTATGCGTCCGTAGAAAGAGCCCAATGTGCCTGCCTGAACCATATGCGATCCTGCCATGCCATAATGCTATGAAAAAGCCAAATGTGCTTAACCGAGCCCAACGCCGGGTTACCATCATCAAACATTATCTTACCCTACGATCTCTGACCGCTCGGAGGCGGCTCGTCATCCGGTGATTTTGACTCAACCGGTGCCTTTGCTTTGGTTGCCAATCCGAAGATGCTCTGCTGCCCCTTGAGAGCGATTTTCAGGGGGGCAAACTTCGTTTCTGGCAGGCGTTTGCCAGCTTTGATACTTTCAAGGACCCTGGAATTCACTGTGAGCCATGTGAGGTACTTCGTTCTCCGTCTGAAGCGACATACCATTCAACGCCGACAAACTTTACTGCGCAACCTCCTAGCTTCTGTATTTCCTTCTGCAGTTTGCCCCCGGCAAGACCGCCTCCAGCACCTCCTCGGCCGCCTGCGGGCTTGCCCAGGATAACATGTGTGACTTGTCTTCGACCGAGATGAGTTGACATGCGCGCACCGTGCTCGGCCAGGACCTGCTTCAGTTTGTGGTCAGAGATAGCGGGATGCGTGCTGCCGTTAACGTAGACAACGACGCCCTCGAGAATCTTCCTCGGCAGGGGCGCCGCTGCCTCTCTGGCCTCGTCTTCGTACGCCATATGCCTCTCGTCCGCAGGCAAGCCATCCTGACCTTCAGTAGAAGCCAAGGTGGATCCTCGCGATGAAGCCAGACTCTTTTGCATTGTGCCCGGCTTGGCCAGCATGTCCATGACGGAGCTTCTGGCACGCGCACGCAGTTCCGGCGGGATCAGTGCCTTTGCCTTTGGATCCCAGAACTCCGATCCAGCTCCTACAGTATCGGACATGCGCTTGCCACCCGACCGGCCACTTCGAAACTGCGACTGCAGCTTTGCATTCCGGGAGTCGCGCCATCCTGTGCTGCCGCCGAGCCGATTCTCGGCTCGCTGATGGCCCGTAGACGATGAGTTCCATGGATCGAAAGACTGGCCGTACCTGGGCTCTGCAGCCTTGGGGGCCTCAGGTCTCAAGGGAGACGGCATCGTGTTCATGCAAGTAGGATAAATGACCGATAGACATGCATCAAGGGAGCGCTCTTCAACGGGACTTTGTCTATCTGCTCTGTCGTGATGCACATAAGCTTGCATGCATAAGACACGCCGCGTGCCTGCCGGCGTGCCTCGAAATTACTTCATCCAAACCGCATCGTCCATGTCATGACTCGGCCCAGCAACCAGCGCCGGCGCGACTAGAGCACGAGACCACGTGACACTTCTGCATTCCAGTCTCGGAGCAGGAGCCAACGTCCGTGGAAATGATACTTTTTCTCTCTTTGCTCTGTCTGGAGGTAATGTGCCGGCCAAAGTCGACGAGCAGACGTCTCGCAGTCCGGCCAGGAACGTTTGACTTCCAGGCGTCCGTCACCCCGGCTGACACGGACACACATCGAGACAGGCCCGTTACCTGTCAGTATTCCGCCCGCTGCCCTTGTCGGAGGCCCTGTCGTGCAGGTGGGTGGAGGGGGCCCCAACGGACGCACGTCCAACCACCTGTCGACTTGACACCATGCCATGCGAGAACAGCACGAAAACGCACATCAACGCCCCGGCGCCCAATCGGGTGCACCCAACTTTGCATCACCGCACTGCAATGTTTCCTGCGCTCTAAGTGCGGCTCGTGAAGAAAATCATTTACCATGCGTATGGGCGTCGGACGATCTATCCTCTTGCTGTTTCATGTGCCCGTCGAAAGGAGAAACGAGGGCCGGACATGATCTCTGCTTTGAGGCCTCTGCTCGGGTCTTTTCCTTCTGGTCCTTGTCACCTGTGGTCCCTGTCCGCGCCGCGCCGCGCAACGCACGTACACACATGTTGCTGATGCGCTGCTCCAGTCTCCAGTGATGATGCTGCCCCCGCATTCCCATCAGCATCGGGCGATGGGGGGGTGCTTCATGCATGTCAGTTGCGCACACATACCCGCCTCTGGGATGACTTCCGCTTCCCGCTATTCCCTCCAAGAAAAACAAAACAGTCCCAGGCGGCCTGCCTCATCTGGATCCCCTCCCAAGGGCCCTTTCAATGGACCTGGAGGGGGCAAGGACTGCGAGAACAAAAGAGGGGTGACGTGCATTACGCCCGCTGGGGGGGCTGATGCCAGATGCACATGGCCTTGCCTGACAGCCCAGACTCCTGATCTCGACTCGATCGTCGGCAAGTCGGAAGGGCAGCGGCCACAACGGACAGACATGAACCTGCGCCGGCAAACCTTCCTATGTGCTTTTGTGCTTCCCACCCGTACATTGAGGCGAATGGAATCTGCTTTTCAACCTACAGGTTCCGACAGGGCACGCATGTTGAGGCTGGAAACTACTGTGGGCTCTATGTATAATGGGTCTGCTATTCCTGCATACCGGCGCTTGACCAAGCGTTCATGCACGATCGGGGTGTCTGTGTGAGTCTCCTTCTGCCTTCCGCCATATCGCACATCTTTGTGGTGCACGCCTGTCAATAGTTGATCTCCTCGTGGACGGGGCCCTGCGCTGCACCTCGCTGGGCCGCTCCTACGGCTTGCATTCCCGTCTTATTGTGATCCTTCCACAAAGCCATTTTGCCGGCATGAGCAGATCGCCACCTGCTAGGCTTGCTTACAGAGACGCCGGGTGGCCTTTGCCCTTTCTTTTCTGACCAGGGGACGCAAATGGACAGCAGACAGGGTAGTGGTGCCACCCGCGGGCTCTACGCGGTCCCGACCGACCCTGTCAATGTTTATCGAGATTTCCAGCGTCTGTGCAGGAGATGGAGCAGGCAGGCAAGCCTGGAAAGCAGGGTCCTCGCTCGACAAGGGCAGATCCATTCAATACTGTGTACTATGATTCTTTGTATCTCTCGACGTTGCTCGAATGGGTAAGCACATCATCACCATCCCTAGCCACCATTTGGTTCTGCCAAGGTGGAATTATTCGGCCGGATGTCAATTTTAGAAACGTCGACCCTGGCCGGGGTATGGATGTTCTCTCGCAAGCTCGCCTTTCTTTTCTCCTCTTGATGGGTAGGGATACGTTGTCAAAGGCACCTTTGTGTACTGTATTCCAATTGAGCATTGACCGAAAAATGGCGGTTGGGACGGGGCTTGCGGATCATCGAGTCTAGGCTAGCCCTTCAATTAAAGGGGGGCCACACGGGAGACCGTCGACGAGGTTATACAAAGCAGGCATGTATTTCAGATTGCCACCGACATATGCGAATCATACTTGCTTCTGCGCTGGCTGGCTGGCCGGCTTGCCTGCGGCGCGCTCTGCTGGCTCCGTGGCTGCCCTGTCCTAGTTGCTAGGGCTTAGACCGGGTGGTTGGTTGGTGATTTGAGGGTGTTCCCTTCGAAACGGCAGTGGCTGTGCGTCGTGCCCTGTAGCAAGTTGTCGACCTGTATGTACGATTATCAGGACCAAATGTCACAGGAGGGCCCCGTAAACAGAATGATGTCGAGATGGGTCATTGTCACCAGCAGCAGCCCACGGAGACAAAGCTCGCTCTACCCGCACTGAACAAGGGCAGGGTCACCAGCAGCTCCCCATGCACCATGCTGCAGCTGTGCGTCTTGCATCTGGGCTGAGTGGGCCGGGGATGCGGCTTTTTGCTTAATCGAGCTTCAATAGGTCTTCATGCCGGCACGTATCTTGGAGCTAGGCCTTCCCTCTACCTTCCTAGCATAGTAATAGCGCAAGAGAATAGGCTGGATATGTGAAGTGCGGGTATGTAGACTTGCCGGTCGGCCTGCTGGCCCTACCATTCTACTGCAGCAACTAACGGGATGGATGCACCGGGCAAAAGACATACAGGTGCATGTGCGATCCGAGGATCAGTCAGGGGACATATTTCCTTTCAACCTGTATTAATAGCCACCACGCCTCAGTGGTTTGAGCACGTCGTAAGGTTGCGCCTATCTTGCATAGTTGCCGCCCTAGAGATGCGAGTACATAGCCGCGCTGGGATCGCGGGCTCTCCCCGTTGTCGACCCTTGTCCACAGGCAGTGTGTCTTCTCTGTTCAAAATGATGACCGAGATGACAATCCACCCGTCTACTCTCGTACGATGCGCTCTGAGATTGGTCGTGGGGATCTTTGCGAAGGGGAGTGTCTGGAGTTCCCCTGATTGTGAAATCACTGTTGATCCTGAAAACCGGCCCCCCTACCCTTGAGGTCCGGCAATGGAGTCAACCGAGCATGGATCTTTCGTGGTCTGGTGAGCAGTCGGAAAACCGTGCGCATTATCCGGGCTGGATAGGCCAAGGTCTCGTTGCACCCTTATCCTGTGATTCAGAAAGTTGATCTACGGTCTGACGCGGCTGTGAATATTGAGCTATCTCGGGATCAGAAAGGGCAGGAGCATAGGAATGGCGAGATGGTCGGTTTCGGAGACGGATAATTCAATCCAGCCTCTTCGTTGGACCGATTACGTCTACACTGGCCGAGGGAGACTATTCAATCTCCTATTTCTACAGACTCTAACCCGTATTGCCCGTACGCTTCGGCACCATGTGATTCGAGGAACGTCCAGGTGCTAGGTTGAGACACCGTCAAAGTATATACGCCTTGAAACGGCTACACGGAACTTTCGGAGACCAGAGGCCTGTGTCGTTAACCGTAAACGCTAGCTAGCGCAGCCCACGGCCGCAACGGCGGCTGGTAATGAAGCAGTCCGTCTAGCTCTATTCGCGATACCGACATCCAAAGAAAATGATAGCGAATTATAGCCAGTGTCCGCCCATTAGTTGCGGCCGGCGATCAGCGGACAAGCGCGATGGGAGAGGCTTGCAGGGATCGCGGCTATGTACTATGGTAGCGTCACTTGGCCTTTAGCATGGGGGGGCTGGGCTCTCCTTATCTGAACTCCTCTGGGCGTGAGCGAAGTAGCGGAAGTAGCGGTGAGCATTCCGCTAAATGAGAATATTGGCCTATCAGATTTGAGTGCTTCCCCCATACCGTAGCGGACAAGCAGCCATACAGTGTACTTCACCCAGGTCTAACGTCGACGGGGAAGTGCGCTCGAATAGTGGCATGCCGAAAAGAGCAAACAGTTTACCAGCTCTGCCATAATTCAAACTAATAGCGTGTTGTCTGTGGCGTCATCGGTGGTTGGTCTCTGTCTACTAGAGTAGAGACCCCTCCGTATTGTCTCTCTTTTTAGGGTTGACTTGTATAGTGTGCGGACCCGACAAAGACAAGTATAGAACTGCGACAGTCCGAAGTTGCTTTGCTATGGAACGCAGTATTCTGGCGCACTCTAGAACAATTGCAGTCCCCCGAACCACTAATGAGAACTCTATGTTGAGAAGGCATGCTGTGCATCCATCCACGTTCTATCTTCCAATTGGACTAGGGCTCGGTTCGAACGTCCACGCCATTAGCGAAGAGCTCAACTGGGGTCCTTGGCAGGATGTTAAGTGAACAGGTTAGACGCCACAATCAAATGAGTTTCGGGACAGCTCTCTCGTTGCTGCCCGGCTCCATGACAGTCTCCCCAGCCTCGCAGGCAGGCATGTCAGTGTGGGTGTGCGAATGCGTGGGCGTGATCACGGCAAACGGTCCGGTCCTGCACCGCCGAGGTAGATCAGATGCGAAGTAAAGTAAGCCCGCCTGCCCTCCTTTCGAGAAATGATATTATCACAATTATTGGCTTGAGGTCTAGGCTTCATTGGACGAGGTCCATTTGATGAACAGAGCCTTTAGGAATCTCGCAACTGGCGATCGTCACAGATTTGATGGTACCGTTGACCCACTCATGCTTACGGGTATGCTTCCCAAACTTTCAGTTTAAAAAAAAACCTCCTCGTCTCCACTATGCAACCCTTGTCGACAAGGTCGGTATCAATGTGCCTCACCCATTGGAAGAAAACAGATGGTGGCTGTCGACGTGGGCACCCCTGATTGGGTGTACAAGCGTGAGAATAGTTGGGCACGGTGTGCGAACGTCGTAGGGTCTCGTAGATGTCTCTGCGCGCGTTACAAGTTGAAATGACGACAAGTGAGGCAGCTCTTCAGCTTCGG